CTCCCACTTGTTGTTTGGTACTTAGCATTAATAGTGTTAGCTGTAGCCATTTATAGCAAGAATCTTAAAACTAAAGGGGATGACAAGGAAAAGAGGAAGGAAAAAGAATAACGGGACAAACAATTAATTAAAGTATTTATAGGAGCATAGATATTGTAATTACAAGCTTCAATAATAAATCACTGACTAAAACTTCTAATTAAAATGACACTTGGTACGCTCGCCCATTTTCACTGGTCAGTCTGAACTTCGGTTTAGCACGTTGTACACTTATTCACCTAAGTTTCAGAATTTGTTCGGTTTAGCAGAGTTAGTACCCGTGTTTCAATAAATCAAAAGATATCAGGGGAGTTCTTTAGTAATGTTACGGTCATCTAGAATACCGAACTTCCTGAAAACGTTATCATATTTCCTCAGACAACGTTTAATGCCTTAAATCAGTCTATCACGGCTATATCCTCTATCAATTAGAATTTTGAATATTTTGTGAAGATGGGAGGTTAAGATATCCAATCTAGTGCAAACATTACCATATCATAAACCAGGCCACATGTGCGCGGCTCAAATGCGCTGTGACAAACTATTAGAAAATTGTAGCGTCTTCCATTAGGGGGCAGTTTGCCACTCATACACATGTTACAGCCACAGTCGGCTGTTTCTAATCATTAGGGAATAGATATTATGCCTTGCTGCATGATCACAGTTGCCATCTAGGGTTTAAGTTCTAAACTGTTTCCTGTACAGTCCATAATAGAGGGTTACTAAAAGGCTACTCGCCGTTAGAACTTTGGAGCCATTACGAACACAGTATTTCAACTTGAAGAAGCTACTGAAAAAAGTGTAAATATTGTCGTATTTATCATCACTTAAAACTTCAAGCTGTAACTCAAGCTGTAATTAGATTATGCAAGTTTCACAACCTACTTATCATTTTATGCTTCTATCGAGACTTTCTTCCAACGAAGATCCGAAAAAAATTTAAAAAGCACACACTTCTTCAAAACTTTCCTCATGTAATTATCTGGAGAAACCCTTTCAGCCTTTCTGTGACCGCAAGCAACTTAAATCCCGATAAATCACTGATAATTATGGTGTTATCAGTTTAAATTGTCCCCAACCTGCGGTTTGGACGGAGAAGCAGAAGGAATTAAAATTAACATGTAAAAAAACCAGGAAAATGGTGTCATTAAGTGATCTAAAACATACGACAAAGGTGTTGTGCATGTGACCAAACAGGTGGAGCTAATCTTCTAACAGTACTAGAAGTAACATTAATTCATATATAGATCATGATTATTAATATTACGGTGTTTAATTTCGGGACCAACCCGTCGCCACGAAAGATAAATTACCAACACTTGTTTCCAAATTATTGGTCATATTATGACTTTTTAACGCAGTGATAAAGGCTCAAATCATAAACCGTATCAAGCCTTATCAATGCACTTGTAATTAAAACATTCCCACATTTGAACAAGGTCCCAGCCCATACCTGATACCGGGCTTGACACTACTTTAATTTCGAGGACATTCCGGTCGAAATAAGGACTGAGAGAAGGAGTTAGAGGAGATTATTGACTCATTGAGTTAACATTGAAATTACTGGATCATTTCTCCGAAGTTAAATTTTAAACAAATTAATCTCCCATGGATATATTATGATAATTTTTACATCGCGTGTGTAAAAGTGCCGGTTATTCTATAATGTCTGAGAGAAACAATGCCGTTCCTTCTTCCGGCATTGTAATAGTAGGTAGTTGGTACAAATGCGGAATGATTAAAGATTGTTATAACTACCCTTATAACGACACCACTAACGAAGTTTCGTGTTCGGCTTGGTGCAAAGTGCTTCATAATAAATTTTACTGGCATTAGCGCTGAAATCGTACTTATACTGCGCTTGTAACATTTCATTGTGTCGGACGAAGGGCACATCCAAGGTCCCGACAAACTCGCACAACACTACGGCACCTATTCATGAATTGATTATATTCTCAAGTTTCTTCCCCCCACATGTTTCTCACCCTACGTATGAGCCTACTTTTTATCGCCAGCTAATTTCATCAAAATGACCACAAGATTAGATTTGGAAACCAAAACGCTTGCACTCCACATTTAACTGGTCAGAAAGGTGCAACACCAGCCGTGGCGTCAGTAATTTGCTAGTGGAAAACACATGTGAAGGGCGGGAGTTTCTGTTACTATCATGTCAATGACATGTACCGTAATTACCGTTTCATTCTGCCATTGTAATTCCAACCAATGGATAATAAACATGTTGGTAAAACAATTTTGGTTTTATTGCCGTGCAGGTACTATGTATTATTGGACCACAAAACAGGGCAAATATATCAGGTTACAGAACTAATTACGATACCGCCAAACATTGTAGCAGATTACCCAAATTGTAGCAGAATCTAATAAACCACGAAGTAAGGGCACCGTTTGTGACAGGGGGATCTTCTAGGGGTCATTAGCCGGTCAGATGCTGGTTAACTGGTGGTGACCTGAAAGGATGGTGCTACTTGGGACACTCAGCAGGTCACAGCTAGGCGTGTTGTGATTGGTTGGGTTGTATCACGTGGTATGAATGCTGTGTTCTGATTGGTTGGTTTGTATCATGCGATGAGTATACTCCCTCGTGATGATCTTCATCTGCTGATGGTGGTGGAATGGAGCGAACGTTAAATATTGAAGAGTGTTTTTCGCTGCGCGGCGGTGGGAGTGTATGGGAGTGTGTGATATGACAGTGTTTTTTCTCTGCGGTGGGAGTGTCTGATATGACAGACGAACAATCATACCGTACATGTAATAGATCAAACGGATTTTTCTTTGTTAATTTGTATCACGTGATCACTATATCCCGTCTTGATCGGTTACTGGTGGTCACCAGTAAGGGTAAAGAGACTACTTATGCAATGAACAGTATCCTGTGGCTTTGGTCGGATATTTTGAGAGACGAATGTATAACTGACGACCCAGGAAAATTATGACAGTAAAGTGACCAAAATTCAATCTGTAATATTTCAAAAATTTAAAATATTTAAAGAAACAGGACACTTTCTGGTTTTACAGTGCCGAAATTCCTACTTGTCAAATCGTGTATGATAGGTAGCGCGGTGTTGCTTCCTCTCTGGACGGTAAGATAATGTAAGGAGTCCAATAAAACACTTGTATGTTTTACAAAAACATGATCACAATTTCAAAACAATTAGTTTCCATACGATAATCTATAAGATATAATAATTAGCACTAGTACTCTATCAACAAAGTAACATCATTAATAGGTTTTAAAACAATGATTTCTTCTTAGGAAAAGTGTGTCCCTTATTAGATCTCAGAAGGCTTGGCCCAGGACTCTGGAGGTTCAATTTAGATTAGGGTGTTTAAAAGTTTTATCAAAGCCGTTTAGCGCGAGGTGAAACAATATTTACTTCGTTTTAGATGTTCTTGAAATTTTCAAGTAGCCAACTAACCCAATCATCCTGAATTACAGTACAGAAAATATAATTTAGCTGAGATTATATTCTATTTTTACTGTCATTCTTCTATGCGGCTTTTACCCATAAAGTTCAGGAAAACGAAGCAGATTTTTGAATAATGACTAACGAGCTTCCGTGGAAATCGTGCTGTCAAGAAGGGAAAGCGCTTAATCCAACACATTAAATTTGATAACATAAAGTAGTGGCCAGATCAGCTCCGGAATTCAATGCGGATATCTAAATTAAAAATCCTGGTTTACGAAAGTAGACATTAGACTGAATCGAATAATATTAATGTCTGATTGAATTTATTGAGTCCCGCAAAGTAGGTAACACTTTGACCTTTGAATTTAATCCAAACATAAACTTTTCCTATAATTCCGCTGAAGTCAACTCCTCAAGTTTAATCGACTTTTAAACAATCGCTGAATAATTTTGAAGTACAATTGAGATTGGCTTTTATCTCTTTCGCCCACATGTCGCTGAATAAACCAAAAATTTGACATCGTCCATCGGCCTCAGCTCATCTTTCTAATTCTACACAAATTTATCATCAAATTACATACTGAACATGGCAAATAACTTCTCCTCTTGACTCCCAAAGTCCTACTCTGTTTAAAAACTGAATTACAGTGTGAGTCAAGGAATCATTTCCCGTTGGATCTTCAAAGGATGCGGAAGGAAGTTCTTCAGGCTATTAAAGTTGGTTTGACACATGGTGCCTCGACGGCTGAGAGCACGTGCTGACCAAGCCCTTATTTTAAACCACAAATTCGACTGCAATGCTCGACCAGCGAACCAGATTCACTACTTGATAGGCCAAGCACGCCTAAATTTAAAAGTTTTACCAAAAAATCAAGTTTTCAACTTAATAGTTTTAAAACTTTCACATTTGCCACCAGATTGTTTTCCCAAGGGGTAGACAGAAAATTCATAAAATTTGGATGTAAACCAAAATTCGAGTCATGTTAACCAGGGTCACCAATTGATCGGGTCAAATTGATCATGCTCGATCCGCCCAATTAACCTCAACATAATTTTGGCACCTTTGTAATGAGAGAGACAAATTAAACGTCATCAAACGCAAAATAAATACGGTGCCCAATTAAGATGCACTTTGTTCATCAGGACGGCTCACTTGGAACACTCAAGGAAACTAAATTTGCACCCGCCGCCAGAAAAGGGCTTCCTCCGACAAAACTTAAAGAATCTCACTTCAAAGCTTTGCAAACGTGCAATGCTAAAAAGGTAATGTCATAGACAAAGGTGTGACAGCCTCTTTGAACACTATTATAGCAGTCGGTTAGCCTCTGAACTACGAAATTAATCACAGGATAGGGGTAAATTTGCCTTTTGATTAATCTTTTGTGAATATGCAATATGGATACTTGTTTTCTAAATCATGAATCATTGTACTTAGGTATTTTCGAGGCTTTTATCATGAGTGTTTGTTAGGGACAGCTCTTGTAATGAGTATAGAAAATAGTAACTATAGTAACAATTAGTAGTGCCTAATAGTAGTGACTAACGATAATAGGTATAAATATAATAAAATTCATTATGAGAATAATCAACTTCAAATCATTAATAAAACTATAAACATAACTCGTCCACACACATAATTCAATTTGATTCTCACTGTTTTTTTCTGGAAACAATCACACTTCTTTCCAACACATCCTTGTCAACGACTTGCTCACGAAAAACCAATAATTATTCGGCATAATGCAAAATACCGTACATAAACTTATTTAATTAACCAAACTTTTGACCACTATCATCGTTTACAGACAAAATTAAGTTACCCTAATGATAATCTTGCCGACTAGTTTTAACATTTTTGACACGGTGTCTACAATTCAGTCAACTAAACGACCTGTATCATAAGATCAATCATGAACAAAAGCCCCGTTCATTCAATTAGACTCATTTTATGCGGCAATCGCCGACCAAAACTGATAACAAACATTGTAACAAAACATTCTAATTCAGTCCAATACAAATAATCATCTAAAAATCAATCATTCTTGAATCGAGGTGACAGACATTTGGTCAGTAGACCCAGTCCAGCTGTCTGTTTCACTCTCACGTATCTTAATAAACTTTGAGCATATTTATTGACTCAGACTGATGGGTCTAATAGTTGACTGTAACCATGGGGATTGGGAAGGGGCGTGAGTTTATTTGGACACGTGACAGTGAATCAGCTTGTAGCAGTGATCCGATTGGATAATCACTAGCACGTGTCAAAATAAATTTATACGTCGTACCCTCTCCATGGTAAGTTCCGTCCAATCTCCATGGTTACTTTTATTTATTTATTTCATCTATTTGTTGACATTAAATACAGACACTCGACAAGGCATTTTATTGTCATATTACTTGACGATTTAAAATTTTATTAAGTTCTCTTATCTAGATTCTAGAAGGACGAAAAATTACTTTTTATACCGATTAGTTTGTCAATGACCAGAAACCAGTGGGAAATGATGCAATGATTTCTTAAAATTTCAAGATAGCAGAAATATGGTTATTCGTCAAGTAAGCTGACAATAATGATAACAACGCTACTTACTGAACTGTGAAAAACACTGTGGCGAAGTGCTTAACACTTTAATCATCACTCATCACAATACACATTACACAATACATTATATTAGATAGTCTAGATATAACAACAATAATCATCACTCATCATGACTCACACAATTCATTATCTGTATCAAGAAGGACGTCTTGAGTGGTATGTTGGGAGTTAGCAGAGACTGCTGGACTTGATAATATGCTGCACAGGGGGTGCCGTACCTGGTAATTATATAATTGGTTAATTAATTGGGTAATTATCAAGTGCCATCTGCAGGTGATAATGGATTGGTGTTGAGGCGATTGTGTCAAGACAGGACAGTCACGGCTCGCGAGTGAATGATACAAGAATATGCTGAATGATGCCGGAATGATGCCGGAACTTGCTCAGTAAGCCCAGCTGTCGAACAGCGGCTGGTGCGAGATGACAATTTAGAATTTTTGGGAGGTGCCGTTAATTTTAGAACGGTGCTGCACCCTGCACACATTTTTGCCGATAATTTAAGGGATTATACTTACAAAATTATCAGGTACAATACAGGTATGTGGGTAGATCTACTGATTACAGCCCTCAATTGATGATCTTCTCAATTATCAGCTTAAGTTTAAGTATTACAGAATCTCGGAGAATGGTTGTGACAGGGAGGGTCGGGGTTTTCCAAGTTGGTGGAAGGTTTCGGTGAGGACGGGTAAATAGGTTACTTGCTGATAGCAGTACTTTAAATGATTACTAAGTAACGAACGACTTGGGATAACCTGATTATACAATCGTAAAATCGATTGAAGTTCAGTCGGTTACTGTTGATAGAGTTGTAGATCCACATATGTCATTATTCTTAATCAATACTTTAATGTAATGAATGACAGTCAGAAGTCTATAATTTTGCTTAATTCCAGGGGTAAAAATGTATTCATTTGCCGGTACCAACTTTTTTGCCGCAAAAACATCTCTTTTGTTTTCCTGGAAATCATTCACATTTTAAGATTCCAGACGAGTAAGAACCGATCAAAGACCACTGATTCAGCCCTGAAATAGATCTGGAATACTAGAACTAAATTGTAAATCTGACAGGACAGAATCATGACCCCATGAGGCCAATTGAAAATTGTGTGCTGGAAGGCACCGTAATAAATGACAGATCTGAGCCGAGTTACTAGTGCGATTCTCCTGAATTTCTCCATCTATGGTGACTGATGATCAACCCAGAACGGATCACCAAGTTCTGAATACAGGACTCAACCAAAGTCATCAGCTGGTAGATTATATCAGCTTATATCAGATTATATGAGCTTCCTTGTATACAAGGAATGAATCCTGATCTTTATATTTTTACTGAGATGGCTGTATTGAGCTAATTAAACCGTGGAAAAATGAATCTTGGAGCTTGAATGGCCGGTCACGTTAAATAAAAGTTGTTTTCGATCAGGTATAACTTGGAAAGTACGACTATGATAAACGATTCCCTTTTTCAAACGTGACTCAAATTGTTATTGCATTAAGCTTTGAAAATTTTATAACTGGTTTCAAATTATGTTCTATCAAATCTAATAACAGCTGCTTAACCACAGTCTCCAGTCTTTCGAGTTTAAATTGAGCTATGACAGTATGACTTGGATCATTTAAACGAATTTTAAGTATTAAATATCCACAAACAGGCAAACCTAAAAGCATTTCATGTTTTCAGGATGTGGTTTCCGATTCCAGCAGACGTTCAGTCTTAAAAAGAAGACGAACTTTTTAGTTTTTAACAATGAAAAAAAAGGATTGTCTGTAAAGAGTCTGCATGGATTTTAAAATAACCCCTCCAACAACCCAGAACTCAGCCAAATGACCATAACAATCGATATAATCATTGCTGTGTTTACATTAGATCTTGAAGCTTCCGTTTGTGTGGTTAAGTCCTGTTAAAACCTATAGCTCCTAAAACCACAAACAAAAATCTTAAAAAGCTGGGGATAGATTTAAGGACAATTTCGCAGAAAGGGTCCTGGTGGATTCCTGTTAGCACCATCTATATGCAAATAAATTATGATAATCCTTGTTTTTAACAAAAATGATAGTCTTGTTAGACCGAAGCCCTCTATCTATCTAATACCGTCAACCGTCTCCAATCTACATGGCTGTTAGACTAGCTGTTTGTTGTATCCAACACAATCTGACCAACTCATATAGTTATAACTACATGTACGTCTAGTGTATAAATACACTAGACGTACATGTAAGTGTGAACTGTGGCTCAGCACAAAGAGGTGTTAGTTTGGTTTTGATAATTCAATCAGATATGGTGAGTACAAGATGGGTATAGACCAGGTCTGAATAGAATCAGTGCTTCCTCTGGTATAGGCTAATAGAATTTCAAGTGTTAGACTGAACACCGTTCAAATGATGAAAAGTTTGGTAATAAAACTTTTATTTCCACGACCCATTATTTTTGATTATACATATAATGCTGGAACTGACTATCGAATTCGATTAGTTCTGTACGTATTTTATCTAGACATAATATTGAAGAGATTAAAGCCATGCAAGTTTTAATGTTTCGTGATTTGTCGCCAAAACAACACTTTACAGGTTACCACAAGCCTCCTATTATGAGCTTAAACGTAGACTCATATCGATTTCATGAAATGGATCGTGAGAATTTATTTGTAGACAATCTGGACCCATATGTTTCCCTTTTAACTGGTTTCGACTTCCCTTTCAGTTGAACATCCCAGTTTTTGTCACGTTTGAAATAAATACCTGGGCGGAGAATGAAAAACTACTATTTCATTATGCTTTGTCCCAATATAATAACTAATAATGAGGGTACATAGAATGGAAGATAGAATTCAATGGTAGTTCCCTTTTGCCAAGAAAATTGACAAATGAAGTGCTCAACTTTGCCGCCAAAGATACCTCTATCAATTTTCAGTAGTATAAACTCACTATACCTCAACATTATTACGGATAAATATAATGTAAACATCGAATTACATGAACTTAAGTGATTTACGGTGACCTACGGAACGGTCAAGCTAAAAATGGGTCTTCGAAAAGAGAAAGGGGTAGCTCACAATTTGGGGCTAGCTTTTCTGTATGTTGGATTTCTATGTGTGCATGGAATGAAGGAGGAAATTGTCTTTAAGAATTTAAGTACCATGAGATAACTGTATGAGATGATTTTATTTATATACCTGTAAATAATAACCGATCTTAGACTTTTACACCTTTATATTTATAATCTAGACTTTTACACCTTTGGTTATTCAAGGATTATATGCCTGGGAATTGTTTCCTCAAGTTTAACCATATTCTTTCTTTGTAAACAGGATTCTTACTTCTGACCAGTAGTCATGGTACGATGGAAACCGATCTGCAATTTTTACACCTTAAACTTGAGAAAATAAACATGTGAAAATTGTTATTTTCTGGAGTTCAAAAGGTGCGAATAGTAAACTTACGTAGCCACCAAAACATCGATTTCGCACCTACGAGAGTAGCTTTCAACGTTTATCCGAAATTCATATCGGTTTATGAAAATAAATACATGGAAAACGAGAAAATCACATTTATTACCTAAAATTTTGCGAACGTTTCTGTTTAAATTTTGGGACTTTAAAACTTTACATTCCATCTGACATGAATTATCCTTGGTGTCTTTAAAATTGATGTTAACGTTATCACAAGCATTAAATTGCAATCATGAGACCACTCAAGCGAGTGCATAAATTTACAAATCCCTTTTTGAATTTGAAAATCTTAAAACTCGGATCATGTGGAGATCATGGATCCGCCGACAAGGTGTACGCGACAAATTTTGAATTTTTGAACCGGAAAAAAGTGATAAGAAATATTCAAGTAGACAGTAGACATCAAAATGAACCGAAGGAACTCAAATTCATTAGACATCCAGGGAAAAAATACCGAATCTTGCCTAATTCCCCTCAGTAAATTTCAGAACAAATTATGGACATTTTCATCTCAATATTTTAATCAGATCGGTGGTAAGGTAAAGGGTGGGGTAAAGGTTCCAGATAATTAGATATCGGAAGTTTTTTAGAAATTGTGGTAGGAAATAGAGACGTATAATTATCTTTAAATGTGATATTCATATCCACTGATCTCCCAAAACAGAGCAGCAGAGTAATTTTCCGGGTTTTCTGGAGATTCATTTTTAGGGCAGCTCTCAATGTCTAACAATGGGTCATTTTTTCAATAAAATTCTTCTTGGCCTGTCATTCGATTATCTGATTATCGTATCGATTTCATGAATGTCTGTACATTTCTGTGTTCATTATAATGGCTTTCTTCACCATCATTAACCATGTCTACGAAATATATTGTAACCGATATAGCCTACTAAAAATTATTAAGTCCACCATATTTCCTTTTCTAAATAACATACTTTCTAAGGTCTGTAAAAACTATGTTAATGTTAGACCTAAGATCGATTAGATTCTAAATAGTAATACACATGTAGCACTTTCCCACAAGTCGTATTTAATGTAAAATATTCTAAAGAGCCTTTACTTGAGAGCCTTTACTTGAGCCGGTGTGCTCCTCTACTCTAAGGACACTGTCAGTTCATGTTACTGGCTGCTGACAGAGTTCTAAAATCCATGTCTACTTTTCTTATTGAATATTTCATTTTAATGATAAACTTTCATTGCCAAATTCCGTTCCTAAAACCTGGATTTCCTAAAGAATTGCCGGTGTCCTGCCTAATCTCCACAGGCACTTAAAACAGTGTAAAGGTCCCAGATTTTGGTGGCTTACTCCTTAAATGAAGCCCTGCAAGGTATATTTTGGCTACGGCTCTGCTTTCAAGCAGAAAACTCTCGACATCCCTGCTTAATACACAGGTTTTCATGATTGACCAGGTTGAGACTTGAAACGAAAATGTTTTATATTAGACGGTTATACCATTGGATCCTGTGAGATAAGATCCAATCAGAGCCAGTTACGATTGTAAGACAAAATCGTACAATACTTTAATAAACACCAGTATGAATACTCACAGACTTCACAGAAAATCCCGAATCAAAGACTGAAGACACAGTCATGTCTATCTATACTTTGAATTCAGGGGCGAATGATTGAAAACAAATTACATAAAAGTAAAAATTAAGAACGGATAAATTCACACTTTTCACAGTTTACACGTTCGGAGCTTTTAAACTGGTAGACTGCGTCTCGGTTAAAACCGTAACACCAGTCACCAGTTACAGCCTTCACCAGCGAGATACAAAGGCCTGTCGAAGAGCTGCCTTGTCAGATTGTCTCACATATTCCGGTACTAGTCCCAGTAATAAGGTTTGATCCTAACAACTGCGCACCCCGACCAACAGTTTCTGGAAACCTGACTGACATTTCTTCTCATTATGGCAGACAATGGAATTCTGCGAGTGTACGTGTATAGTGATGGAATGGAATTGACTTGTAATCAGTTTCCCTAGTAGCAACTGGTATTTAATGGTACTAATCTTGTGATATTATGAAATTTAAACAGATACCAGGACACAAGGGCGGATGACACAAGTGCGGTGGACACTATGGCGGATGAGTATGGCACGAGGGCGTAGGGCACGATGACGCGGACGGTACTTTCCGGTATATGAACTTTTGTTTATAAGCGTCATTTGAACACTTGGAGAGAACCCAAAATATGTTTTCCAGTTTCCATTTCAATTTAAGAGTTGGATTACGACGAGATCAGAAATTATGTTAGGATAACCAACAAAAACACTCGAAATGAATTTTATAAAAAAGCGTATCATAATATTATAATAGAATTAAAACATTAAAATGAAAATAAATTAACAGTTCATTGATCAATCATGCATCAATTAGTAGATCCTAGCTCCTAACACAACTTTCTCATATGGGCTCAGTTTTCTAGTCTCTAAGTTGTAGTCTCTCTCAGAAAAGCCCGAATTGTCAATAATAGTCCAGTTCTCGTGAATCACATAGAACTCTCTTCGTGGATTTGGAGTCCGAATCAGGCATGAGTTGTGGTGGAGTGTACCCTTGTGTCGCTTGGCGGCAGCGGCGGTGCTCGGCATCATGGTGCTTGTAAGCTGTATTCTTTTATCCAGTTGTTAGTTCAGTTGTCACGTGATAATATTGTAACTTATCACGTGACAATACTGTAACTTGACATGTATCTGCTTTACAATATTATCTGCTTGAGTAAGCTCCTCTGGTAGTCCTGGGATCCCGTAGTAAACTCGGTGAGACGACTCTGTAATCAACATGTGTCAGTTGCTTGCGGAGTTTGACAGATCCACGGTATGGGTAATTTAGTGGGGTGACAGTATATAGAGGCATGTTCTAGCAGTGAAATTAGTTGGGAATTGTTGCTATTCTGGGAGTTACAACTATTCTGGGAGTTTGTATTAGTATGTATCTAACATAGGAACAAACGGATTTGATGGGTATATCTTAGAAGCAAATGGTTTTGACGGGTCCATCTTACAGAATTAGAAAGGGTAATTTGGTGGTGTCAGCTTGGTCGTCTTTTGGTCGTCGGCAGAACGCTGGCAGTATTGCACGGCAGAACGCTGGCAGTATTGCACGGCAGAACGCTGGCAGTATTGCACGGCAGAACGCTGGCAGTATTGCACGCTAGTACAGTCTCAGTTCTGCCGTAGTACTGGCGGAGTACTGCCGCCGCTCTGTTGCAGCTTTGCCGACGTTCTGCCATCGACACATTCCGGCAGTAAAATTAGGATAATCTAGAGTTGCTCATAGTTTGCTTTTAAAACAGGATCAGCTAGGAATTTTAGGCGGGAGTTTTTGAAAAGATACCATGGTTTCTTCTTACGCTGAGCCATAAATCACGAAAGTTGCTCCTAAAACAAATTAAATGGAAGATGAATATATTATATATAGACTATTGATGTCATTTTACGATTTTAATCCCATGTAAACTGCTGCTGGTATAATTCCTCGTTTAAACTAGCCTTGATTTATTGAAAGGGGTTAATCACATGCTCTCCTTATCCAACTGTGGAACAAACGACTAAAAACAGTTTTCAAAGAGCTAAAAATGTAGGTCAGTCTGGCCTAGTTGGGTAAGATGTCTGAAATTATTCCTGCTAAAAATACCAGTTGCGGGTGAAATTAAAATCAGATTCATTTAGACGAGGCCATATGCTATTTTCGGGGATTCTTTTGATGAAATTGGTATGTGCGTGACTTTGGCATGGTTTTGATTATTATTCTCAAGGCCTGCAGGGCTGCAGTGCCAACGTTTGGAGGGTAAATAATAAATGGTAAGTGCTCACTAGCACTTAAAACGTTTCCAGCAGACAAGAAGCCATAATAAAACGAATATTATTATTATTTACAATTTCCTGTTTGCACGTTATCATACTCGAGGTTCTCCTAGGTGGTGGCATGGGACCTAATTGTTGGCACCCATCCCCACATAAATAACTACATATTACATACTACATATATCAGATAGGGAGGCAATACACGTTTGTGTGTCCACTAAAATAACATTGCTGTCCAGATTAATTTCTAAAATAAATGACCGATATTGTTCCATTCATTGTTAATTAATTCATTTTAATTGAGTGTACCACCGCCCACAACATCACCACATGTATTAGCTTACTGAGTAAAACCTTCAAAACGCCCCTCAAACAAATCTTACCCGTAGGACTCTGACAAATGCTCTAGTTATTTAACTGGTGGTAATTTTCTCCGGTTGAGTTTCTCCTAATCTGTCATGACAATCAATCAATTTGTTTTCTTTAAACGATAAATAATAACTTTTCTTTGTTAAGATGGACACTAAAAGTGGTGAGATTGTCCTGTCTAGACCGTCTTTTATGTGCTGTGATATGTTAACATATTATTATTTGGGAGAATTATTACATTTTAACTCTGTGGTGTTTTTAACGCTATCTAGTTATAAGTTTACTAAACTATGTATAATGTAAAAGTTAGAAAAATAGGACAATAAGACCCGAATAAGACCCAAATTATACAGCAATGATTGTTTAAACCAAACAGAAGACAGTTATAAAACAGGTTATTGCCGTACAAAAAGGAACTTTATAATTTTTCCAAATCAAAGTTTCAAAATATTAACTTACCAAAACGACTTGTAGCTGAATAATGTGAAGCTCCTGTGAGAATGTCATGAGGAATGCAAGCAGGTCCAGGGCCATGACCCACTCAAATGCTGTAGCCACCAGATGTATGTTGTATCCCTGTAAAGAATTATATTAATCATACTTAGCATACTTAGATTTGAGTTGTCTTCAGTCTGCGAAGTTACAAGTATTTACAAGTATGATGAGTACGGTTTTAGTATTGTTTTGGAATCGTTCATGCATTGTTTTTGGCGTTTCAAGAGATATTTACGGATGATCTGACCAATTGGAGACAGAAAACATGCAGGAATAACAGTTAACAATCAGTAGAACTAGACATAACACTTTAAACTAGCCCTAAAACTAGCCCTAAATCTAGCCCGGTTATATATCGAGCGAGACGAGCCATGGGCGTTCATCTTGTTTCATTCACAGTTCATCCATCCAGCAAACAGGTAGAGCTGTAGAGCATGCAAAAAACGACAGTTTATGAGTTTTAAACGCAAGACTATTTTATGAGACTCAAAAAACATTCCAAAGCGGCACCAGATTGGCGCGAGAAGCCGTGCCAAGATATAGTAATTTGATGAGATGACACTGACTTGCAGGTCTTATCCAAACTGGATTGTCTGACAAAATAAGTCTACTTTTTTAACCAAACATTTTAAATTTTGAATAATCGATAGATAGAACTATATATACTTTGAGAGTTCAAGGGTTTGTTTTGAAATGCTTCACTTCCTGTGCACTGAAGTTCCGAGAAGAAAGGTGATAATTATGGGGTAATTTGAATGCGCCTTCCTTTGAAATTGGTATAATATGTTTGAGTTCCGCTAGAAGAAAGTAAAAATCATAATATTCTCATTGGAGTGGAAATTCCCGGTAATTACAGATTAGATTTATAAACATGATGAGCTTGATTGTTGAAACTTGAAGAGGGAATTAGTGCCCAAAATACTCATCAGTTAACCTTGATTGCAACAAGTTCAAAGAGAAACTCAATTTCCTATGTTTGTTCAGGATTTATCTCCACGGACCACTGCACGCATGCTTCAAGTATCCAGAGAAAATTGTAAATTAAGTTATCTAATCACCAAAAAGGCAGGTGGTAATCAACCAGCGCCTGCGGTTTAATTAGCCAAAATTTCTGATAGACAGGTTTTAGAAATAGTTTAATTAAAATTAATCTCCCGAAAGTATTGCAGAAATTGGAAAACCAGCACCAGTAACACGTACCATGACGTATTACTTGATACTTATTTACTTATCAGCCTGGTTTACTACTATGACATATTGGCCTGCTTTTAAACTTATAATATTACTCACCCCTCTTAAATACATGTTATTCACCACACCACCATGTTACCCCGTCATAATATATTACCTTATTACCTACCTTATTAAATTTTCGTGCAGGGTCGGAAAATGAGGGCTGACAACTCGGTTTTGCATAAGATGACGTAAATAATATTACTAAACTCCAGCGGAAGGAAAAAACACGAGGTGAATTTGCAACATTTCTTCCCAATGATTTTATGCGATGTCTGGTCACGGTTTTTCTTTTATCACACTAAAACGTGACCGTTATTAGAGCGTAGTCCAAGTTTACTGGTCAGGATTTCCATGGGTTGTAATCTCATTAATGGGAATTTGTCGTGATTATGGGAGAACATATCCAGGAATGATTGTGGGAGAATCCTATAAATTAGAGGGTCAATTATGCGGTAATATTATGGAGAAAGAAATTTGATCTGAGCGTTTTTTGGGTGATAGCGACCAAGATTTTATCAGTAGGTAACCGCAGATTGTGTTAAGACTGATATTATAATGCACACTTGGGTGCGCCTAGTACAAACTTGTTCAGTTCTTATCAGCTATTGATTGTAGAATAACTGATAAGAAACGTTGGATATAACAAGTTGTTATACGGGTGTTATAACTGGTTACTTTGAACGTGATCTAATGATTTTTTCTTAAAACCGTAAAAAACATGGAGATACCACCTCGGTTGGGAATAATTTGATATATTACCCGGCGTTTTTCAATGAGAAATATTAGAACTCTAAATTCATGGAACACAGACATGCAAAAGGTGACATGTAAAGAAGTAAACATCTGACTTCCAGAGGAAAATCGAATTTGGCGACCTCGACACAGTGTTAAATTTTAAGAAAAAAACGGAAGTTCTAATAAAATTAGGCCCCCAATATGTCACAATACTCATGCCAATTACCGATCAACAAGGAAAACTTAGTAAAAGTGGAGAAATCGTATACGGAAATAAATGGTATAGATTTCATGGCGAATGAAAGGTTTCATTTCAATGGTTCTTGGACTGAACCAAGTCCAAACAACAAATACACGTGTCTATAGAAGGAAATAACATGCCACTGAGAAACTTTAACGAAACATAAAGGCTTATAATCGAACATGTACCCCGTGCAACAAATCCCCTTTCCTACTGCGCCGACACGTGGAAAATACACGTGTTTTGTAGTGTTTATCCGGAAAGAGAGGGTCAGGGACAGAAGGATTTCGCGATTATTTTGGCCAAAAATCGCGATACCGCGTAATTTATCAGGCTATACATTAAACTACACATAAAATTTGTCGCAAATAATGGGAAAAATCGCGATTCCGTACATGCCGCGATTTCCTTTTGGCCCTGATCAGAGGGATGCCCTTAGTAAACGTTGACACAATCAACACATAAACCCTACATAGAGATGCGGGCTCCGTTTCCATTGAGGTACCTTATCACGCTCGTTCCATAATTTGGACTTTGAATCGGGGTCGAATGGGACCCACTGATACCACGCTACACAACTAGCTGTCATACATGTGTTGGAGTTAAGGTTTCATAACTTTAGGGTTTTTTTTGTGTTTTTTTAAGAGTCTAGGCTGGACCTAGATGGCCCATGAAAGGATAGCATGAGGAATGAGGATGCTCTGCCTGCCTCTGGGATATGGCAACCCTGAAGGAATGTTGGCTAATAATTGGTCATCATGACTTGTACAGTTTTATGCACAATTATTGGATCTGGCCGATGTTGAATTTGGTAATCAATGATTATTTTGATTGTGAAACGTTTTGCATATTTTAAGTCATTGTGAATTTGGATGATTAATGTGATGAACACAGCTTAACTTGACTATCCCGATTTTCTAAGAAGAAACAGCATTAAAAGAGTATTTAAAGAGGAAGAAATCACTAGACTTAGCATAAAAGCAAAGATCACACACCGATCAAAACAAGATATAACACGCAGTAGCAACCACAGTAGAGTACTTTATTACGATTTATTATTCCAAACTCGGGTATTCAAACAATGTCTCCAATCAATCCAATATAGCATCTCAGCATGAACACATTTGGCAAGGTCAGTTTCAGTCACAGTCACAATACAAATAAGTCAAGTAGTTGATAACTTGTTAATACAACTTATATAACTTATATAACTTGTTTATATGTGCTATTAAGTATAAAGTTTCCATTTCACTGGTAGACTAACCTTATCATTTTTGTTCCAGAGCTGAGGTTTACGATCATCATTGAGATGCTCTGAATACCACAATTCAAATGCTTCTTTTGTTGTTATGATCACTATTTTAGTTTCCGTTAAAGACAACATAACTTTACATGTTTTTTAATTTGGTGTTTTACCTACGATCTGATGTGCAAAATCTTTCATAAAATTAAACCTATTCATGTTTTAATCTTGAAAATAATTACGTTATTTGGGATTCTTGTGCTGTAATTACATTCAATGATTATTTCTCAAGCACGGTTCTAGACAATAGTTTTATTCACGACAACTACCAATGAGACTTTATTGTTTTATCTTTTTATGTTAAGCATTAATTTCAAATAAAGTGTGCAGTACAGTCACGGGCAAGTGAGTTCCGAGGAACCCCTAAATAACTAAATAATACAATATGTGTATTGTGTTGTAACAAAAAGTTCGCATTCACCATATTTTACACTTTACAGAACAACTAGGCATTCATTTTGGTAATAACCGTAATATATGAATAATATATTATGTTATAAATATAACAGGATATCTAAAGATATGCACATATTATCATACTTAAAACAACAATTTACCACACGAAATTCATTACTAAGTTACTAACTGGGAATCACGAGATTTATGAATCTGTCACCTAGTTTACACTTTACACTGTAACGTAGACAACACATAATAAAGTTATCGCTGTGTTTCACCAGAAGCAAAACTCGCAAATTCATTGACAAAAGCCACACTTCTCATAATTCGTGTACTGTTTGCCATAACTACGGTCAAAAGTTACGACAAAAATGATTTGCGTAAGGATGCAGCCGCTGCTACGACTGTTTCAGCTGATTTGAAATATTTTTCGTCGGCAGTTGCTGCCAATCTAGGCGGTCTATATGGTGATAAGACAAAAATATGCCCGGTTTTCTAGGCGGCTGCAGCGACTACATCCGTCTACACCTGACCAGGATCAAGACACTCTTAAGACACACTGGCGACTTACGTCATCATTCTTACTCCAGAGCTGAGGCTGTTTGTGATCGTACTGGTGTTGAAGGTGCCACATACCAATTGCTATACCAGTCGTTATGTTCACTTTGTTTAGTTAAGATGGCAATAACTTGGCATTGTTTTTGTAATCAATTAAATTATCTAATAATGCTATAATGCTCTAGTGGATACAATATCTTGTTCATCTCGAACATACTGCAGTAATTCTAAAATTAAGCAAACTCTTTCTAAAACGTGTTCTAGAATTATTTTAGGATCGACAAGCACTCTAACTGAATTAGAGTCCAGGTTCGACAATGTCGAACTTTAGGGTTTGTCCAACTAGAGTACGTGTACAACTAGAGTACGTGTACAACTAGAGTACGTGTACCTTATTTTAGAATGTAGGTTCATTTCAAACTTTACAGTCCAATGGACGTTTCCGGTGTACGTTTTCAGGAATAGGTTAAAACAGTGAACACTTTAACATTGAAATTAAATAATGTACAAAAGACAGTATCCACGTGTTGCATGCTCCAGGAATTCACGACAGCAAATTTGCGAGACATATTTGTTAGTTGTATAGACATATTTGCTGAATGCTGATTGTCAACTTGTGGAGTTAGCTTGTTCTGACAAGTCTATCATTAATTGTCTGACAACGCTAATTGGTTCTCACCTCCTCCGACTGCGGACAAGACTGCGAGGCTCGTATCCTTAACTTTTAGATTGATACAAAATTAAGTTTATATTTTAAAATATCCTAAAAGCAGGACTGTGCGTTTGGCATTAAAAAAGGTGCACTGCTGCGGTGTCTTATCCCTTATTTTACTATTTTTACGGAAATAGAAAGTTTGTTCACACTATGATATTCACACCTAACCGCTCCTATTGTAGAACAGGAATTTAAATGACCTGTTTGTGGTGCTGAAATATGCGAAATACTATCTGAAATACGTGAAATGTTATCTGAAATATGTGAAATATTACCGGTAGATTTTAGGTTGTACCCGTCCAAAGTACGGCTTCCATATTGTTGGTAAATACGGACTCTTGCACTTTAAAAACCCGGGAATCGGGAATAACATTTCGTCAAATTAGCAGTTTTATTTTTGAAGATTCATAACACATAAACTCTTAGGTGTGGAAATTCTCAATTAATCAAGATTAATCGAAATGCAACGCTGCGTCTAGGCTGATTTATGACGCGGTGGTTACCTACAGCAGCCAGCAGCCTGACTCATGCCTTAAGTTTATCAAGTCATTAAAATTCAAGACAGCCGCCGACGTATTATTTCGAAACATTGTTGTGCTTTGATTATAATAAGCCATGCATTCTAACGGAAACCTACCAAGTAATCCTGCAAATAATAACGTTCACAGGGAAAGTCAGGTCTATTCAGCGCATATGCTTATTACTATAATTAGTTTTCATTAAATGTAAATTAAATGCATTATTAAAGTTATTAGTTCAGCGACCTTGTCATCTGAACTCCACGTTTGGTAAGTTTTCTCCACGGTGGATGGTTCCCAAAGGGCAAGGGACCATGCAGAAACTCCGATAGCTTTTAGGCGTTGTTAAGAAATATTACGGCAAGAGTAATGAATGGAAATAAGAAATTAATGTTCATTTAAAACCTTCTTTCAAGTTCTGATTACTCCTTAAATCTATGTAAACATTGCCATATTAATACTGGTTCCAAATACCTATACCTTTCCAAAATGGCTATATCTAATAAAATGTAATCCATCCCGCTCTATTTATACAGATAAATACCCAACTAACCGTCTGACATCACCCCACATACATGCAACATGTTTTAAGATTTATACCCCGTCTTTACGCCCACACAACCCAATTATCCCCAATTATCCCTACTTTCGTCCCCATAATCCCCCCACTTCTATATCACAATCCTTCACACTCCAAATTTTAATCTTTCCTCTCGTCTGGAAGTATCGATAACGATTAGTTGATTACAATTATTAGTAGGAAGTGAACAGTGAACGATTATTTCGAGGCAGGCTGCCCATCAGCCCTAATAATTCTCGGGGACTGCAGCGATTAAAGTAATTTCATTGACTTCGGTAGGACGGTGCCAACAATACCTACATTTCGCCTGACTAGACTGTTTGTATTGGTGGGGAGGTGGTGGAGGACGATAAAATTATTATTCTACAGAACGTTGTTAGCTAGCAGCGGAAATTAAATGTGTTTTGGAATAAAATTATATTAAATTTGTTCTAGTAAAATTATATAAAATTCCAGTAAAATTATATTAAATTTATTTTTGTAAAGTTCAATTTTTCAGAGACAAATTTTGCAAATTGTACATAAAATCTCTCTTCAATATGCAGAGAATTGAAAAATTTTATTAACTCATAAAACTGTGATCGGAGAATGAGTATCTCGACGTATGCTTATCCAACAATAATCGTTAACGTACTTTAAACCCATCCGATTTTCAACTTTTAAAATTAGCATAATTGAAAAGAACAGAGTTTAATTTTAAAAACAAAGTTTAGTCTACAGTGCCGTCTACACGGAACCGTCCCCATTTTAAAAGCCCCAAAACCCACGCCAGGATGCGGAGAGAATACTGTGGTGAATGGGTCGGTTAGTGGGAGCGGAGTAAGAGATACCAAATACCGACACATTACTACAGACGAAACCGGGCTCTCCCGCCAACCTGGCCAGAACTTTAAAAGTCAGGTTAAAACTTTTACCCGGACACAATTGATTGCAAAAATGCGTAACATAAAGTTAAGGGTAAATGTGGGGAGCCTTTGAAAGTCAGGTCACCTGATATTGCAGTTACAAACTGGGGAACTGGGAGCTCCAAAGCTTGGAGGTCTGGAGTGAGGGTTCCGGGCAGTGCTGCTAACATACGGTATGTTCTGGTGGACGTGTTTTAGCTTTTTAGGGTCTGAGGAGGCGACTAGCGGTCAGATCACCAACGTAATTGAGATAGATGTACGAGACATAATAATATGTAATACGGGTTTCCACTTTCCTTGCGCGTGTATAAGAAGTGTTCCTGCACGAAATTGAGCCTCTAATTGTTCCTCAAAACACAGCAGTGTATCGTCTTATTTCCAGCGGCATTATGCCCTGGCTCCTTATGCTCCAGGCTCCTTATCCTGGCTCCTTATCTGGCTCCTTATTATGGATCCTGATGCTTATCCTTGGTTTAGCGTCATTATGTCCGATGGTCATTTTGCTTCATAATGTCTAGACTCAGTTAATTGAAAATATTTAACTGGTTATTATACTAACTTGTATGTAAATGCGAATGTTAGATTAAACTTAAATGTTTTCAACTTTTGTAAGGCTCGTTTCCTGTCTGAGAAACAGATTCACAATTCCAAATTTGAGGCTAAGAATTATACTTAAGGTGTTAACTTTCAGGTCTAACACGTCGATGATTCCGACTGAATTCTGAACAAATTTTCTCATTCTTGACACAATTCAAGAATAAACACAGCTTACCACAGCCCAAATATAAAATACAGCCCTACCAAGTTTTAAAATGCTGAAGACAAACTTAATCTCCGGCTAAAATTTTGGTATATTTCAACACTGATAACAGTGTAAATAGTTCCGCTATTTAGACGGCTGTTTTACAGCAGAGAAACCTTTAACTTTCAACTTCCTATCTACTTCGCCTGACATGTTTAGTCACGTACTTAGATGCTCTACATTAACAGACATTACTCAGTGGTTTTAGAGTGTTGATTAAGGCCAAAAATACGCGCTCTAAATTTAAAATTATGGGGATAAGTTAACACTTATTTTCATATTTTAATTGATGTTCCCGCCCGCGGCCCTGCATAATTAATTTTCCACAATTACCTCCAAACTGTGAAGTGTTTATCCAATTTATTTTAATTAACAACTTGCAGACAATCACCCTTGTGAATATGTCTAAATTCATCAAACTATGCTAATTCAACGATTTATTAATAATTTTCATGAACAGACTTATACTTTCCACCCTAGTTTAATAAAAACAGAGTCACTATAAATTACCCGTGTTTTTGTGCCCCTATAAATAAATTACCAGTGATGTCAGGGTATGTTATCTTGTAGGAGTTACGTGGGCTGATTATGTGACCACATGTGCAAATTTAATAACGAGGAGTAGAGAAATCTGGAGACGAAACCAGTTTTATGTTTCCTCAAAAAGAAGGATAAGTTGTTAAATTTAGCTGCTTTCAGATTAAATCCGTGACACATTCACGAGGAAAGGTTATTTTTTAAATAATATTCTGCTTTTGAATTTTGCAAGAGAAGGATTTGGAAGTTCCACTTTCTATCATGTATTTTTCTACCATGTACTATCTATCTGAGATGAAAAGTGTACCTTTAGGAACTTATTTTGAGCTTATATTGAGCTATCTGGGATATTGTACGCTAGTGTCCAATTTCAATACACAGAGATAAATAACAGTCAAGTGCTCCGCTATCAGAACAGAACCCCATGCAGCTACACAATTTGAAACTAGGAATGTTCCCCATATTTCAATAGCTTGGATGGAAGCTGTTTATTGAATTTATGTACCCGCGGCGGCATACTGTGTCGGAATAATGAATGTAATGTAATGTATCATTAACACACCAGAAACTATGTAATATAACTTGTGTACTCAACCTCATACTTTTAAAACATTCACCACTGTTTTATGCATCATGTGCTATTGACTATCGTATCATGGTAAAACTTGTGTTAAAATCATATTCCTCGTGAAACAAATTTCATGTCATGTAACAAACATGATTGTTTACAGCTTTAAGTATAATATTGAATGTACTCATTGTACAACCAAATCATACATTCAATCACTCTTAAGCATACTCCGTTCAAATTAAATGCTAATCTAATTTTTGTATTTTGTATCAATATTAGTACTACAATTCAGACACTGGAAACTACTCAGAACGTGATACCAATTACGGTACTCAGCCTACACTAACGACAAAGTCTGAGTACAACAGACGTGAATAGACTCATGAACAGGAGCCCGGACAAAAACAGGGTGCAGATCATTACGAGGGGCAGACTTTAATAGAATAGAGTAATAGTGCGGACTAGAATATAATAGTGTAGGCTGAATAGACCCTATAGTTAGATTTGGAGATTATTGGAAACGAGATTAGATTTAGCCCTGTTTCGTTTAATATCATTCACGTGTGACATTGCTACTCAGTATTCAGGGGACTGTGATCAAGACAGATCTAATTCATTTTAGAGATTGGAATTGGATCTTTTTCTTGAATCTGGATAAATCTACGAGAGATAATCTACTAACATTGTAGGAATTTTATTAATTCGCACAGTTTCAAGTTTTACAAGTTCATGAAATATTGCCACGCGTACCGGGCCATTGCACCCGCAAAAGGTGACGAGTACTTTTCGCAGTCGCTATAAAATCACTCCCTGACAATTGTTAGACTACATCAATGTGAAGAAACACTCACTCAAGCTCGATAGTATATCACACTTAATCACACACTTAATCACACTTAATCACACACTTCAATACCACTACTCGCACCTTGTCGTTAGAAGACCAGAGAAGAGCGTTAGGATTATCCGGGCTCGCCTCCCACACTGAGTTTGCTATGGACGCTGTTATTATAACTATCACATGTTAAGGCATTTCACTTTCTCTCTCACACTGGTTTCACTTTCACTTTTACTCTAGTGTTACTCACAAATTCTCAGTATGTCATTTTAAAATCTACTAAAATTCTCATTATGTCATGTTAAACCATACGCCACTTTTATCTATTCTCATTTTTATGACGACAATGACGACATACAGTGCAGACTAAAAGTGTGTGACGTAACACGCAATTTGTTCTGACCAGTCCCACCCAGTACCAAGATTAACCGGAATATTACAAGTATGCCACAAATCATTGTCATACTATCTCACACTTGCGCTTCTAAGCACCACAATCGCTTTCCGCACAATTTCACCATATCACTGCACGTAACCCGCCATATCACTCCACCTTCTCAAATACTCGCAAATACATGAAATTTCTCAGAAGAGCTCATTACGAAATTGCCACTTCTGACTGAGATTCCAGACCGTAGATTAGGTCAACAATGCAGGTAAAGTGCTAGGTATTTCACCAATTGACGTTGTGACGGAACAATACCTCAACTACAACCAGACGACTACACTAATGAGGCCACGGTGAGAACCCTTTTCCGGGGTCGGAGAATTTGTTAACTAGTCGGGACAACAGATTTTTTAATAGCTGATTGGTAATAGTCCGCCGTTTCCAATTAGCTACACCTAATTTTATACTGTGTGTTAAACGTGGTGAGTTTTATTTATCTTATTTGCGGTAAAAGGATACTGATGATAAAGCTGATGGCGGAGAGAAATGCCATGAAGAGTCGAGCCTTGGCGTACCCTCGCTCGTCCACACCAAAGTTAACGTCCCGTCGGAATCCCAGCGATGCAATCAGGAACATGTAGACTGTACCTGAGGAGAGTTGGGGGTTTAGCCACGTGTTCTAAAGGTTTGTTTAGTCACGTGTTCTAAAGTTGAGAGGGGAGTTCTGCCCGACGTCTGAACTCGGAACTGACGCCTAGAAATGTTTTTAACAAAATAAGGTCACGTATTGCGGGAAGGGGAAGTTTCCTGTTTGAGTTCTTTTCAGGGCAACTTTCTTTTCACGAATGAGTTACAGGATAAACGTACGGTATTGTCCTATTCAGAATATGAGACGTAATGTGTTCACGGAAGGAGGGAAGGAGTGCACGTGTAAGGTTCTTTCAAGACACTTACTTTGGTGAATGTAATTTTTAGGAGATGGAGAGAAATGAAAAAATGGGAGGAGAATCTTTCGGGGAAAGTTGACAGATTCTTAGCTTGACTGATTACAGAATATTTTACACTCGTCGTATTCCTCAGTCCTCACGTTATCATACTTAGTGTTATTATGAACGAAAACAGAACCGATCAAATCCTAATTTGGAAAAATTTGGTGATTTATTCAGCATAATTTGTGGTGAGTCAGAGCGTCGAGAAGAAAGGGGATTTATCTATTTTGAGGCCTGTAAAAGATTTTGCTAACCATGCACTTAGACGTGAAGAGTCTCCGCTTCTCGCTCTTAAGTCAACGGTAAATTCCCAAATTGGTGTCAATTGGATACAATATACAATATTTGTAAATTTGTAACACAAAATAATGAAAATATGTTCCGATCCGAGAATTTAATGTGATTAGAGAAATTACGCGGCCCTACCGGGGATACAGGTAGAAAGTTCGAGATCAAAGGGACGAGCACTTTTTATAGTACATACTTATTTAAGGAATTTGTACTGCAGGTGCAGCTCGAGATGATCAAATAAACTTACCTCCAATGAATGCCATCATCGCCCCCAAAACGTGCACTGCCAATACGTTAGTTTCCTGAAAAGAAGACGTCTGTTAGAAGCAAGTAGGGAACACCCGGTTACTTCACAAGATACCGTTCCACTTTCCCCCTCAATGTGGCTACTGGTCCCTGCCCCACCCTTCACTACTGAATAGCCAATACGTGCTAATTTATACAGGGGAACAAAGGCAGGTTTCGCCAAGTCTGTAAGTTCTGCTTTCCGTTTTTAACTTTATTTTACTGAAATATAGCGACAGAAAATTGAATGCCAGTCGGCGGGGTTTTTCTCCGCAGAAGTACTGACACAGATACTTGGCATGATTCAGGTACTTGTTACACTATTAAAAGTGTCACGGATCTGTTACAATACTTTACATACTGACATGTTGCCAGATGTAATCATGTCCCGTCATTCTAACTAATAGACATTGCAACAGTAGATATACACCAACAATATCCATTGTTCACTTTCAAGACACTCTAGGAAGTCCGGTCCAGCTTATAGCGGTGGGGAGCAGGCGGGACAGGTTCGTGTGACTATTTTTTAACTTATTTTCTAAAAATGTGAAACACACGAGGTTATTTTCTAAAATTGTGAAACACGGTTAAGCGTGATTTTGTTCGGCAGCACGCACGGTGTAAGGTTGTAACTGGTCCAGTGGTTATAAATACCCGAAGTGTTCAAATCGACTTAAAATTACTGCCATACCACTGCTGCATTTATTTGAATAACTTATGATAAATTTATTAAGCTTTAAAATTTCAGAAATTTGATTACACATTTTTGGATTATATAACAGACAAAGAGATTTATTTTCAATCATTTGGTTCATAACTACAGTTATGTGTTAACAATTTATATAGATAAAAACTTGATTAAGCTAATATAATTAAGTTTGATTCATGGAATGAACGAACCTGGAAGGCACCCACTACCATAATTCCAAAAGCAGCGACGTATCCGATTACGAGAGCAGCAGTATTAATTCTTGTTACCGCCGAACTGCATTGTCTATTGTACTGTACTACGTGCAGGTACTTTAGCGTGAATATCGCTAGTACTGAAATTTAACAGTTAATAATGTGTTTAACAATTTACCATTGTGAGTTACGACATAAACATTCAGATTCACGTTAAGCTAGTAGTTCTATTTGGGACGTTCACACACCCAAATCTAGTTGGAAGATCTATTATTTTAAAGAAAACGGGAGTTCACTCACATACAACCGCCGCACAGTTGAGGAATAGAGTAAAGACACAAGATTCTGGAGGGAACGTGCCAGTGTCACTGAAAAAGTAAATCATATTAAGTTTAGTTGTTCATATTATTGGGGTATTTTCCAGTGTCTTACGGAATAGTTCCGGAATATTTACTCTTAATTTATCAAAGGATCTCCGATGAGAGTTATCCCGGTAAATACTGTAAATAATTTGAGTGTACGAATTCGTTCTTTCCTAAGTAACTACCACATTCCTCACTCCGCAGGTCGCTTTTCTTGTGAGTTATTTAAGAAAAATACAGCCAGCAAGATCTTTAATCCCCCGGAATAAAAGTGCTCAAACCCCCAAATTAATAATTCATCAATTTTCCAGGAACTATATTGGTTAATCTAAACAAAGACTTCAATATATTTGAAGGCCTTCTTTTCAATTTACGAGACACTATTTAATTAAAAGGAACAGTATGAAGTTTATCCTAAACTCTAAAATCTTAATACCTGATATAAGGAAAAGCAGCTTCTACGTGACCATACGCCACAGCCATACAATAACACATAACAATACCTCCCCCTATCAACAGTGTCAATAAAAAGGGGAGATATCCCAGTAAACTGCCAAATCCTTGCACGGTCATCGTCTTGCTGCATTGTACAGGCAAATGTGGAGGGGGAGCCATCTTGGTCTAAATTGGTTTAAGTCAGTGAAAGTAAATGAAAATAAAAAATTCAGTGAATCAAAATGGAGTTTCAAGATAACAAGCAAATACATCAGACCAATTTTCGGTTGAAAACAAATGACATCTTTCATGAGGAACAATCACAAATTATGTAGCGTAAATGTATAAATAAAATTGAAAATTTGAGAATTGAAACTATGATTAAGAGAGTAAATGATTAAAAACAACTTTTTCAGTTGCAAGGTAAAACTGTTCAATAATTTTATTTTTCTGCTTGATTTAGTGATACATTTTTGTTAGGTGAAACTTTGGTGTTTTAATTTAACATCAACAAAATTTCCGGAATTTCTATGATTAAGGTTAACCTAACAAAGATTCATAACATAGTCATACAGAGGAAGAATACAATTAATAGCATTAATTGTATTCTAAAAACTATCCCAGAAGAGAGGAGAAGACTATGCGGCTATTATGTGTTACATGCGCACCAGGATTAGATTCTCAATCCTCAGGAGCACCCTGATAGCGGTCAGGGGTGAGAGAGGGAGACGGCAATCGTATACATTGCCAGTCAGTGTAACTTCGTTTAACTTGATACCTGCCACCATGGACTATGAATGTTTCTTTTGGTATTGAGATATTGGTATCTCAGATCACGTGTACATCGTTCCTTTTTTTATGACACAGTAATTTATTGACACTCACAGCTATAATTTTAATCATTGAATCAGTATTTTTATCTGTGCTCTGCGTAATGCATCACATGAATCAGTTTTTAATCTATTAACTTATTACACGTTTGTGCTCTGCTTTAGCATCACTTGACTATTTAAAAAAATTGTTTGTTCAGGCCATGACCTTATAGTCAGCCAATTGGCCATTGCTGAAATATTTTATAATTGTTTGACACTTTTTCCTTCATTAATAGCATTAAAGAGAAGAAACAATACTGCCAAAGTCAGCAGACCCTCAATTACAAATGACGGTTATGTTTGATGCAGGTCTCCCTACTCGGATTTCATCGCTTATTTTTATCTGATACTATTGTAAAATGCTCTATGCACATTTTCAGTTAAACATTTGAAATTAGCACCATGAATAAAGTACGATGACCAGAGGAGATGATATTATTGATTGTAGGAACAAACTAAAAGAATAGTAAAAGAGATTCGCAATCATGAAATCCCTACAAAATATTTTGATCGATGTATCAGAATATGAAATAAAAAGCATAATATGAACTTATTGATCAAGGCATTCTAAACACAAGCAGAAAGCCTGTCTGTCGGACACTAAATATTGGACAATACCTCATTCTGCCTACAAAAAAATTCTTGTTTCATTGATTTGTTGCTATCAGTAGTAAACCCACGATGGGGTGGCATGTGCTAATATTTCATAACAGGAAACCTATTGGTTGGTGTCAAGACATTTGAAAATCAAATTTAAAAAGCACTGATAAAAACTGTAGCCGAGCTCCTTCAAGAGGCTATACACAGAGATATTTACACCTCCCAACGTGTGAGGGCAGGGCACCTTCAAGCTTAAATTATTCACCTTACTGAGGCAGTCAACCAACGCGCGGCTTTATTTTTATGATATGATATGTTTTGATTGTTATTAATAAATACCAAAAGTTAAATTTGTTTTCCTGTGAAGAATTGAATCCCAAAGGCCAAAGGGACCACATCTGATAGATCCAGATTGAATATTGTGGCTATTGGTCATATGGCCGAAATTGGAAGAATCACCGATCAATATGCCCCTTCAAAGACAGAAATCCAGGCCTAATGTTTCCCCCCTCCTCCCTTAAATTTTTCCTTTTTGCTGCCCCTTGAGAGGATTTGGTACCCCCAAATATTTTTTGCGCCATCAGAACATTCAATTGGCGGAATATTGTACAAAACAGACATGTTTTCTTCAAAAAGGCCTAAAATTCAGAAAAATCTGTTTTGGTGGTATCACTGCAACAGATTTCATAAAAGACCACAAGAGCTAATTTCAAACAAAAGGAAGAAAAACTAGAGTTAGCTTCACAGCCATCCTAGTGACTCATCACAGAACTGAAAGTAAGCATAGGACGAACATGTAACAGCAGAATAGAAGATAAAGAAGGACTCATCCCAGCAGCAAAAAAAGACTTATGAAAAAAAGACTTATGAATATTGATAAACCTTACTGACTATATTATGATTTTTATAAGATTTTATCAATCTTACCACATGACTATTATACTATTGACAGATCAACCAAAGTGCAGAGACAAATAAAGAATCATGTAACCTCCTCAAATTGGTAAAACTTTTATTGACTAGGCGGCGCTCAGCCTGCCATTCCGCCGAATCTCTATTTATGAACATTATAGCCTGGGGTCTCCAGGTAAGGTGAAACTATGTGACAACAAATTATTTACATCGAGAAGCTACATGCAACGAAGATTAGCCATTCATAAAAAATGTATCAGTCATCACAAAACTAAGAAGTAGCGATGTAATAACTTCCAAAAGGTTTAATATGCTCACACTATTACTTTTGATCCTCCACAATAAGAGGATGTGAAAGAAACTGTTTGTTAATAGAACTCTTAGCTTGCGAGATAAAGTAAGGTTCTAGTCTAACGAATAGAACCACTTTGATTGCAATCAGTGGGAAAATTCAGTGAATTAAAAACACAAGGAATTCGTTTGTAAATCTTTTTTGCTTTCTAATCCCTAAAATTAACAATCAAAAACTTAAGTTTTCTTATTTTTTTCTGATCTCGCAATGATGGTGGCAAGAACAATTTAATAATGTGCGGTGCTGCCCGGTATTGCAGGCCATGCACATGATGTGACATGATTATTCCGTAGTTGGCTCATGTACAATTAAATAGAGAGTTAATTAGCTTGCCAGTATATTGATTGCTACTTCCATGGATATCCATGGAAGTAGCAATCAATGTACTGGCAATCTAATTAACTAATATTAATTAAATATCGCGCATAAGAATTGACGCGCGCCGCCAAGTAAAATATAAAAATTGAGAAAGTACAAATAGCTCGCAACAAAAAAACGGCTGTTAATTTTTAACTTTTGAATTTTTAAGCTGTGACAACAGACAATTAACAAAAATTATGAATTCAATTGCGTTTTTGTAACATGTAATAATTCGATGATGATTAATTACTTTTATACACTGGATTGTCACGTAACTTTTTCAACTAATTGTTTTTTAGCAATAAAGTTACCTGGCACACCAGTCCCTGTGCGCGCTGCGCGGCGTTCTTTTCAGGCTTAACCTGAATATTAGGAGATATATATATATAATATGTACTCCTGATCTTATATATCATACGTGAGCGGATCGAAGCGAGCAATAAACCAGAAAGCTAGGTATAGTAAGTGTCAATGTGTCATATAATGTGATTTAGTTGCTCTAACCAGAGCCCTCTCGCTTGCAGTAGCGCGCGACCGCCGAAGGCGGCAAAGGATCTTCGAAGATATTTTTGTCATATGTTGTATGACCCGCCGCGCACGAGTCCGCGGCCCCCCTGTATCGTAGAAACTCTACGTTCCACCATAGTGAAACGACCGTGGGGGTCACAACGTGATAAAAAGATATTCTACTTGTGAAACAAGCGCGTCGCGCAGTACGCGTATACACATGGCTATGTGGAGTGATTTAGCACGCTCGGTAATACTTAATATCAAAATCAGACTGCATCGATGGTTAATTTTAAAATATTTAACCTTAAAGTACATTTTTCCATTGTTGATGAACTAGTCCGGCGCGCGCTACTTCGTAGCACTTGCATCGGGCCAACATTTGGAGAAGAAAGCGGCGCGCGCTATTTCGAAGAAATTTAGACGAGTAACATCCGTCAAAAAGTAAATAACTTAGCTTTATGCTTTCTTTAATGCTGCATTTTGATGGACAACGTCCACTCTCAACTTAGCATAAAAAGCTTGTAGTAGTAACCAAAAGTAATTAAGAAAGTATCATAATGTGTGTGCGCGAGGCAAAAACACAAAACAGCGACAGCAGACAACATCATGACCTCAACATTTTTATTTCATATTTTTAAATTAAATTTGAAGATAAGAAGTGATTAGTGAAGTAAAAGAAATTAATTTTTAATTTTCCATAATGGCATTGCCACACAGTTAATGGTTAAGCAGCTTAATCATTACTGTACTGAATTTATTAGTGTACATTATTGTTTGCATTATCTATTGAAATGGTCTTCTTGTCTGTGTCTGTATTTAAAGCGGAAATATTTGCTAAGCTTCGACTCAAAATATGAATTAAGCTATGAAGGTTCGATTGTTCCCTGTGTTTCATTGTTGTAAAGTAACTAGTAAGTTATGTGGAATATCATATTCTGAAAACAGTCTTGGTTTCTAAGCTACCTCCGATAGTTCCAATTTATGGAACCCATTGCATCAGGCATTTTTAGATATAATGTATGAAGGAGTATATTAGGAAGCAGTCAAACTATCGGACTACGATGTATGGGGACTTGCCATCCCATGGCAACATTAAAATATATTGAATCTGTTACATCGTTTCCTGTTTATATAAAACTCCGTTACAAATAACACATTCAAGCTCCTTTCAATAAGGCTATTTGATGAGAGGCAGAAGAAAAATGTAAAATATCATTGAAGTGGTAGCATTGAAGGGTTTTTTTTATTAAATACTTTTCAAATTTTACAGAGTACAGCAATAGATGAATATATTTAAATAGAATCGTTCAAAATATCGCCCCCATCTGTAAAATATGATGGGCACCCAAACACGGTAAACACATAGTGAACTATGTCCGCAGTAACTTGGACCCATTACATCGAATTAATCTAAATCCAAAAATTTATGAAAAACTATTTAATAACAAACAAATCCATGGTGAATAACTGTGGATATAGAGTCATAATTGGTATTTCAATACGTCAAATTCCAGATACATTAGATACAGGTCTGATATGGTCATTAATGTGTGAGAAGGTGTGTGGGGGAAGTGTGATATGATGTTGAAAGTATAGGAAGGTAGATTAAAAAAAAAATAATAATAATATGGGGAGTAAAGAGACTAAGCTAGACTGTTGTTTCACTATCCAATGAACATTTCCATAGATGCTTAGTGACCTCAGCTTGCAGTATATTTTTCCAATGTTGTTAAGTGTCTCTTTAGATCTGTTTTGGTGTTTCGTGGGAGTTCCCACATCTGTTGGCTGAGAATGCTCAACTTAACATACATGATGCTTGACTGCTTTATTGACCCAAGCAGGCACCGGGGGCAGACATCCCAACACCAGTGCGTTGGGACATAGTGTTGGTCTGCTTCAGGACGTGTTAGATCCTAGAGAAGCCACCATCCCCTCTACTGCTTTAGCTCAGCGGCAGCATGAGCCCTGGTTTCCTGCCACATTGGTACCTCTGAAAGTACAGAAAAGTGGTGGATTTCGGGGTCCAGGATCCTCCCTCTTTATTCTTTACGGTGGTATTATTTCTCTGAGATGTTTGCAGAGTCTTTATTTTATGATCTTTCTAGTTTAGTTGGATAAATCCTGGAGAGCATCATTTTGTCCCCAAAGAAATTCGACTCTTCTAATGAATGCTTTTTGTGTGCTGCTTTTTGTTAACACTTCATCTAGATAGGAATGTGAGTCAGCCCCACCCAGCTCTTCTTTTAGTTGCAGGTAACTGGTGTCTTGCACCTCCAGACACAATAGGAGCTGGTGTACAGGAGAATCATTGAAGCTGTTGCAGAAACGACAGGCCTCACCACTGTCACCACCCATGATCTTTTGGATATTCGCAAAGAGTGGTGAGCTGCCGTGAATGTAGTCCATTATTCGGCTGTCCAGATTTTTACTCGTGTTGTGCCCGAATAAAAAGTTTTTTTTTGTTTAGGAGCAGCCCACTGTTTTTGATCTTTGTGATCACACCGAGTATCTTGGTCTCCTTGTTTTTACTGACAGTTTTGCATTGCAGATTTGTTTCGATGCTGTCAATCCAGATCTTATTTTTGTAGCTCATTATGTCTGCCTGAGTGTAATAGGCCAGATCCTTGAAATGTTGCTGCGTTAGGTCTATCATTCTGGTTCCGTGTGACTTATTTTCTTTCCAAAGGAAGTACTTTTTCAGTGACATTGTTAAGACATGAAAGCTTGGTATTCTGCTTTCGTCAACTTGGTAGAGTGTAGCTGAGAGATTGTCACCTTGTGTGAGTACTTTGCACATGAATTTAACCGAAAGAGCTTCAAGTTGCACATCCAGTGGTGGGAGGTGGAGAGCAAGTTCGGTTAATTCCCTATGTGGATTCAGGACTGATCCAGATATTTTTAGAATTATTTTATTCCAGAAGCTTTTAAATTGATTGAGACACTTGTGAAGCCAAATAGGTGCTGCGTAGAACAGTTTAGTGAGGACCATTGTCTTTAATACTTTCAGCGCTGCTATATAACAAATAATTTGAGTTCAGGGAAAGTATGTCGTAATTCCCTCAAAGGGGTGCCGTAAGTTTACACGTTGCCTTAACAGCTGATTGTTTTGACTTTTGCTGGCTGTTTGTTTTAACGTTTGCTGAGTATGGGTGACAACAACAAGAGTAACAAGAGAGCCTCATCTAATAACAACATGTCACGAATTCTTTCCCCTGCGGACAAAAAGGCAAAGTCCCGGTTCAAGAACAACACTCCAGGACTAGAGGTGAAGGGAAAAGATGGATCTTGTGAGCCTATTGTTGTAGACAGTGATGTAACACTCCCAAAGATTGACAGTTCACACAGGGACAAGACAAAATGTCCATGCAATAAGTCAATATCGTCATGGAAGATTGACTGTGTAAAGTGCAAGCAATATTGGCACATAGACTGTCTAACTATGAACGGACTCAATCAGAAAAACGTCAACAGCATGACCAATTGGCACTGCCCCTTTTGTTTGGTTTTACCAATTCCCACACTCGAAACTGCTGCAGATGTGTGTTATGTGTGTAGGAACACTCTGACACTTCAAAAATCTAACAGTCAGTGTGAGACAGCTATTGCTACAGAGAAGCTTAATACCATCACAGCTTTTGGTGAAAAGCTTGGCAAAGTTGACTTTGACAGTCTAAACGACAGCATTGCCGCCATCCAGAACCTTGACCTCCATATCAAGCACCTACTGGTTAGTGACAAGAAAACTGCTCCAGCATGGGTTGAAATTATGGAAGGAGATCTGAAGCAGCTGAAAACTTCAGTTGACTCCGGACTCGGAAAGGTTTCTGAGACTGATAGTGGCCTAACAGAACAGATTAGAGTGTTGAACAAGCAACTGCAGGACTTTTCTATTCCTCAAGTAAGTGCTCAATCTTCATCCAAGACCAAAGATCTCATGGAAAAAATAGAGAAGAATCTCCATGAGCTAAATTCCAAGCAGTCTCTGGAGACGAATCAGGAGCTAACAGCCATCAGACAGTCTTTGAACACTCTTGAGCAAAATTCTTTGGCTTCTTCTGACCATTTAAATGCCCAACTTACCAATTCTTCACTTGCCCCTGGCCCAGACCTAACAGCTAATGAGCATCTCAAATCAAGAGAAGAACCAGTTGTAGGCGCTATAGAAGAGTTTATCACCACAGAAGAGCAGGATCTTCTCCTCCTTGCCTGTCAATCACTTGACGAGGATTTTGTTGTGGAAGGAGCTCGTGCTGTGTATTCTCTGGGAGAACCATACAAGTATAATGGCTCCAAGTCACCCAATGGTCAGCTAGAGTCAACCAGCTTCTCCAAACTGATGGACAAAATCAATGGGGCATTCTGTAGTGGTGAGAAACCGAAGATCAATAGTCTGCTGATCAACCGCTTCAAAGAGGATGGCTCCCTACCAAAACATTCGGATGATGAAGCCACCATCCACCCCGAATCCGAAATTTTCACTGTGTCCATCGGAGGCCAGTGCAACATCAAATTCTTTGACAAGAAGACGGATGATATAGTCCTTGACCACCCATGTGTTCCAAGATCCATGTATCGCATGACACGAAGTAGCCAAGAGTATTACAGCCACTGTATCATGGATGGGGCAATAACTGGTGGGGTCAGATACAGCCTAACTTTTCGTTCAGTTAGCTTCAGGAACAAGAACTCTACGTGCATCATAGGAGACAGTCATACAGGGGGGCTTAAGTTTGGGTCAGATGCCAGGAAATCGTTTGGACAATGGTTCCCTGGGAGGCAATATTTTGCACCAGTGGTTGACCAGATTGACCCATATGTCACATGTGGTTATCGTAACGTTGTTTTGATGTGTGCGATTAATGATCTTAAAAAACCTGAGATCAAGAATACAGCTGATATTAAACGAAATGTATTTATTCCCTTTATTAAAAAGATTGAGAAAATTCATGCTATTAATCCTAAAGCACATGTATATGTTTGTCCAGCCCTGCCTACAAAGCTTGCTGAACTGAATAGAAAAGTTGTTTGCTTTAACCGCCTTATTCTGACAGAGCTGATCCCTTCAAATTTTGGTGTGACTTACGTCGATGGGTTCGGTGGGTTCTGTGATGATGCTGGGCTTCTTAGCCAACAGTTCTCCAGAAACATCGGCCGAGACCAGCGACCAGATTATCTCCACCTTAACTGGAGGGGTACAGCTAAACTAGGCACTTTGATTCGTAACACAGTGCTTCTTAGAATGAATGGAGGAGTTGATAGAAGGAAAGGGAGAACAGACGAGGTTGATGGACGCTCATATCGGAACGTGTTGAGTGGGACGGGTTCTACTACTGCTGCTGAGTCTCGACACCAGGATGGTTACCAGCCATTCTGACTCCCCTGAGTAAAGAGGTATGTCTAGTCTGTGCGAAGTTCATTAACGTAGGACAATTCATTGTTGAATGCTGTGAATGCGACTGCCCAATGCACCATAAGTGCTATACCATATCCATTAACAATGACACATTATCTGACGATTTTTACTGTCCCAAGTGCGTACATTTAGCAGTTATTCGTTACAATCCATTTCGACTTGCATGCACTAATTTAAGTGATATTGAAAGTAGTGAAGTGGATGACACTATCATAAAAGTAGATCAAATACTAAATAACTGCGTATCGTACAATGTCAAGGAATTCAACAAAGCACTAGATAATCAAATGAATGAATTTTCATCGCTTCTCTTCCAAAACATCGACGGCAATAAGTCAAATTTCGACACTTTTGCTATTGAATCCCATAGGCTCACCAAGAAATTCTCGATCATAGCCTTAGCGGAAACAAATGAAGGTCCTGAATCCAGCAGTTTGTATCAATTAACTGGATACAACAGTTTCTACCAAAACACAATACCAGATAAAAAAAAGGGCACTGGAGTGGCTCTCTATGTTTGTGACACTCTTAGTGCCAGAGTAAACGGCAATGTATCCCATATCACTGAACATTTAGAAACTCTTTTTGTGGCCGTAAGTAGTAAAACTTCCCCAGTAACAGTTGGTGTAATGTACCGTCCTCCAAGTGGTAATGTCAATGTTGCACTATCTGAACTCTCTGACATCCTTGACAGTCTCCCCAAGTGTAGTTACCTAGCGGGTGATTTTAACATTGATTTACACGATAAGAATAGCACAATCGTACAACGCTATGAAGAAATACTATTAAGTAAAGGATTTTTCCCCCTAATTTCGTTAGCAACACATGAGAAACCAGGCTGCAAAGCATCCTGTATTGATAACATAATAACTAACGATGTAGAGAGTATAGTAGCTTCTGGAATACTGACTGACCGTATATCACACCACTCACCCATCTTCCAAATCTTTGATAGAAACTTGGACTCTAGCAGAATTGACCTGAAATACAAACAGTATTATGATTACAACAAACCGAATGTAAAAGCTTTTTTACAGACTCTGGAACATGATCTCAATAATAATGTTATCGACAATTTTACAACATTTCACGACATATTTAAGGACTGTATAGATAGAACTTGTAAGTTAGAAACCCCTAAATGCTCTAAAAGAACAGCACTGAACAACCCATGGATTACACCAGACCTTGTGGGCAAAATTTCATATCAGCACGAACTTTACGATAAATGGGTAAAGGTCAGAAAAGTTAAATGTAAATTTGGGGAAATTGAAAATAAAGGGGGGACATGCCAATGCCCAATATGTTGCTCAAAACGTGACAAGTATAAAAAATACAGTGACTGCAGGCGGAAGGTCAAAAAAGATCGCCGCAATGCTCAATCTAAGTTCTATGGTGGAAAATTTGCAGAGTTGCACGGAAACAGTAAAAAGACGTGGGAATTAATTAACCAAATACGGGGTAAACGAAAACGACAAACCAAACCTCTATTTACTATCAATAATGAAAAAATTACTAATCGTAGGGTAATAGCTAATGAGTTTAATAAGTACTTTGTCTCCCTAGCTTCTAATCTTAACGAGGCATACAATGAAATCGGCGAACTAGTAATTAATGGCATCCCCAGTATCTATGACTACCTACCAAAATCCAACACGACCAGTATTTACATGCATGATTGTACAATCGATGAAGTATGTAAAATAATATCAGAATTGAAAAATGGCAAATCGTCTGATATCCCAATACATGTTGTAAAAGTGTCATCCAGAATTATCGCCCCCCTATTATCTGTACTATACAATGAATGTTTGAAGGAGGGAATATTCCCGGACGATTTAAAGATTGGCAGGATCAGTCCCATATACAAGAAAGAAAATGAAGAATTACTTGAAAACTATAGACCAGTCTCTACCTTAGCCGTATTTGGTAAGTTATTCGAGAAAATTATATATAGTAGGCTATACAGCTTTTTCCAGTCACAAAATATGATCTATGAAAATCAGTATGGATTCCGTAAAAATCACTCTACTAGTCATGCCCTGAATTTCTCAGTGAATTATATAGAATCATGCCTTAATAAAAAGCAGCACGTGCTCGGAATATTCATTGATCTAAGCAAAGCATTCGATACCATCTCAGCTGACAAATTACTGAGTAAGCTAGATAATTACGGAATTCGAGGCAATGCCAACAAACTCATTGCTAGTTATCTCTCTAATAGATATCAATACATCTCGGTCCTAGGAGAAGAGTCTGACAAGCTTCCAGTTCTCTTTGGAGTACCCCAGGGATCTTGTCTTGGTCCGTTACTATTTATTATTTATATCAACGACCTATATAGGGCAACTGAACTAGGCAAGTTCATTCTATTTGCTGACGATACAAATATATTTGTCGCGGATGAATGTAAGATAAAGTTATATGAACGAGCAAACCAAATTCTCAAACTGGTACAACTGTATATGAAATGTAATCTCCTGCATATTAACATTAAGAAATGCTGTTACATTCACTTTAAACCAACGAATAGAAAAAGCAAGGTAGAACATAATGAAGAAGAACACGTACTTACTCTAAACAATGTAGTGATAAAGCAAGTCAAAAAGGTGAAGTTTCTTGGTGTTATTATTGATGATCAGCTTAAATGGGATGCTCATATACGGTCGCTCAACACAAAGCTGAAATGTGAAAGTGGGAAAATTTGTAGAATACGGCACATTATTCCAGAAAAACTCTACAAAGAACTGTATTACACACTATTTGAATCACACTTGCGATTTGGGATATCAGTATGGGGTGGCCTTAGTAACAACAGGCTTGAACCAATATTTATCACTCAGAAGAAATGTGTTAGAATACTATTTGGTAACCGAGAGGCGTACTTAGAAAAGTTTAGAACTTGTGCTAGAACACGAAGTAAAGACAAGCAAAAATTAGGAAGCGACTTCTATGAAAAACAGCACACAAAACCGCTATTTAAGAAAAATGGTTTACTAACCATACACAGTTTGTTCAAACACACATGTTTATTGGAAATGTTCAAAATCAATAAATTAGAATCCCCAGTCCCACTCCTAAATCTATTTCACAGATCATCAAGACGTGCTGATCGATTCATCACTCCAACCCCATCCACCTCCTTCATATATCAATCGACAAAAATGTGGAACGATTGTAGAAACACTGCTAGCAATATCAACTTCTCTACATCAACGAACCTTGTGAAATCCACAATAAAAAAGGAGTTACTCGGCATGCAGTCCAGGTACGACGAAATAGATTGGTGTGAACTGAACTTCGATTCCAACGAACTGAAATTCTAATGTCTACTCAATGAAGATATGCTGAGCGCTAAAGCCGATTGAAATGTTAATGTCTAAAGTATAAAATTTCGGCGGTCACGCCGCGCATTTTGCGTGCTGTGCCGCTATTTTTGGCCCATCTTATCAGATATTATTTACAATGTACTCGCACAGTACATGCAGGGCATGCCTCAAGATCATATTAGTGTAGGAATCATTATGTTTTCAACAATTTATTATATGTCGAATTCAGCAGTGGGTCCTCTCCTCGTCCGGTTTGTGTGTTTGTCGCCTGTCTGGACTCTCGTAGTCATGTAATTTTTAATTTTTAATTTCTAATTTGTTATTTTAATTTTAATTTTAATTTTTCAATTTTCTAAATGTGTGTTCTGCTCCGGGACTCGATTACCGTTTCGGCTTTCTTGAGACTGTAAATTTGGAAAGCCAACTATGCGGGGCGCCTGCCCACCGGCACTGAAGAGTGATCAAAGAATTAACTAAAATTTCCTAATATAACGATTGAATATAGAGTTGTTTAACCGGCGCGGCCATGGGTGTGTGGCCTAGCTTTGGCTGCACACCTATGACTGCGCTGTTGCTGGTGGACAGGCGCAGTTTTTGTTGTGCAGTAGTGTTGCAAGAGAATAAAACCAACTTATTATGTACTAAATGGAATCAAGAATATTATTGACTATATTTGATAACGATGAATTGTAAATTTCGATCAATTTATATTTTTCGGTCTCCAATTATTGAACTGCGGAAGCTGGTTGCCTCAACAATGTTGACTATGCATGGTATGACTGAATTGTAAACACGTGATAATTGAACGAAAAATAAATGATGAACATGATTCAAAAACTGTAAACCACCAAATGAATTATCGCTTAAATTTAAACAAGTATTTAAACAAAAACCATTATGTGCCGTTAAGCAGCAGGGCGCGGCTCATCTGGGCCACAGCAAATCGGCGAAAATGGGTTCGAAAAAGCCACTATTGGCACTCGAGTCCTTGATCTTTCCGATGGTTCACTGGGGCTTTTGAGCTGCCGTCCTTCAGCTTCTGTAAACTGAAATTACTACCAATCCAAGTTGAGGCAATCAGCCGACGCGCGGCTTTTATGGTTATATATGATATGTTTAATCTGTAATAAAGATCAAAATTCAAATTTGTTTCTCTAAAAAATTTGTTTCTCTAAGGAGGAGAGTGAGGCTGTAAACGTTTAGACCGTAGTTGCGGTTAGTTGATTTTGTTATTAATCCCCACTTTCTTTTGCATTCTTTAAGTTTTTGAGACGCATGTTTCTTGAAATTGAGGTCTTCATCTACTATTACCCCAAGGACCTTTGTGCTTTGGACGTAGTTGATGCTTTTCCCATTAATACATAATTCTGCAGGTTTCTGTTCTTCGGTATAAGCTGCAGTTTTCAAGATTATGGCCTCCGTTTTATTCGTATCACAGTTCACTACTAGCTTGTTCTTGATGCACCACTTGCTGAGGTGGTCACAAACCATCTGCATTTTTTCATGGCATTCGGAGATGTTCTCGAAGGAAATCATAAGTGTACCGTCATCAGCAAATTTGTAGCAGGTGTTGTGTGTCATGTTTGCTATGTAAAGGATGAAGAGGAGAGGTGATAGTACAGCCCCCTGAGGTAATCCAAATATTGTACAATTTCTTTTTTCTCCTTTATAGTTGTTCACTTTTAGACATATCGTCCGGTTGAACAGGAAATTTCTCAGCACGTTAAGAATATTTCCTTGAATACCGAGAGTTGATAGTTTGACACATAGTGATGGGAGATGAACACTATCAAATGCCTTTTCGAAGTCAAGGAAAAGCACTATACATGCCAGCTTCTGTCTTTTAACTTCCTCAAGGTTAGCCAGCATTCTGAAAAGATATCGCGTTGTTGATCTCCCTCCAATAAAACCTTCTTGATCTTCATCAAGAGTTCCTTCAATGTCCAGGAAGAGTCTCAATCTTTTATCTAGCACTCTTTCACAAATCTTTCCAAAGTATGATGATATGGAAATCGGTCTATAAGCACCAGGTAACATGTAGCTGGATTTTTCTTCTTTCCTTAAGAATGTTACATCTGAAGTTTTCCACAGCCATTTTCCTGTGCTCATACACCAGTTAAATATAATCTGCAAGACGTGAAGACAATTTATTTTCATTTGTTTGAGGATGGTAGGGTGAATATTGTCTGCATCACATGATTTGTCATTTGTTTCTTGCCTTTCTATAGCTGCTTTTATCTCGTCCATAGAAATAGGGTTGTTCAGCGGATCATCTTCATTGTAACTACTTGCAGATTTGCTGCTAACATTCTGTAATTTACTGAACTCATTATTTACATGCATGTCGTGCTCTCGGTCATTGGGTCGGTTTTGAAGGTGTTTTCCTGTGAAGAAAGTATTAAATAACAATTCCTCCTTATCTTTTTCAGATGTGACCAGCAAGTCACAGTCTTTGAGGTTGCAGATAAAATTGTCAGTTTTGGCCCCAAAAACTCGTTTATATTTTCTCCAGAATTGAGTGCAGTCTTTGGTGTTTAGTGTTTCAACTCTGTCACGAATCCACTCATTCTTTTCTTTAATCAGCGCTTTCTTGAATGATTCAACGCTTTCAGTGAGTGTGGCCTTGTTTCTGGGAGTTGATCTTTGCTTAAATCTTTCTTTCGCTTCTTTCGCTTCATTTTCAGTGAGTGTGGCCTTGTTTCTGGGAGTTGATCTTTGCTTAAATCTTTCTTTCGCTTCTTTCGCTTCATTAGATAGAGTTGTAAGTGCAGGACACCAATATGGTTTTGAATGAATGGATACTGTCTTCTGAGGGATGAACATTCGGTTAGCCTCCTGTATTTTATGTAATAACTGCTGCCATAGCTGATCCCCTCGGTTTAATAACTCTGGGGCCGAACGAAGATGTTGACAGTTGGTCTCGATTGCATTTGTCCATATTTTCCAGTCTGCATTTTTCCAGTCCATACACACTCTGGGGACAGTGTCTGATTTTGGGATCCCTCTGCAGATTTCTTGAAGCACCGGATGGTGACCTCTTCTTGGGGCACCTGAAAATAATTCAACATCTTTATCCATTTACTGATTTCCCAACTTTGAGATGATAGGGCCTTCGGCTAACACTAAGTCAATAACACTTCCTCCATTTGTACAGACAAATGTGCAGTCGTATGGTGAGCAGAGAGTTAGGGTTTCCTTTTCAACGTAGTCTAGAAGCTTCTTTCCTCGCTGCGTGGTAACATGATCTCCCCAGTCATGATGTCTTGCATTAAAGTCTCCATATGTGAATTGTGAGAAGAGAGTTGAATTTATATTTAGCCTTATATTCTCTTGCTTTATCAATGTGGGCAAGAAGTCCTTCAAATTTTCTTATGGAATCATTAGAGTTATTGCAAGGTTTGCAATAAACTGATCCCACCAAATATCTCTTTCCTTCAACTTTTATTTGGCACAAAATAGCATCAACTTCGTCTACGTTAAGGTCATAGACCAACTCTGGATGTAGTGAAGGATCAATGACGAGGGCTACCCCAGCTGTCCCTTTATTTATGTCCCCAGCTTTATGAAATACCTTTTTATGAAGGAAACTTCCGTCTGATTGAGTCCAAGAGCTTGTTTCTTGAACCGCCATCAAGAGTATCTCATTTTCGTAGATAAACTTGTCAAGTGTCATCTCAGAGTTAGTTGACATCTTTGCTATATTTATTTGGCCAAAGATCATAATCTACTGTTGGGTTGTGTGGGTGATTTTGAACATTTTTTTGGTTGCATGTTGAGTTTCATGACAATATTTTGGGATGTTGGACAATCTCTGTTTGTAGCTATGTTGGAATAATGTTCCAACAGATCTACGAAATCTGCCCGATGTTAAAAGCTTTAGTGATTCGTATAAGAAACAGCTACTCTCATCTATAACAACAGACCCTAATTATACCGTCGACAATTCATATGACAAATTTTACACTGCAATCATAGTCGACGATAACTAAGTATCTTCTAATTCTTTTAAATCTGAGGCATATATAATTGATGTATCGATTTAAGGATTTTCCCTTTTTTACCACCTTACCATTTTGATTGATTTTGCACATGACTGACATGTTTTAACTGGAGAAAGGGTTCGCACAGTGGTAGTTTTATAAACCTCTTTTAATTTATTGACCTATTATACCTAGTGGTAGTTTTATAGACCACATTTAATTTATTTACTTATTATACTTAGTATTTATTTTTGGTGACTGTATCACCCAGTTTTAACATTTGATAATTGTACAGTTTATTGACGACACATTGACTGAATGTTATTTTATATTCTAATTTATATTCTAGATATTTTATTTATTTTTCAACAGACGACAACTTCCTGTTTTTTCTTCTATATTAGTTACTCATATCTCTTTTACAGACTTTTTTACAAGGACATTGACAGATGATACTCACATTAGGCATTCATTATTGCATCTAAATTATTTCACTTGCATTAGTTTTAGAAATTTATTCTCTGGTTAACAGATTTCAAATGTTTAATTAATTTGTAGTATGACAGTAAGGTATATAAGAAGTTATTTAATTTTGCTTGGGCTATTATATTGACTATTGAGGTTTAATGATGATATGGAATTTGAATTCTATATAAATTTACACTATGTGGTTGGGGCATTTTGCATAGTAAATATATGGTTACTACTCCTATATATCATATTATTTGATTGGTATTCGATTTCTGATTATTTCTCTAGGAATATGATTATTATATCTCAATTTGGCTTTAGGTAGGGTGCCCCGCTAAAAGAACTGGATTCTTCCAGGAAGCATCCCGTGCACAGACCTTGGTCTACATATATATTAAATTATTAACCATTCATTCTGTATGTGCACGAAAATTTATTTCAATCAAAAACATGGCCGAAGACATCACAATTAATACAGTAGTCTCTTCGGTTACTCTTGCATTGATATGAGTGGTGATTGTCTCCACATTTGCTACATGTTGCATGGTTTTGGGTACAAAGTTTAGCAACATGGCCAAACCTGTAACAATTGTAGCATTGGATGATTCTCCTTCTCGGCTTATACTCTTCCGCAGTATAAATTACCTGTCCGAGCTTTAACCCATTTCCTAAGCATTTCTCATAGTCTTCCTTAGTCTGAAAGTTGATCTTAAGAGTTTTCAGAGAAATGTTGTCCCGTGTCACAAATCTTTTTGCCCTAGCTCCTGGATAACACCTTTCCACAGAAATTGTTAGATCACTATCCTGAATGTATGTGGGTACTCCTTTGAGAATGACTGCCCAGCTTAGCTTTTCTAAGATCCTGCATTCTGTAGTCATGTTACTGTTTGCAAAGAAATCACCTTTCCATGATCCTTCAACTCTTATTGCATCCTCTTTAGATGTGAGCTCAATCATCAATGATCCACCTTTGGTGACAAATGTCGATTTTATGGCCATATCTTTAAAATATTTATTGAAGTTTCTCTTAATAGTTGCACTGTTTTTAAGATAATTTCTTGAGAGTCCTCTTGAGACTAGGACTGTCATGGAGTCATTAACAGTGGTTTCTGATGGCTGGTGAATGTAGTATTGTTTGCCCTCATATGTTTTATCTTCTGCTATGGTACTGAAAAGATCCAGGTTTGTGTGTCTTGTAGAAACACCCTGATGTCCAATTGCAGTTCTCTTGAACTCTACTTTGTTCATCTCTTTTAGGATGCTTTTATTTTCCTCCGTTATGTTATGCAGTGTGCGAAGTGCTTCATCCATGCCACTGTCAGCTTGTGGGTTTGAGGATACTTTGTTAATCAAGGGAACCCCCTTAGCTAACAAATTTCCCATATTCTCCGTTAAATTCCTCTTTAGATATTCAAAGTGTTTTGTTTCACTCTCTCTTTTAAGTCTTTCATTTCAGCCTTCATTTGTGACATATATCTTTCGATAGAGCAGATTGTGTGGCAAAGAAGCGTTTTATAAATCTTTATAATATGGCATTAAAATTTAAATTTATGGCAATTAAGTTTAAATTTCGTTTTACTTTATTCCACTGAGAAGTTTGATTAGGTTTTTAAAATAGGATAATGTTTTGATACATTAAAAAAATAAATAAATATTGTATTTGATAAATAATTAATGTTGGTGGGGAAATGTATATTAAATATTTGTTCACAAGTGCAAAGATATTTTGTAGACAGAACATTTAGAACATTTGAATATAATTTGAAACATTACAGAAATGTTGTACAAATCGCTCAAACACACACACTCGGTTTTAATTCGGTAAAATTCCATTCGAAAATTAAATGATTCTCAAAATGTAGGTGTCTAATGAAAATGTGATACTGTGTGACAAAGTTAAGAATGTCGTAGTGAAAGAGAGTTAACTGTCGATAAATTCATGTGAGGTACTATCGAAGTTCAAAATGTTGTGATGGGTGACATGATAATGACTGTAAGCTAGTCGCTAGGGCAAAAAAGTGAAATGCACAGTAAGCGAGTTAAAAAACGGAAAATTAAAATGCCGTTTGGGCCAAATGCAGTGAGCCAGTAAGGTGCGGTCGTAGGAGCAAGTGGCTCTGAATACTAAAACTGATGAGGCTGATGCTGAAAATGAAGACTGAAAGAGGGGGAAGTAAAGGAGAAGGACATGATGCAGGGGGACAAGAAAAAAGAAACAAGAGTGGAGACAAACCACCTGCTGAGGTCTGGCTAAAATCAGAATGCAGTGAGCGGCCCATGTAACATAATCGTCCGTGGCAGTCTACCCCGTACGCAGACTACGGTCCAAGATTTCAGGCGCCAGAATACACCTTCTGGTGCAGAGCTGGTCACGACCAGGGTCCTCTCGGATACCCCGTCTCGGAGGTCGGGCCAATGGAGCGATCCATTGCTGTACTGACAACCATTGTAACCCTATCACTCTGAAGGCCCCACAGTTCATACATGGACGCACGGCCGGAAGCCCATGTAGGGACGGAAAGTCCCAAGAGTCGCTCATAGCATCCGTCACAGATCCAAAGCAAGAGGAGAAGGAAAGGAAGAACGAGAAAAGCAAAAAAGAGCTGAAGGGCTATTTTCCATCTTCATCACGAAGGCTGTCTTTGTGCTTGAGGTTCAGACTGTACATTTCTCTGATGGTTGAGCATGAAAGTCTAATCAAGTTCACATCCTGCTCGTTAAGGTTACCGTAAAGATCTTGGGTACGAGAGAGAGTGTTGACAATGTTGGTCAGTCCGTTGTCATTGCTGTTTCCCAAGCTTTCACTAGCTCTGGTAAACTTGTCTCTGATAGCCTTCCCTTGTGGGCAGGAAGTGAGAAAGTGTGTTTCATCCTCTATGATCCCGGTTGATCCTTTCAGTTCACAAAAGGTGCAAGTTCTGCTCTCTAGAGGTGTGTTTTCGTATCTCCCAATTTCTATGCTGAGTCTGTGAGAACTGCACCTTATTTGAGCTGTTGATCTTCTGTCATCGAGAGTTCTTGCATGACATGTATATGTGTGATGATGTGATGTCATAAATTTGACTTTACTTTGCTCACATCACAAGAACCAGCGGTTTAGGCCCTCACCCAACAAACTCTCTCTCTCTCTCTGGTTTGGTCAACGGTTTCTGGCCTCCTAGTGAAGAGGGAGGCCTTCTCGCCGTGCCCACAGAGTGTGACTCCTGCTAGCCACACTCCAGGACTCCCTAAGTATATACAAAAGCATAGAATAATAGATATCAACGCAACAGACCTCTGGAGTCTCGAAGCTGTTACTACCTTGCTCAGAGCAAACCCACTTCAGATGTTCTTCTTCGGCGGGCAGGCGAGGGACTTCTGAGCATGGTCCACTGGATATGTGTCACTATCTGAGATAGTCCTGTGTGGATCTAATGTATGATTGTTTATGAGCCTTGGTGTATGTCCTAGGTGCTTATCCAAATAGATCGTCTCTGTCAAACCTTGATGACTTTTCCACAAATTTGATAATGTGGTCGAGTTTACTATTGATGAGTTCCTCAATTGTTAGGATGGGTTTACCAAATATCCTCAGTCTAGTTGTCATCAGCTGGATGCATTCACATAGGAAGTGTTGTGATGTTTCTGCTTCCCCTGGGCAGTGTTCACAGTCTTGTGTTTCGAATTTGGCGTTGTTTGCTACCGTCTGGAAGTATGCTAGTGGGCTGTGTCCTGATAGTAGCCATGTTAGCCATCTGATGTGAGTACCTGTGATGTTGATTATCTTGTACCTGTTTTTGTTGAGGAAAAATGTTAGTGGGGTTTTTCCTTTGTCACTGAGTGCCACCTGTTTATACTTCTTGATATGGAGATTGAAGAGGTAATCTTTTATGTGGGTGTTGATTATGCCTTCCGAGAGTGGGAGGAAGGGTTCAGGTCCAATGGGGGTGCTGCTGGATCCCTCCCTTGCTAGTTCATCAGCTAGTTCATTACCGTGTACTCCTTCATGTCCAGGAACCCACCTGAGTTCTACTTTGTGGGATGTACCTAATGTGTTAAGTTGGTCAGCAATGTCCAGCACTAGTCTGGAGCTGATGCTGGTGCTGGTTATCGCTAGGAGTGAGGCCTGGGAATCTGAGAAGAGATTTATGATTGATGTTGTACCTATATTTTCTTTGATCCAAATACTAGCCATGTGGAGAGCAAATAGCTCGCATTGGTAAACTGTTGCTAGTTTACCAAGTTGATAACTGACTCTGTGGAATTCCTGTGTTCCTTTTATGACACAGAATCCCGCACCTGTATTACCGCTTGCTTTCGATCCATCTGTGAAGATCTGCCAGATGTTAGGTGAGATTTCTTCGATGTAGCTAATCGCAGTTTTCCTGTCCTGGATAATTACCTTGAAGCGTCTGTCCAGCATGATAACCTTGGGAATGCTGTCAAGTAATACGCACCCTGTGTAATTAATAGTCGGATCCCAACCGTTCTAAAAGGCAATCTCGTTAGCTTTTTGTGTTAAAAGCGATTTCTCAACGGTTATCACCTCTCAAGATGATTCTCAAAACATTTGGCCACTATTGCATTTTTGAAATAAATGCAATAGTGGCGTTTTCGGCCACACCCTTTTTCAGAGTTTCGCGGTCACTCGAATTTGTGTATTTCAGTCCAGGAAGGTCTTAAAGACTATTCCGATACACCAAAATGTGCCTAATAGACACATTTATATACAACTTATGAAGCAACATATACCTTAAAATGCTTCGTTTCGAAAATATGGCCGAAAAACGGTTTTTAGCTTGACGCAGTCCATAATTTCCGTGATTTTTGGCATTTCCGCCTAGGAAGGTCGTAGAGACTATTCTGATACACTAAAATGTACATAATGGCCACATTTATATACAACTTATGAAGCAACATATACCCTAAAAGGCTTATTTTCCGAAATGTGGCTGAAAAACGGATTTTTGCCGAGCGAACAATGACAATATTCACAAATGGGCTATTGGACTGTTAACTAGAACGGTCTTAAAGACTCATGAGCAACATAGCATTTGTCACAAGATGTAAGATGAGTCACTTTGTGTCCAGAAACACCTACAAAAAATGGAGAATGATCTACTTTATTGGGCAACTCTCTTAATGGGCCAGGCCAGCAGCATATTTGAGTCTTACGAAAGGGCGATTTTTCAAAATTACGGTTTCTTAAGGTCAAAGGGTCGGCAGCTAACAGAGAATTGGTCGCAATTGGCGACTCATGCACCTCATGTACTCAAAAACGCTCACTTTAGGAGTCATTAGTAAATAACTACTACATGATTTGTGAAAACTCCAACAATTTTTCCTTGGCACCAATTTAATTTTTAAATATAATATGTGCCAGACCAAAATTCAACTTCAAACTTTTTATTTATTCATGCCATGATATATGTACCAAGAATACTATACCGGACCTAAAATAAATCGGCACTGGATCCGGTCCAGATTGTTGCTTGACCGCTGACCAGTACGCCACTTTGAAATTATGATTGATTTTGCTGTCTCGACCAATATTGGTCTGTAATCCTTGGTTTGAGATCTGTTGGCCGCAGTTCAATAATACCGCAGTGGTTTGGTTCGCATAGATTTTACCATCGTATGATAATGTGTGTCATTTCCTCGTTTTTAATCAAGTGGTTACTGGCTAGCTCTTTTGTTATTACAGCTGCCTCGAGATCTTATCTAGGGCACTAATACATTAGTACTAGAACATTAGAACTATAATTCAAGAACTTCAGATTAAAATTACTTGGCCGCATGGCCTGGCAGGGTTCGAGATTCGACTCTAAAACGCTCAGTTTAGGAGTGATTAGTAGATAACTACTGCATGATATGTGAAAATTCCAACTAGACAAGGATCATGCTTAATCAAAGTGTTCCTCGACTTGAACTTAAGTCTTGTAACCTATTGGAGTTTGGGCCACTGAATCGAATACGACCTGATATTAATTTTAGGATGTCGGGAAATTCATTAAGATTTTTATTCTTTGGTTTTCAATTGTGCTACGAATCCGACTTTGAGTTGATAACACCGTCCTGCTTGACTCTCAAAGAGAGGAACCAAGGCTTAGGTTCCTCTTTTTGGCTCTGAGATTCAACTTTAAGATCGGAGTTTGGAGATCCTCGCGTCGGAGATCAGACTTTTTGCTTGATATTGGACCTATAAATCAAAATATATATTCGGAACAGCACGGGATGTAACCAAGGTTAATTTAGATAAGATATACCAGCTTTCGGGGTTACAAGGCCTTATGAAAGGCAGGCAGAGCATCCTAAATCCTCATGCTATCCTCACGTTGACCATCTAGGTGCAAACTCCAGCTATTAGGCCCGAGATCCGTCCCTTGTCCTGTAGTGTCCCGTAAGTAAGAGATCGTTCAGATTTTGGTCATTAAGACCCCCTCCCCGCTCTAAAATCCACTTTACCCACAGCTGGAAAAATTTCACATGTAAAACCTAAATAGCCAAATCAGCATCTCGAGACCTTCTATTATATAAACCCCGTGATCCTACTATAATCTTATAACTTATAGTTATAAGGCATTGCATGCCGAAATTAAGATTCACCTCAACTGGTGATATGAACCTGGTATGTTACCTGAATGCCCTCAGTCAAATCTCGAACCCTGATAATGCTATTCTGCCAAGTAACCTTTATTTGAGGTTCTAGAATTACAGTTCTAATGTTCTAGTATTTGTGCCAATCCCCAGATAAGATCTCGAGGCAGCTCACTGCTGTAATAACAGAAGAACTAGCCAGTTAATGACACGCATTATCATACGATGGGAAAATCTATGCGACTGAAAAAAAGGATATGGGGTCATTCTGAAGTACTGGTCAGTGGTCAAGCAACAATCTGGCCCGGAAACAGTGCCGAATTATTTTAGGTCCGGTATTCTTAGCACATATCATGGTTAAGTTTCATGGCATGAATAAATAGAAAGTTGAATTTTGGTCATTACATTTTGGCTAAATTGGTGCCAACAAAAAATTGTTGGAGTTTTCACAAATCATGCAGTAGTTAAACTTATTTACTAATCACTCCTAAAGTGAGCGTTTTTGAGTATATGATGTGCATGAGTCGGCAATTGCGAACAATTTACTGTTAGCAACTGACCCATTGACCTTTACTAAAGAAACCGTAATTGAAAAATCGCCCTTTCGTAAGACACAAATATGCTGCTGGCCTGGCCCATTTAATTAAGAGAGATGCCCAATAAAGTAGATCATTCTCCAATTTTTGTAGGTGTTTCTGGATACAAAGTGACTCATCTTACATCTTGTGACAAATGCTATGTTGCTCATGAGTCTTTAAGACCGTTCTAGTTAACAGTCCAATAGCCCATTTGTGAATATTGTCATTGTTCGCTCGGCAAAAATCCGTTTTTCAGCCACATTTCGGAAAATAAGCCTTTTAGGGTATATGTTGCTTCATAAGTTGTATATAAATGTGGCCATTATGTACATTTTAGTGTATCAGAATAGTCTCTACGACCTTCCTAGGCGGGAATGCCAAAAATCATGGAAATTATGGACTGCGTCAATCCAAAAACCGTTTTTCGACCATATTTCCGAAACGAAGCATTTTAAGGTATATGTTGCTTCATAAGTTTTATATAAATGTGTCTATTAGGCACATTTTGGTGTATCGGAATAGTCTTTAAGACCTTCCTGGACTGAAATACACAAATTCGAGTGACCGCGAAACCCTGAAAAAGGGTGTGGCCGAAAACGCCTCTATTGCATTTATTTCAAAAATGCAATAGTGGCCAAATGTTTTAAAAATCATCTTGAGAGGTGATAACCGTCGAGAAATCGCTTTTAACACGAAAAGCTAACGAGATTTCGTTTCGTCTCAGACTATAATGTTAGCTAGCATTTTCTCCGCGTTGTGGGCGTGAGATTTACAAAGTCCTATCTGGTTGTAGTTGTACTGTTTATTCCAGGTTCCTTGTAATTTAAGCCTCAAGGCAGATTTGATTGCTAAGGATTTAAGTTTAAAACTGATAGGCTGGAGACTAGCCATAATTTCTAGGTTGGGAGTTGGAGTGCTTTTCAGTCCTCTAGTGATCATGAGGGCTGCTTGTCGTTGTACTGTCTCCATTCTAACCGTGATGTAGCTTCTGTCAGTTGAGTGTTGCCAAACAACCGCTGCATACCCTAGTGAAGGAATGATAACTTGGTTAAATATCCATCCCACCCCAGCTGGTGAGATGCACCATAATTTTCCTACCGCTTGTTTACAAGCGTGGAGTTGTCCTATGGCCTTATCACATTTTTTTAGGATGTGAGGACCCCAGTTTAGTTTCTGGTCAAAGGTAACACCTAGATAGACTGTACTATTAACCGTGGGGACTGTAATACCATCAACAACTAGCGGGGAGTCTAGGGTATTGTCCCGTTTTGTAGTAAACAGGATTGCCGTACTCTTGGTACCACTGAGTTTTAGGCCTTTGCTCGTACACCAACTGCTGATGTTACTGAGTTGTTGTTGGGCTATATCTTTGACTGTAACTTTACATATTCCTCGAATGAGAATTACCAGATCGTCTGCAAAAGCCTGGACGAAGTTGCTGTGGATACCTAGGCTGCTAAGAAAGGTGTTAAGTGTTAGATTCCATAAAAGTGGAGACAGTACTCCTCCTTGTGGGCTACCTTTAGTAGCCTGTTTTGTGATACTGTAATCACAGTAGGTTAGAGTAATGTACCTGTTGCTAATCATAAAGAAAATCCACTGAGCTATAGTAGGGGGGATGTTGGCTTCCAGCAAGGCTTCTCTAATTGCTGTGAAGCTAACTGCATCAAAAGCCTGTTTGATGTCTAGGAAAACACCTAGGGCGTAATGACCTGTTGCCATCGCATCTTCGATCCTGCGGGTTAGTAGATGAATCGCTGATTCCGTTGATTTACCTTTCCTGAATTCATGTTGGTTTTTGGTGAGTTTAGCTGGTATTTTGAGGTCCAGTTCGAGGTGCCAGAGTATAAGCCTTTCTAGCAGTTTTTGAAAGCTAGAGGTTAGAGAAATAATCCTGAAGGCTCTAGGGTTAGTGTAATCTGACTTGAGAGGTTTTGGAATAATACAACCTGTGGTGTGGTGCCATGGTTCTGGCGTGATTCCTAGTGCCAATGAGTTGTGAAATATCATGCGGACCGGATCTTTGATGAGATCCCAGGCATTGATTATCATCTCGTTCCTAATTTGGTCAGGACCAGCTGCTTTCTTGAGCTGTAGTTCGCGTACTGCTCTATCAACCCTGTTGGGAGCTGTAATCTAGATAATGGTTAGTGGATCTCCTCCATGATACGGAGTTTGATCTATCACTGGTCCGTCGCTAGGGATGAGTGTGTCACTAAGTACTGTTAGTGTTTCCTGAGGCGACTCAGTTAGTGTACCGTCCGGTTTCCTTACGCTGTTGAGGTTGCCCTGTGTTGATTTGTTAAAGCTGAGAATTTTGTGTACCCTAACTAGGGTTGAGGTCCCTTTTAGGTTGTCGCAGAATTGTTTCCAGTTTGTACGTTTAGCCTGGGTTAGAAGTGTTTTATATGTCCTGTTTGCCTCCCTGGAAAGTTCCCAGTTTTGATTATTCCTGGTTCGGTTAGCTTTGCGTCTCAGTGCTTTAGAAGTCTGCTTGGCTGTGGTGAGTTCAGCTGTCCACCAGGGTACTGAAGATCGCAGGGTTCCCCGTGTGATGGGGCAGGCGGAGTCGAAGCTTCTTCGCAGTATATCCGAAAGAAAGTGTTGCCGAGAGTTGAGATCAGTTGCTGTCCTGACTGATGAGAACCAGAAAGGATGTCTGTCCAACTCTGATGCTGGTTGTATAGTACCCAGTCGCATTTGGATGTGGATCTGGTGGTAAAGCTAACACGGTCCCCTAATCTTAGCTTAAAAGAAATCGCCTCGTGATCGGAAAGGGATTTACCTTTGTCCACTTTCCAATCTCTAATAAGGTTAAGTGCTAGTTGATTACAAAGTGTGAGATCTATAACAGAGTGGCCTTGTTTACCTACAAAAGTTGGGGTTTTACCTGTGTTGCAGATAGCAAGGTTGTTGGAGCTGATTGACTGTAGGAGTGATCTGCCCCTTGTGTTTGTACTGTTGTGCCCCCAAGCAGTGTGATGTGCGTTGGAGTCCACTGATGCTATCAGCGGTAGTCTCTCTCGTTCTGCGTAACTTGCTATCCTTGTGATTAGATCGCTAGGGATGTCCTTTGTGATATCCATGTATATTGAGGTCAATATAATAGATAGATCCTTGTTTATGCAACACCTGAGGGTAATATTATCGCCTGAGCTTAGTCCTGATAGTACCATGGTTTTTCTTCCTAAATCCTTCGGGAGAAGGGCTGCTACCCTGGGTTTGTCCTGTGTGTACGGCACAAACTGTTGGTGGCTCCTTGGTACGTTCCCTATTGTTCCTTTCCTCACGACTGGTTCCTGTATTAAACAGATTTGATTAGTTTTTAATTCCTTGTGCAGTGTGGTTGCTGCTGTAAATCTCTTACCTAAGTTGATTTGAATCACTGAAGTCGAGTATGTTGACTCTCGAGAATTATTGGGACTCATAGATAACAGAAAAGATTATAAACCTGGAGTGTTACGTTACATACCGAATACCTGTACCCGTTAATCGAGCGAGCTCTCAGATTCCGTCCTATCTGTACTGATCTTGGGTAGTGTCCTCCTCTTGCTATCCTCCTGATGATTCGGCGAGTTACTGCTATCTCTACTGGATCTCTTGCTACTTGCCGAGTTTGTCCTGCTCCTCATCGGGGTACTGGTGTGTTCACTCTGGATAGCTATATCCAGTAGCTCCAGCTCCATGTCTGGTGTCAACTTATCCTGGAACACGGCTAGCTCCTGGTCTGGGTTATCAAGGAGTAAATTCTCGTCCTCTAGGTTTTCCCCGTCCTTGCTACCTCCTGTCACGTGTCTGAATCTCTCGTCCTCCACCGGCAAAGGGATGTTGTTTAGAGCCGGGACCTGGGGTGTGACCTGTGGGGAAGAAATTTCTGCCTGTTCGGGTTTAGCCTGGGTTATCGTTTTATCTCCTGTTGATGTGTTCTCCTCCTCTTCCTGTCTCAGTGTTGCCATCAACGCTTTGATGTCGGCGTCTGGGGCAACGAATCCTGTGATTCCTGGTACTTTGGGATGTCCCCACATGGGGACATATAAACCTATTGGAGACAGCCAGTTTTTGTTCTTTAGCCACTGGATAGCTTCCTCATCAAGTTCCAGGTAGACGTGCCAGCTAGTCTCCTTGTCCCCTTCTGGTCTCCATGCCTTCCTAGAAATTTGAACCTGGTTTTGTGTTAATGACCCGAAGGTCCCTGCTACGAAGTGCTCGTGTAATTTGGGCAGTAGAGGTGCTGCCACTCCTGGAAGTGTTGTATAGATTTCTGTACCTGGTGGTTTTTCTCCTGGGAGAAAAGCTTCATAACCTTTAATTTTACTGATTCCACTTTTGTAGAATGGCCCTGCTGCTTGGTTGCAGAAAATTACCATTTCCCTGTGTTTCAGTTTGGTACCTCCATGACCTAAGTGCTCGCCTGTCTGACCTGATTTTGCTGCCTGTGCTATGTGCTCTGCAACACCGAACTGTATTGTCCACTGATCCTCTCGCGTCATCGCCGCTTTATCACTCCTAATGACTCTGACTTCGTACTTGTCAGCGTCTTTTCCTAACATTCTGGCGTACGTGGCGTGTACTTGATGTTGAAGGTCCTGGATATTGAGTACTGGGGGGTTATTGGATTTGGAGGCTAGCTCCTTTCCTCTCGGCCCCTTACCCTGGGTTTGAGTTTGGAGCCTAGCCGGTTTGTGGTAAGGTACCTTTTGGTACCCACCACTAGCAGTTTTAACTACATTTACCTGACCCTTTGATACCTTAAGGGCTTTGTTGGCCCTCCTGTCTCTGCTTGTTCCTGTGGCCTGGTGCCTCTGTACTTCCCTGTCTGATTCCCGAGTTTTACTGGGGCGATGTTTGCCATCCTTTCCTGCTCTGATCCACGATGAAGATGCTCTATTGGGAGAGCCTGTGTCGTGTCTTGAGGAGGAGGGGTGGTGTCTGGATCGAGATCGGTGTCTGGATTTAGATCGTGATCTGGATCGGTTAGTCGAACGACTGCTATCATCCGATTTCGTGGGAGTGTGCATTATAGCTAGAGTGAGTAAACATTAGTAAACTGGAATCCTGTAAGGATGTCTTAAAACTGGGTGGTGCTGAATTTCAGTTGATCTGGTATAATTTGGAAGCGGCCTAGTCAGTTAAAGAACTGTGGTTAAAACTAGAGTTATGTTATGATTTCGATCTTCTGGTGTTCGGTGAACTTCTGTCGCTGTGTCCTTGTTCCGAACATTCTAGAGTGCTTGTTCCAGGATGCCTGGCGCCGCTTGTGAGGGGAAAACGTGCGCGTTAGACTAATTATCTGAATTTGGGTAACTCCTGAAACTTTAGACATTTCGTCTGCCACGCGCCTTCCGGTAAGTGATCTGGGAAGTGGTACAGTGTCGCCCGAAATTTTCTTTGTTCTAAACCTCTGCGTAGGGACTGATATTGTCTTGATTGTTTCCTGGATCCGTGCGTGTACTGTCTTGTGCCTGCTAGACCTGTTGTTCAGAGGTGATGTCCCTGGGACTTAAGAGTTGTTAGTGTTACTTTCCTGGTTCATATGGTAATTGAGTTGGCAAGACTCAGCCTTTATACTCTCCTAAGAGAGTACACCACCCGTTAGTGCCAACCAGGCCACACCACGTGGAGGTTCGGAATGGATAATCGTGACCCTCACCCAACAAACACTCCCTGACCTTTTAAGATGTAGGAGTGTTTATCAGGTTAAGGTCCAAATCACTTATTGCCGTGGGTGGAAGAGTTCTGGCAGTTGGCATGTCTAACCCATGATAGAGATTATACAAGTTCTGAGCAAACCAAATCGCAGTCTGCGTCTTGCTCTAATCACATCAGAGTCCTTTCACGTTTGCAGTAGCACGAATGCTACTTGTAGTATGTGAAGGCCCATGGTTAGTTGAAGTCTGCGTCTGAAAAATGACATCACATCAGAGTACCTTTAGCCTTCCCTGAAGCTGATCTTCTCAGCGAGATGTTTCTGGAATTGTGAAGCCTCAAATACCATTCCTCCTGCAGTAGTACTGAACACCAGTGGTGTGAAGGTGGCCTTTAAGGACTCTCTCATTGTACTCATGTTGATAATCTGTCTTGAAAATCGGGTCAACGATATAGTGTGGCGATGGGATTAATCAGCAAAAGAGTAGCATAGGGTTTGACCTATTGAGAACAACAATCATTGCTCTTATATTAGAGGAAAAAGAGGATTAGAAAGTAGTATTGCGATGAAAATAGAAGATTTAGACTTAAAGTTAGAGCCTATAGGTACATCCAATTGCCATAATTTATTAATTTAAAGGGGTTTTACTCCTTACACATTATGTAATATTTAAAATCCTGCCTTATGTTAGAATAATTTAATTAATTAATTAGCTTGGACGCCCGATACAACTGCCAAAATGGAGATTGGGGATCACTATGAAATCGAAGATATATCATCATTCCTGCTATACAAGAGCTGATGCAACACTCAGTTGGCTTTAAAAATGGATTCATTAGAATAAATCCGCCAGGATTTATCTATCTCTGTGAGACTCAAAAATATTTGGACAGACTGAGAAAGTTTGAAGTGAGGGATGACGATATTTGGATTTGCACATTTCCTAAATGTGGAACAACATGGACACAAGAAATGGTTTGGTGTTTGATGAACGATCTGGACTTCAAAACTGCTAAAACCATAGACTTGGATGAAAGGATGATTTTTATGGAACAAATATCAATAGAAAAGGAGGCCTCAGCCGAAGTATTTCCTGACACGATAAAACTTGCTTCAGAACAACCATCTCCAAGAATCATCAAGACTCATCTGCCATTTACAATGCTACCAGATCAAATCAGAACTAAGAAAAGAGCCCGAAGATTGTGCATGTCTCGAGGAATTCTCGTGATGTCTGTGTGTCCCTCTATCATCACTGGAAACTTTTAGAAGGGTTCAATGGTGGATTTGATTTGTGGTCAAGATTATTCTTGGAGGGATATAGTGGTTATTATTCTCCATTTTGGAGGCATGTAGAATCATATTATGTGTCAGAATATGATAATATCATATTTTTAAAATATGAAGACATGAAAAAAGATCTGAGGAGCAATATCAATTCAGTTACTACCTTTCTGGGGTGCAAAAGTCGTACTGAAGATGAAAAGACTCAGCTTGAAGAACATTTGTCAGTCAAGAACTTCAAAAGTTGTCCCACTTTGAACAAGGCTAATTTTGTTGAGCACATGGAAAATATAGGCTCATCGAACAGTGAACATGGCGTTGGTTTTGTGAGGAAGGGAATTGTAGGAGACTGGGTGAATTATTTTACGGAGGAAATGTCAGCCAAGTTCTTGGAACAAGACATTGAACTGTTCAATCAGTTCAATCCACAAGATTAGTTGTCTATGCACTAATGCACATGGATCTCTATCGATACTCTCTTACGTTTTATTACATCCTACTTGCTGGATACCCTGTTTAAGGTATATCACCAACTACCAACTTCACTGAGAAGAATTTATTGGTGATTGGCAGATGGCAGTCAATGTGTCTTACTTATGTATGTTTGATTTTGATTCATATATTCAGAAGGTCTAAATCTAATTAATGACAATTTAAGAGGGTAAATTACAGACTTTGCTTTTAAATATAAAAGAATTGATTAGTTTATAAGGATGTTGTTTTTACATTTTAATTTTTTTAAACATTTTAATCTACAGTGAATACAGTGATAGCTGACCTGATTCATGTGTTGGCAACCTTTTTCATCTAGCTGTCACGTACATTGAGAAGTGTGATCATATTATACGTATCTTGTTATTAATAAAGCAGCTACTTCAAGTAATATATTTTGAAGATGATAATTCTATCATTGGGAATAAGGCCTTTTTATTAGCTTATATAATATGGTTGCTTACAACAAATGGTGTCAAAACTTAGTGATTTATCTTAATTGACTCACCAGAATTTTACAATTAAGAAAGAGTCCATGGAATTTAGAATTGAAGACCAGTATGTTAAGTTGTTGAGGACATTACCTCATTTCCTGCTGTTTAAGAGCTGGTGAAAAACGCTGCTGGCTTTGAAAATGTAAACCCACCAGCATTTATTTACCCCTATGAAACTCAGAGATATTTGGAGACACTGAGAAAGTATGAAGTTAGAGATGAACCATATAATTGCGTCGGTAACAATAAATATTAAATGTGGCCTGTTTTAACGTAATCTGTGCACCTAAATCTTGCTTTTTGACAAAAAAAATAACTTTTTTACTGAAAATCGATTTTAGGTTTTAGAAAATGAGTTCTGCAACTCCTCTGCTATTTGAAATTGAAGACAAGTATGAAATACAGGAAATTACATCAAATAGTTATATTCAAGAACTGATAAAGCATGTTTCTGGCTATAAAAATGGGTTTATTAGAGTTAATCCTTCTGGATTTGTGTTCATCACTGAAACTGAAAAATATTTGGAGAGACTGAGAAAGTTTGAAGTGAGGGATGACGATACTTGGATTTGCACATTTCCTAAATGTGGAACAACATGGACACAAGAAATGGTTTGGTGTTTGATGAACGATCTGGACTTCAAGACTTCTAAAACCATAGACTTGGATGAAAGGATGATTTTTATCGATCATATTGCGATTCTAGATGATTTCATTAGCGTAAACTTTCCTGATACCATACAACAAGCCGCTGATATGCCATCCCCAAGGATCATCAAAACACATCTTCCTTTTGATTTATTGCCTGACCAGATCAGAATGAGAAAAAAGACCCCTAAGATAGTTCACGTCTTTAGGAATTCTCGTGATGTCTGTGTGTCCCATTACCATCACTGGAAGATCTTGAAAGGGTTCAACGGCGGGTTTGAAATGTGGTCTCGTTTATTTTTAGAGGGATACGGTGGTTATTATTCCCCCTTTTGGAAGCACGTTGAGTCATTTTACCTTTCTCAATACAAAAATATTATGTTTGTGAAGTATGAGGACATGAAAAAGGATATGAAAATTTCCATTGAAGCTATGTGTGGATTTCTAGAGTGTAAAAGTTACACTGATGACGAAAAGACTCTACTTCAACAGCATTTGTCGTTCAAGAATTTTAAACAAAGCCCCACCCTCAATAAGCAGACACATGTAAAAATCTGTGAGAATGTTGGATATTCTAATCAGGATGAAGGAGCTGTCTTCGTAAGAAAGGGAATTGTTGGAGATTGGGTGAATTATTTCTCTGATGAATTATCAGAAAAATTTCAGGAAAAAGATGCGGAGTTGAGTCGTTGTACCGGTTTAGTTATTGAAAGTCAGTTGTCCAACTCAAGTTTATAAATTTTTAATATCATCGCTTTATTTAGTATGTCAAAGTGGGTATCTAATATGTAATTTTCGTAATAATTTAATGGTTACCTTCATGCCCACAGTTCAATCTTTTAACCCACCATACCATTATACCATACTTTATACTCATTAACTTATTATCTATATATACTAAATGTTTTGATTCTTAGTCCTTAGAAGGGCACTCTATTAATAATTTTTGACTGATTTGAATGAAACATCTCTAAATTATTTACTATTTTTATTGTAATGCTTTTTAAATTTGATTATTATTCTAATTCTAATAATTTACATAATAGCTACCACACTTTTACTACGTGATTTATTGTATTGATAGTTTTGATTATTTGGTTTTACAAAAGTTTATTTTATGTCTGATTTTGTAGATTATTTTAGCTCTATTCTGTTAAAGTATGAAAATTGAAAATTCGTGATCTCTTGTTTGCTTTATAAATATCAAACTTACTGATTGAATACCACAATTTTGTTTTATAATAACCAACTTTAATAACTAATCCTAAAATTAGCTGAATTAATTTCATGATGCTCTTCAATAATAGGTTGTAAATTTAATACGGTATATCAATTCATAATGAAAACTAACAATTAATTTAATAAGGTAGCAAGATTTTATAACAAGATGGGTAAGTGCTTAAAGTTATCTTATTTTTACAGTTAAAAAATTAACATATTATCACAACAATCGTGTAATGACTTTTTGTGTTTTGAAAGAACATAAGTTTGTTTTTGCACGGGACAGTGACTTCCCAATGATCTTGCAACTAATTTGATTGAAATACCGCTATCCCGTCCCCAAATTAATTTTATTTATTGATTCTGTGTCGTAACTTTTTCAGATGGTAACGTCTTATCCCCAGGTCAGTGGTTCGCCAGATTGTTCTCTGGTCTTATTGGAACTAAAGAGTTAAGGATACTAATTTTAGGGCTAGATGGTGCTGGAAAAACTACTATTTTATACAGGTTAGAATTTCTAATATTTAGGTTATTTGACTGTCATATTATTTGTAATTCCTTATTCAAACCTATGTTACTCATAACAGTATTAACGTAACCAGATTCATATAGGATACTGAATTAATATCATTTAGACGATACCCGAGCTAGCCCTTCAAAATATGAGGGGATGTGTGACATGTCCAGTATTTTGTTTTTCACATTTTATCATCTCAGATTACAAGTGGGTGAGGTAGTCACTACTATTCCAAGTAAGTTCTGTTAAAAGATTATTTCCATATATTACATGTGTAATCAGTATAAAGCATGACCTTATGTTTTGTTTCGTTATCTCATGGAAAGAGCTGTAACTAATATAATATAGGCTTGACTTTACTAACTTTAATATAAATAATATTGAAATATTACACTCGTCAGCGGTTCTTTATGTGTTTATTTTATTGAATATGTTGAGTCCATTAACATGATATCACTTATGCTTATCGCTGGGGTTGTATAAGTAGTTCTACATGTAATTTTACACACCTAGAAATATACCGCCCGAACCACTACGGATTACATGTACCAGAAATGAAAATGCGTGGTAAAACTTAATCGTATGTCACGCGCGGACGCCGAATGGTTTATAAGTGATCAAAGTTAACGTGTTCAAGTTTTTTCCTTGACACTCATCAGCTATACTAGTGAATGCGCGTCACGCGCGCCAAACCAGCGAAATCTGCACCGATTTCGATTTTCCACGCAAGCAAATCAAAAGTAGTAGTGTCCGATTTCAACTTTGATGTTAATTGGCAACCGACTTTTCTGTACTTATACGACTTTAAACCTCATCAAACGTATCTGAATCTAAGAAATGCGAGTTTTGATACCTGCTCAATCTACGCAACTAGTCAATTATATTGTCAGGGTACACGTACACATACGTGACATCAGACATTACTCAACTTTTGTTATCGTTCATGTAACCTTATATCGTGAGGTATGTAACAGTTTGGAGTATTGTTCACTTATGAGTTTTTAGTAAGAGATAATCGTTTATAATTGTTTACTATTTCAGCTATCGGATTTAACGTTGAGACTGTAGATTATAAGAACATGAGGTTTCAAGTATGGGATTTAGGCGGTCAAACCAGCATAAGGTAAATGATCAAATGTGATTTATCTTCATTATAATCACGCCAAAATCATTGAAGGGGGCTAATTTTCAGCCAGCGGGTGTCCCTACACTGACCACTCCTGACTCCTATACCAACAGTATACCCTAGCCGCCAAAAACTAAAAATCACAGAAGTATTACATTTAAAGCTTGAAATAGGGAGCTTTTCACGGTTGTATTACAGTTAAGATGAACTCTTTTTTTTCTTCTCGCAGGCCGTATTGGCGATGTTACTACAGCAATACAGACGCTATAATATATGTGGTAGACAGTGTAGATAGGGAGAGGATAGGTATCTCCAAATCAGAGCTAGTCGCTATGTTAGAGGTTTGTAGTGCTTCTTTGTTTAATGATACGGTGCCAAACACTGTTAAGTTGACAAAATATACATCTGATGTTAGCTAGCACGCTTTTTATATGTAGCTGTGCAGGTTTTATTTTTTATGTTTTGAAGGATTTAATTTGAATTTGTTCATCCGATTTAATGATAAACATGACTGTCCGTCGTCAATAATTCATGTTTAATACCAGGAAGAAGAATTAAAAGACGCCATCTTATGTGTATTCGCTAATAAACAGGTCAGTTCAAGTGTGAATATCTTCCGTGTGGTTCAGTTTCTTTTCATTGTCTACTTTTCTATATTCGTTGTATGTACACGTCATATTGTATACTGTATATATGGTTAGTGGAGAAGGGAGTAAACTTACAATATGTAATGACATACCGTTACAATATGAACATCAATGGTATTACTATGCCGCAATTAACCATTTCAATGCGTCAGATATCACTATACTTTACTAAACCCTTCCTAGTACATTCATTTTTACATCTCAATAATCTGGAAAATAAGGTCAACTTGGGTTCCTTGCTATTTACGGAATGATAACATCTCATGACAGATTGAAAGGGCTTGGATGTTATTCTGGAATGTCGTTCTGGAATGTTTCATACATCCATACACGTTTTTGGTGGGGCACGGATCTTAGCTTGTAAAGGATTTAATGGATCCAACTACCATGCAGCCACTATCCGCTTATAACTTTATAAGAAACCTGTGGTGCCAGACTTTTTTGTTAGACTGGCAAACTTTATATGACTGGAGAGGTATTGAAATCAATTTTGTCGAATACGGAAGTATAACTAGCCTGTTCAATGTACTGGTCAGTGAAGGTAACACGACATCTGTCCGACAGCGACATCTGTCCGACAGCACTATTTTCGTGTGTTTGAAGTGATATCTCAAATTTGGCACATAGAAATTTATCCAAACTTGCACAAATTATTTGTCTTAAAGCTATCTTACTATCTAGAAAGTTTCAAGAAAATCGTATCGTTGGATCTCCAGATATATGCTTTGGAACCACTGAAAACCACCGAATTGGATATATTTTTTGTGTTTAAGGTAATATCTTAAATTTGGCACATAGAAACTCGCTCAAACTTACACAGATTATTCGTCCTATAACCACCATACTTTATGGAAAGTTTTAAGAAAATCGTACGGTAGGATCCGACATAAACTATTGTCCAAATAACCTATTTTCGGATTCGGACAGATGTCGCTGTCGGACAGATGTCGGCCAATCGTCAGTGAATAATGATTCTTTTACAGTCATGACATTTTAAAAAGTTACGCACCGTTCCATGTGTACTCGTGAATCAGGATGTAGCTTTTTGTAAAAACAATAACCGGCGCGCAGCACGTGCAGTGGTATATTCCTTAAGTAAGTGCCTTTTGTAATAATCTGCAACCTCTGCTGCGCACCATTAATTTGTGCGAACAATTTATTTTCGCGAGTTTTTAGGACCCAAACATTCGCGAATTTTATTAATTTTTTTGAAATTAGCGAAAATAAGTATCCATAAAAATGTCTGGTATTACACTATAATCTACATATCTTGCCTCGATATACCGGGCTTCTTCCTTTCCCCGAAACTTGTTGTTGATTAGTTCGTGTTGTGCAAGAAATGAGCTGTAAAACGAACAAAAATTTGCAAAAAAAGAAGTGAGGCCCTTTGGTTTAGCGGAGAGTTAAGATATAGTATAACAAATCAGGATTCAGGTGGAATTAAATCAGAATAGCTTGTGTTAAGTTTATAATGTTGACTGCCAAAATACAGTAAAATCCCTATTTAACCACTTTATTTCCACAAATGTATGTATTTTCCGTTTATATCACTTTAAATGTGCTTCTATGGCACAGTTAAACATATACCATATGCTTTTACTTAAATTTACTTAAATTTACTCCTTTGAATTTTATTGATTTTTAGCCTAAAATAGTGACATTCTAGGTGCACTTGCGGCATTCTAGGTGCACTCGCGACCATATATGGGCAAAATAAAAATGAACACAATTAGGGGGGACGACCCTCCTATGTTTTTTGAAATGCCCAAACATTAAAACAGTTAGACCTATACCATATCCTTTTACTCCTTTGAAGTGAAATTTTATTGATTTTTAGCCTAAAATAGTGACATTTTGCGGCATCCCAAAATTTGAAGGCACGACCATATATTATGGGCAAAATAAAATTGAACACAATCAGGGGGGACCACCCCCCCCTCCCCCCTATGTTTCTTGAAATGCCCAAACATTAAAATTTGGCCCTTTTTGGTACAAGGGTGATATCGTATCACCCTTGCATTTTAGGGTATTGAAATGTGTCTTACACGATTTCTCGGGTGATTTTAGGTGGGATAGAAAATTTGTGTGGCAAAAGGGCATAATACTTCCTTTAAACTTGATTTCTTCCAAAAACGCGGGCGCTCGGCGCGCATGCTGTGCCAGAGTGAGTTGTTTGTGATGGGCGATGGCGGTGTATCCTTTGGTTGGTGGGGTATCAGGAAACCTCTCCAAAAATTTAGCAAGTGATACTAGATCAGTTAGTGGCTGTTTACTTGTCGTGGGAGAAGGTTCCAGTCGTGGGAGAAGGTTTACAGAATAGGAACTAAAAATGTTTAAAGATTTTTCCGTTCACTCAATGTGTCAAGCTCTGGTCTATTTACAATATGATTTGTCTTCGCCACCTATAAAAATGCTCTTGTGTACGTTTCGACTTTCTTGATTCGGGAAGCCCTGTTTTTTTCTAGATTTAAATGAAGAAAGTTCAAAAACCAGTCATGTAGAGTGTAGACGCTCAGTGGCTAGAAATTAACTGAAAGGAATCTTGTTCGAGATTCGAGAATGGGGTGATACTTAAAATTTTAAGAAATCTACATCTGAATTTTGAAGCACAATTTCCAGATCACAACGTGATCAACTGTTTGTCTCGTGGCTACCCACGTTTATCAACTAAGCAAATATTAATAAATTTATAGTTCAATTTTTTCTATTCACCTTTGGAAGGTGAAAGGTTACGACTCGAGGGCAGTGGGGGAGCAGGGGGGTTGAGTCCTAGATTGATTTGTACAAATTTAGCACAGCCAATTCACATCTCATGATGCTATGGTATTTCGGAAGACTACATTGTTAGTGTTAAAGTTAATCATTATTAGGCTCTGGCCTCTGGGTCTTCAATTTCGCACAATCTTGATAATTCCGCAGATTTGTGATTTGGTCGCCCCGTTTAATTCCACAACAAATTAAATAACTTTGCGAAGCAGTGGCGTAACGTTGCCTGTTGGCGCCGAAAAAGCGCCCCCTTGTTGGCGCCCCCTCCCCTTTGGGTGCCCCTCCCTAAAATTGAACAAATAAGGTGATTTTAGAGGATACGCCGGCAAAATCTCTAAAAAAGTGTGTATCTAGAGCAAAACACAACAGGATGAAACAGTTAATCAGTCATTAGTCATATTAATGTTCTTAATTCTATGGCATAGTAATTAATTTGAGTCACAAGTGGTTTCTTAAGCATTAAATTATGAAGTGAACTGATCAAAGATTGCAGTGAATGGAAATCTAGCGTCTGCCACAAAGAGAGTTAATCATTTACACTTCGCCAGTCGAGTAAACGACTCTTTTAGATAATGCAATGTGAATACTGAATATACTTGCTTATAAGCTTTTTGTCTGTTTTCTACTGAAACTGGTCTTGTCTTGAATTGATTGTTACTGGCTTTTTAGCTTGGTAAATGGTTCTCTGTACACTGTATAATATTACTTCTGTCTAAGAACGACGCACTATTTAATCGATCTAAAACTGCAAGTCGCGTCTTTGTGCGCGCGAAGCCTCCTTTGTTCCTGTCAAAGTTGAGTGAAAATTTGAGACTTTCGGTATGAGAGACGTATCCGCGCGCGCGGTATATGACAAGGAAGTGTAAAACGCGGACCGATTAAACACCTGTCAATATTGCCAGCGATTGGGGTCTGAAAGATAACAAAACATTTAAATTCCCAAGAGCTTTTCTAAAAGCTCGTATTGAACTAGCTGCAAAAAAATTTGGAAATTTAAGATATATTTTACATGGCTGCATATATAATTTTTATTTCAAAATTCAAATAAATTTTACATCAATGTATTACAATTAGATGACAAGACTTGTTTATTTCATTCACTGTGACCTCCCTGCCCTTATCCGACAAAATTGTACCTGGAAAACTATACTTGCGGCAAAAGTGGTCAGTCGAGCGAATTTTGCCGAAACACGGTTACTTGGTAAAGAATTTTATACTTTAATTCAGCTACACTTAATCGGATGTTCTTCAGTAGTCAGCTAGTTAGTTACAACAGCACATCACCATCTCACCAATACTGTCAATTGCAACATAATCAACAATCATACCCCCGTAAACTTCAACTGTCAGCATTTTTACTACTCGTCGACCAACTTTTGCTATATTTTCATTAATTAGGTGTGCTAGGCTGCTGTCAAAAACTGAAAACTTTGTCTAATTGCATTGGATAGAGTGCAATTGAGTATTATTGACAATATTTTGTGTAAACTACTGGCCAATATTTGTGAACGGGTTAAAGCCATACTCATCACCTTGGCTGCATGCTTATCTCCTGTAGTGTCAACACCAACCCTCCAATGTAACCTTCCTCAGCGAATCACGTGACACACCACAGCCAATCACTGATCAGTATCTTCACCCATTATCTCGGTGCTCGCATTTGTACCGTTTCCCTCTCACACGCAGCTCAAAGCTGGTCTCCCGGCGGGCCAATCTCCCGCTTTTCCGCTCCCAGCCAATCAGGAAACAGCCAAGTTTACACGTGGGACGGAGCAACCATCCAGAGCATTGCATCCCGCATGCACGTGGTGGGCAGTTTACATCCTGCTCCCATTTATGGAATAATTTGGAGAGGTGGGCCAGTTAATTGTATCTTCTCTAGCTCTCCTTCCCTGACTCTCTCTCTCTCTCTCTCTCTCTCTCTCTCTCTCTCTCTCTCTCTCTCTCTCTCTCTCTCTCTCTCTCTCTCTCTCTCTCTCTCTCTCTCTCTCTCTCTCTCTCTCTCTCTCTCTCTCTCTCTCTCTCTCTCTCTCTCTCTCACACACTCTCTCTCTCTCTCTCTCTCTCTCTCTCTCTCTCTCTCTCTCTCTCTCTCTCTCTCTCTCTCTCTCTCTCTCCCACCAAGCTGCACTGTTTGTACACACACGGCCACCACCACTGTCCACTATTACCACTATGCTCAGCAAAAACAAAAGCTCGAATTTTAGATTGAGTAGCCGAGAGTTATAAATTTAGTGGCAGTGAAAAAGGGGAATCTTAAAGTTTAGGGTGGTAGCGTTAACATAAATCAAAAAGTAAAATAAACAAACAGATAAGTTCCATGTATCCTCAACTTTAACTGCTCCTATATAATAATGTATTCTGTGCTGACAGTGAAATAATGGCTTATTATCGACCACGTGACTGCATCGATCACGTGCGACCGAGCTTTGTTGGCCTGGCCCTGGGGCTGCCTAATTACCCTTTCTCTGTGATTTCCATGAGTTATAACTGTGCGTTAAACAGTTATACTGAACACTCAGAAGACGTTAAAGATCACATTATCTAATGGTAAACTGTCACAACCTAAATTCTGATTACCAGTTTAAATGTCTGACTAATAAACTGTGTAAACGAATCTGTACTTTTAGGGCCTGTTCACTATTCAAGGATTAAAATGATGAAGTTGTATTCTAATCGAAGACTTATAACTTGCATCGTATTGTTAAGAATAGATCAGATTCAAATCAGTAGCCTATTCATGCAGCGTATTATAACGCGTATGTATAAAACGCGGAGACAGTTTTATAACAAATTCACAAGGTTGCGAGGTTTGCTAGAAAATATGGATATTTTTGTGTGAAAATCCTCAAATTTTAAATTAAAAACTGCTAGTCCAGCGAATTTGAATCAGGTAATTTACAATCCTAATATAAAATAACTGTATACAATCTGTGCGTTGAATATTTTACATTTAGAAGTATCCTGTATATGAACAGACAGTGACTGAAGCAGCTAATTGCTCTTAATTGGTCATTATGAGCTAATGACCCTTCACTTTTTACAGCAGCTACTAACAAAACTCCTCCGCAGGACATAGAGGGCGCTATGACACCTACAGAAGTTTCCCAAGAATTGGGCTTGTCGGCACTTAAAACGAGGACGTGGGCCATTTTCAAAACCTCAGCTGTGAAGGGGGGACTCGGGCTGGAGGAGGCCATGGAATGGTAAGTCTCTGTTTGTATAACGTTTTCAATTGTCTGCGGAGGATGCATCGACCAATAATAACCACTTAACATTTTCTATTTGTGATGGTTCTTTGAATATTACAAATTTTGTGATAGACATTGGATATTAAATTTATTGGTCGAAATTTGAAATCATACTGACAAAACCTTCAAGTTTCGACCATTCGTTCAACCGATAACCAGTAACCACACATGCGGGTTACGCAAATGAAACCATGCACATGGGGCATAGTTTTCGTAATGTCCGAAGTAAACTTAACATTTTTCTAAGCGCTGTGAAAATAATCGGCCCGAACTTCCGCTAACTGATCCAGTTGTTTAAGTAATGTATACATTGTAAGGTGTAATGTATACATTGTATAGTGTAATGTATACATTGTATAGTGTAATGTATACATTGTATAGTGTAATGTATACATTTCATAGTGTAATGTATACATTGTATAGTGTAATGTATACATTGTATAGTGTAATGTATACATTGTATAGTGTAATGTATACATTGTATAGTGTATTGTGTAAACACAGTACTTACTAACTATAGCTGTTGAGTGTTGATACATAACAAGTCCAACTATTGTCGAGTGCTATCGTTTATCGAAAGTTTTTAGTTTACGTTGTTAAGTAGCATTGTCAAATCTTGCAAACTGTGAGGGGGGCATTGAGTGTACAATTATTACATTCTAATGAGTTATGTTACATAATACATCACGTTTAAGCGACAACTAAAACTACGAAATACCCCACAACTAAAACTACGAAATACCCCACAACTAATACTCTTCCCCGATTAGGTTGTGTAACGCTATTAAAACGAAACAGTGATAAAGTTCACGTGCCGCTTGTTACCACGGACTCCCTAAAAGTGCGGTTGCCAGGGCAACTAAACTATGATTATAAGACTAGCAGTAAATTGTGAATGAAGTTAAAGTATATTTATATTTTTGTTCACTTTAATTATAAAATAATTTGTGGCCGGATTCCCTCTGAAAAACGTCCCCTTTTGTTTTGCAGTACCAGTTACACACTATTTACTGTAATACCTTGATTGTCACTGTTAGTGTTAGCTGCAAGTAATGTATAGGGGGGGGTGTCATGTCCGTCTATGTCCGCCTATGTCCTGTCCTTTTTGGATTCTATGAGACAACGGACGTGTTTTTTGGGACATTGGCGGACACGGACGGACATTGGCGGACTCGGACGGACATTGGCGGACTCGGACGGACATAGGCGGACTCGGACGGACATAGGCGGACCCGGACGGACATAGGCGGACTCGGACGGACATTGATGGACATTGGTGGACATTAGCGGACAAACATTTTGAGAATTTTTCGCAACTTGTATTATAATCTTGTACAAAACAAACGACTTATTAATCACACTAAAGCTATTAATAGCTTTAACTTATTATATCAAATTATATAGGGACCCAGGAAAAGGCCCCAGGAGGAGGAGGAGGAGGACTGTTGAGGACTGATGAGGAGGACTGAGGACGAGGAGGAGGAGTAGGAGGAGGACTGAGGAGGGGAGGAGGAAGAGAACTGGGGAGGATCAGGAAGACCCAGGAGGAGGACCCAGGAGGAGGACCCAGGAGGAGGAGGAGGACTGAGGAGGATTACTCAGGAGGAGGACTGAGGAGGACTGAGAAGGAGAAGGACTGAAGAGTACTGAAGAGTACTGAGGAGGATGGCTGAGGAGGATGGCTGAGGAGGATGACTGAGGAGGATGACTGAGAGGGAGGAGGATCAGGAAGACCCAGGAAGAGGAGGAGGAGGAGGACCCAGAAGGAGGACCTAGGAGGATCAGGAGGAGGAGAACTGAGGAGGATGACTGTCGACTCAGGAGGAGGAGGACTCAGGAGGAAGACTCAGGAGGACTGAGAAGGAGGAGGACTGAGGAGGATGGCTGAGGAAGATGACTGAAAGGGAGGAGGAGGAGGAAGAGGAGGAAGAGGACTGAGGAGGAGGAGGAGAAGGACTGAGGAGGAGAAGGAGGACCCAGGAGGAGGAGGACCCAGGAGGAGGAGGACCCAGGAGGAGGACCCAGGAAAAGGCCCCAGGAGGAGGAGGAGGACTGGGGAGGAGGAAGACTGTTGAGGACTGATGAGGAGAACTGAGGACGAGGAGGAGGAGGAGTAGGAGGAGGACTGAGGAGGGGAGGAGGAAGAGGACTGGGGAGGATCAGGAAGACCCAGGAGGAGGAGGAGGAGGACCCAGGAGGAGGAGGAGGACTCAGGAGGACTGAGGAGGAGGACTGACGATGACTGAGAAGGAGGAGGACTGAGGAGTACTGAGGAGGATGGCTGAGGAGGATGGCTGAGGAGGATGGCTGAGGAGGATGACTGAGAGGGAGGAGGAGGAGGACTCAGGAGGAGGACCCAGGAGGAAGAGGACTGATGAGGAGGACTTAGGAGAAAAGGCCCCAGGAGGAGGAGGAGTAGGAAGACTGTTGAGGACTGATGAGGAGGACTGAGGACGAGGAGGAGGAGTAGAAGGAGGACTGAGGAGGGGAGGAGGAAGAGAACTGGGGAGGATCAGGAAGACCCAGGAGGAGGACCTAGGAGGAGGACCCAGGAGGAGGAGGAGGAGGACTGAGGAGGATTACTCAGGAGGAGGACTGAGGAGGACTGAGAAGGAGAAGGACTGAATAGTACTGAAGAGTACTGAGGAGGATGGCTGAGGAGGATGGCTGAGGAGGATGACTGAGGAGGATGACTGAGAGGGAGGAGGATCAGGAAGACCCAGGAAGAGGAGGAGGAGGAGGACCCAGAAGGAGGACCTAGGAGGATCAGGAGGAGGAGAACTGAGGAGGATGACTGTCGACTCAGGAGGAGGAGGACTCAGGAGGAAGACTCAGGAGGACTGAGAAGGAGGAGGACTGAGGAGGATGGCTGAGGAAGATGACTGAAAGGGAGGAGGAGGAGGAAGAGGAGGAAGAGGACTGAGGAGGAGGAGGAGAAGGACTGAGGAGGAGAAGGAGGACCCAGGAGAAGGAGGACCCAGGAGGAGCTGAGGAGGACCCAGGAGGAGGACCCAGGAAAAGGCCCCAGGAGGAGGAGGAGGACTGGGGAGGAGGAAGACTGTTGAGGACTGATGAGGAGAACTGAGGACGAGGAGGAGGAGGAGTAGGAGGAGGACTGAGGAGGGGAGGAGGAAGAGGACTGGGGAGGATCAGGAAGACCCAGGAGGAGGAGGAGGAGGACCCAGGAGGAGGAGGAGGACTCAGGAGGACTGAGGAGGAGGACTGACGATGACTGAGAAGGAGGAGGACTGAGGAGTACTGAGGAGGATGGCTGAGGAGGATGGCTGAGGAGGATGACTGAGAGGGAGGAGGAGGACTCTGGAGGAGGACTCAGGAGGAAGAGGACTCAGGAGGAGGACTTAGGAGAAATGAAAAGGAGGACTGAGGAGAACTGAGGAGGAGGAGGAGGACGAGGACTGAATAGGAGGAGGAGAAGGAGGGGGACTGGGAGAGGACTGAGGAGGAGGAGGACTGATGAGAAGGATGAGGAGGAGGACTAAGGACCGAGGAGGAAGAGGAGGAGGAGGACCCAGGAAGAGGAGGACCCAGGAGTAGGACTGAGGAGGATGACTGAGAGGGAAGAGGAGGAGGAGGAGGAGGAGGACTGAGAAGGAGGAAGACTGAATAGGAGGAGGAGGAGGGGGACTGGGGGAGGACTGAGGAGGAGGATGGAGGACTGAGGAGAAGGTTGAGGAGGAGGACTGAGGACTGAGGAGGAAGAGGAGGAGGATGAAGAGGAGGAAGAGGACCCAGGAGGAGGACCCAGGAGGAGGACTCAGGAGGAGGAGGAGGACTGGGGAGGAGGAGGACTGTTGAGGACTGATGAGGAGAACTGAGGACGAGGAGGAGGAGTAGGAGGAGGACTGAGGAGGGGAGGAGTAAGAGGACTGAGGAAGATCAGGAAGACCCAGGAGGAGGAGGAGGAAGAGTAGGAGGAGGAAGCATCTAAATGTTATTTCCATTTTTGTCCGTTTTTGTCCGCTCTATTTTTTGTCCGTTTTGAAAATATAGGGTACCGAACGGACAAAAAACATGATCCCCCTATAACAGCAAAAATTGAACATTTTATTTAGCAATTTAGGTGTCCATTAATGTCCGCTAATGTCCGTATATGTCCGTCTATGTCCGCCAATGTCCGTCTATGTCCGCCTATGTCCGCCTATGTCCGCCTATGTCCGCCTATGTCCTGTCCTTTTTGGATTCTATGAGACAAGCGGACATAGACGGACGTGACACCCCCCCCTGTATATGTATTATGTTTAGCATAGCAAAATTAGGTTTCTATTTCTTCTGCGACGACGTGTGACTTAGAATGGCGGTTTGAATGCCTCCATTGATGTTCTGTCCAAATTTATGGGCATTTTTTTCCCGTTGATCGGGTTTTGCTATTTTTGGGAGAAAATCTGGTTTCGTCGTATATATATAGTAAGAATTATTACTAAGTGCGATTAACTTTGAGTGATTGAATGTTGAAGTATTAACAGTAACATTTTTGTTTTGAAAGTGCAATGTAATGAATGGGAATTTCGGTTTAACTTGAACTTACAAACATGATATAATTTTTTCCTCTGATACAATTAATATTTTAGTAAGCATGCTATGGAAATGTACATTTTGATAATAACGATAAAATGATTAATTATTTAAGATAGTTTAAATTTGAAAGATGGTTGATACACAATAGTTTATAATCTGTTACGTCGTAAATTTTCAACAGCCTGTCACAATTCAATTGTTTGATTGGTACGTGAACGGGCTTTTTATCCCTGAAAATAGATATTTTGCTCCTTGTGTTTTTAATTAATTCTGTGGGTGATATTTAAGATAGTAAAGATGTGAGTTTCGTTTAGTTTTGCTTAACTGCTAAGAGACGACGAGATAGGTATCATTGGGCGTAGTCTACTTTTCTTACCACGGATACTGGATCACATCCGGCTTAATTTAGTTACTTTTGGCAATTAATTAGCTAATTGGGTCCTAAACTTGTGTGCACTTGTGTTAACTACTTTAACTTCTCAATAATTACAATTTTGTAAAGCACGAACATGAATCCAGCTTTGCAATATGTTATCTAGGTTTTGCAATGTGGCCTGATTATCCAACAATTTGTGAGGATTTTTAAGGTGCAAGCTCAGTATACCACTGCACCAACTACCAAGCAAAGCCAAAAGGTACTTTTGTGATTGTCTTTTAGTGCCGCTACACACCCAAATAATAAGTTTCCTGAATGTCTGTGCACTTCATTTAAGTTTAGGCGGGAAAGGTTTCCCGCCAAAACTACAAAGAATTTGGGATCACTCAATAATTGTATGAGTGTATAGCACGACATGATTATAGAATTAAAGTTTATCTACAGTTAATAGTACCAGGCATGCTACCGTTTCACCTCTCCTTCAGTATCAAGATCTCTATTCAGGTCTTTAGGTAAGTCAAAAACCGTGGCTTCTCTACGATAATGTTTGTTAGATATCTGGGACATATTTGTTTCGACGGCATTGTGACAGGACCGGTAGCAAATCTGTAAAGCAGAGTAGCATAATAAACTTGACCTTAATTGAAGAACTTTAGAATTTAATATTTAATTGAGATTTAAGGTTTCTGGTAAGGGCAATTTGTTACAATTTATGCATTTAATTACGCGTTTAACTCAATTAACTAATACCCCAATGATGTCTACTGAATTTCTTGTATTCGATTAGCTCTTTTGCCATTATATTAAGATTCCCCCCACTTTGTTCGAAACCCAATTATCGAGATTTAATTGTTATGCTACAATTTTGAATTTCAAGTTAAATCTAATTCATTTCACTACAGTAAAATTGTAATAATTGACTTATAATTCCGATCAATTTAATGGCATAGATTATATACAAAGCTGCAAAAAGGTAGTATAATTTCTTGAAAGCTTCACGGCTGAAATCTCAGAATGAACGAGAAAATCGCTTTAAATTTATCATTAAACATTCTTAATACTTTATTTTAGCTATTTCGACATGGTGCGATGGGTACCTATGGAGAGCAACCCGGACGTCTGGAATAAGTTTATGAAGGAAATGGGAGTTTCCGGCGCCTGGAAGTTCGCGGATGTTTTCGGATTAATACCGGAGTTGCTGATGTGGGTGCCGCAACCGGTGGCTGCAGTAATCCTACTCTATCCTATCTCAGAGAATACAGAAAAGTTAGGGAAGGAGATGCTAGAGGAAACTAAAGTAGTGAGCGATAATGTGTTCTTCATGCGACAAACTGTTGGAAATGCTTGTGGCACAGTGGGCATACTACATTCACTTTTAAACAATTCAGATGTTATTTCTATTGGGGAAACTCTGACTAAATTCCAGAGTGACTGTTCGACAGTGGATCCAACAGCGAGAGCTGCTTTGTTGGAGAACAGCGATGTGATAGCCAGCAAGCACGCAGCTGCTGCGTCTTCAGGACAAACTGCTGCACCGAGTGCGGACGAGAAGATCAACCTTCATTTTGTGGCATTTGTCCGTGTCGATGGCTATATGTATGAATTGGACGGGAGGAAACCAAATGCGGTTAGTTGGGGACCGTGTCAGAGTGATGAACTTTTAAGTAAGGCAGCCAGAACCTGTCAAGCTTATATGGCCTGTGATCCGCAGGAAATGAGATTTACAGTGGTTGCATTGAGCAAAACTGATTGAATTTATTTTTGTATGTTTGATGAATCACAGATCGCTTTTAAAATCGACAGTTTCTATGATAACACAAAGTATTTGTAGTTTCCATTTGTAAATTTTGGTTTAGATGAGTAGAAGAAGTAGGATTTAACGATATTCTTGCCATAGATCGGAATTAATTTGTATACTTCGAAACCATGAAGGCATCTCGATTTAATTTCAGCATTTAAACAAATTCGATCTCAGCAAGCTATATTGTTACATCCGATCTTCTCTGAACAAAGTAAACGAGATAACTTCAGGGAATTATTTACAAAATGAATCTGAATAATAAACAAATAAATACAAATTTAATCTATCTGATGTCAACTTTAAGAATCTGGAGTGTGCATGTTGTTCAAGCCTCTACAGCCTCCGCCTTTTTGATGTCTGCTGAGCTTTCCACAGTCTTCACCGGTTCGGGTTCAGCTGGTTTCTCAATCTCTTCGACTTCCTTGACTTCTTCATCTTTCGAGTCTTCTTCATCCTTAGAGTCTTCTTCATCTTTCGATTCATCATCCTCGGAATCTGTTACTCCGTTGGTTTCGGTCTTGGCTTTCTTGGTCTGCGGCTCGTCTTCGGATACTTCAGCTGATCTCTTCTCACCATCGTCTGTCTCAGGTGTAGTTTCTGCGACTTCCTCCGCTTTCGTCTCCTCGACGGGTGTGTCTTTCACGGGGGAAGAATGGGCCATCGTAAATTAACTGTTGTAACTTTCAATACTTTGATCAAATGAACGCTTATCAACTCTGCTTGTTTATCAATCTGAATCTGAATGAAGCGGTAACACTCCGCAAACGTCTTGAAATAACTGCGCTGAATAATGCGCGCGGCGTTTATAGTAGAGGCTCTTACGGGCAAATATCACGCTTCTTTGCTCGAGCCCTGGGACTTCTTTTAGGGTTCTTATATGATAGAATGGAGTGTACTGAACACTCTGACGGTATCGGGAACCTTCTAGAGCCTTCAGAAGCTGTGTTGTGAGCACTTTACTGCCAAAACTTCGGACATCTACAGACACCGGAATATCGACTAAAAATTTTTTTTGAGTTGTTCCCCTAATTTCTCTTAGGTTGCTTAAGCCCTAGAAAGTGTCAGATCGTCTAAATATTGCTCCATTCCGGTGTTAGAGACCTCGAAAATTTCGACCTCGTAGAACGTGTTGCGCGTCGTATGTAGTGTTTACAATGGAAAAAGTGCACTTAAATCTGATTCGGTTGCGGCGCGTGACGTATCTAGCACGATATTTGCTCGAAAGCGCGTCACTGCGCCAGAAACCTCGTGGTACCATAACACTGTAGAAATAGATAATCACAAGAGACACAATAAACGTATCATCACTATGCAAAGTTAATGTTAAAATGATACAATAGCCCTGCTTTAACAGATTAATCCACATAAACACTATATTTCTACAGTCCGATCAGTAAATCGAACATGTTTTTGAAGATAAATCTTCTGATAGAATTCGTTTCTACATTGAAAGATTTCTTTTCTAATCTCCTTTAAGAGTGCTGTCTTTGTTAAAGTGTTATCATCTCTATCCGCATCTATTGTTGCGGCAAGATTAGATACGATCCTGCTGTCGAAACAAACTCGTCTTACCGACATTGTCTTTCTGAAAACTGATGTGATCAGATTAAACATTGCTGGAGTTTGCAGCGTTCTCAGATAAATTAGACGTCACATAGTCATTGTACTTAAGCTTCAGGTCAGACACGAGGTACAGTTCTGGTAAAACATTCTCCTGCTCCAGTTAAAAGGTCCGTATCAATACCTGCACTCATTAATGCAGCATTGGTGTTGTCGTGCGTGGACACGTGTCTTTCCATTTTAAAACCTGCCTTAGAGACAGGTTTTAAACTTACAGCTTCAGATAATTTACCCTTCAATTGTTTCACCCTCGAGTTGCTGTACCTCAAACGACATGTTTTGTGATATCTACCTAGCTTGCTATAGAGATATTTTCCGAGACTCTCAGGGTTAAGAACAGGGCACTTGTTCATGTGCGAATCAGGATTAACATCGATGTTGCACAGATCCTGACGATTTCTGTAGATGTCCACAGATAGTATGTTGCAAAATCGACGAAGAAACTATTATCTTTTCCTTGAATCAGACTATCCTTTTTCGTTTCTAACGTCTAGGGAAATTCGTATTGTTAAAGAAGAATAACCTCTCATACTCTTAAAATTAAATCGAGATAATATGTATAATAATTATGTTTGGGCCCGGACGGTGCCGGTGGTTCTAATGACCATTTACTAAAATACATAAATACAAAATACAATATAGTATACATATTATAATTAGAAGTTTTATAAATCCTATCCGTCCAAGTTAAACTTGAAGGGCGCTACACGCACGACGAAAACTCCCTTTAATGTGAGCTGAAGTAGACTACTAGTAGTAGAGCTAGTAGCGCTTGAAATTGACAGAACTGAAAACGAAATCTGACAATTGTCGCGAAAACTGACAGTTTTGTGTGCTCAAAGTGTCGAGAAATACTGACAGTGCAAGACTGGGCACACAAGAGTGAGTTAAAACATCCTCCACACAACAAAAACTTGAATACACTAATAATAATCAATTATTAAAAACACACAAGCTCATTCTACAGTCTTATTAGTCTTATCAGTACTCTTTATAGCACCGTTTCTGATAAAGTGTAGCTTATCAGGCTGCTCAGTTACCAGTCGTTTCATGTCCCTGACGAGTTCTCTTTGCTTGGCTCTCTGTTCTGGAGATCGATCTGGGCTGATAAAAACAGTTTTAAACTTTTCCGTTGCTCGCAGGTTTCTCGATTTAGCGAGAATCTGATTAACAGTTGTTGCACTTGCCGCAGTCACTTTAACTGGTCTCACAGCCTTGCCAGGTTTGAGCTTGGGAACCGGTCACTGCGGCGGAAGTCACTGCGGCGGTGGACGGTACAGCGGAGGACGGTACAGCGGAGGACGATACGGCGGTAGTTTCCAAAAAGGTTGGACGGTACGGCGGATCACATGACACCCACTTTACTTTGGACAGTACGGCGGTACTACTGCTATTACTAGAAACTGTACCTAAGACAGAACTTACACATTCAACTTGTTTCTAAGTTTTGTTCTAGATTCGCATTATAAGTTTTATTTTTTCTCTTTATCATTTTGTATAATTCTTGTTAGTTTAGTTGTTCATTTTTTTATTCAGGGCTTTGCAGACAATGTAAATCGAGAATATTGAGTTGTTGAAAATCAAAAAGTTATATATAAGCTTTATATACTGTTTGCCTCTATCATTATCTACGTTTCACTGAGCAACCTCTCTTCTTGGCTATGGTTGATCAGATTTCTGGATGCGATCCCTCGTGACGTGTTCTCATGCCCTTGTTATTACCCATTGCATCTCGGCGTAGTGATATGAGATCTCACCGTAACAAGCTCATCGTGCACTCGCTTAACCACCGTTGTGCAGACGTGATCTGATACGAACCAGAAAGTGGAACAAGAACTGCTCTTAGTAATCACAATGTATATGTTACACTTTATCTAATTTAATTTTAATTTAATTTAATTTCGAAGTGACAAAGAGGAAAATAGAACTTTTTATAGCTAATCGATTTTGTTATATTAGCAGTGCTAGGTCTATCTTATAAGTACAGTTTTTAGTGCCGCCGTACTGTCCAAAGTAAAGTGGGTGTCATGTGATCCGCCGTACCGTCCAACCTTTTTGGAAACTACCGCCGTACCGTCCTCCGCTGTACCGTCCTCCGCTGTGCCGTCCACCGCCGCAGTGACTTCCGCCGCTGCGTCCTATACCCTTGAGCTTTCCGACTCTACTAGCTTCGATTCTGGGTTTCTCTCCGATTGCTAAGAACACTTCACTGACCACGGTGCTGAGCTCCTCATTGTCCTGCTCCGATAAACCAAAAATCATCAGATTTTTGTTTCGGTCTTCCTCCTGTACCACAGTTTTCACAGCTTTCTTGATCATTTCAGAACTGACAGGCTTCTGAGATTCTGGGCAATTCGCCTGTAATACCGAGCTGAATGATTGGAATTCAGCCTTGACAGACTCTCCGACTGACGATTTAACTGACGTCTGCAACGATTCCAACTGTTCATTTTTGCAGGCTAGTAGTTCTGACTGCAGCTTAATGATGGTCTCCTGTGTCTCGAACATCTGATGTTTAACTGAGTTTGAGGCCATCTTGTAGTCCGTGGATACGACACCAGTGAACTCCTCCAAATATCTTAATGCCTCGTGCAACAAGTTACACGCAGTGTCCTTGTTCATCTTCTCACGCACGAAGGGGATAGTTGCTTCATTGCTGTGATCTCCATCTCGTACATAGCCTTGCTGAGAAGTTCAACTGAGTCACCCCTTAACATGTTGATCTCCTTTTCACCATACTCGCTGGGCGGGATGGTCATGGTCGTGTAACACGGTGATACACAAACCACTGTAGCTGCACGTTACAATCAACAGAGATAAGCACTAAGATAAGAGAGTAAGAAAAGAGCAACGTATGCAATTAGTGTAATACTGATTTGCGAGCAAAAGTTTCACACAAACCTGTTCAACCTGGCATATGAAACACAAGTCTCAGTCCATTTCAAACAAATCAACATCTGGTCCACTTGATTTGGAACTAAATGAAGAAAGTCTCCACATTTTCTTAGTTCTATTCGAGGAGGGTGACAAAGGCGGGACTTTTTCCACTTGGATGGCAATAGCTTCTTCAATCTTCATCACAAGAGGATTCGTCAATTTAAGATACAGCACTGTACACCTGCAAATACTTTATTCAATTAAACAAATAATCAAATCCGATAGAAATGGATTAAAAATTACTACTCGCTGTCTATTTACCTTTGAATAATAATGTTTTTCAGGAGGTGACCGGGACATGATTTCAGGCCTGACCGGGACCGGGACCGTGACCGGGATAGCTCAAAATTGAGATTATCAATTTACCGGGACCGGGACCGGGATGAAAAATGTGACTTGACCGGGACCGGGACCGGGATAGCTCAAAATTGCCAATCCCGGTACCGGGATTCCCGGTACCGGGAATTCCGGTCGATTACTGGTTAATTCATGATCATAATTTATTACTCAAACTTGTTAAGCAATTTTAAACATTGTTGTATTTGGCTCAGAGGATGTTTAAAGATGAAATTCACAATGAATGAAAGGAAAAACTTAAAATCACAGTGAATGAAATTATGTAAAAGATCCCGGTCAAAATCCCGGCAAATTTGAGTGATTGACCGGGACCAGGACCGGGACCGGGACCAAGAATCCCGAATTAACCGGGACCGGGACTGGGACCGGGATCATAAATAAATAAATCAGCATTTGACCGGGACCGGGACCGGGATAGCTCAAAATTGCCAATCCCGGTACCGGGAATCCCGGTCACCTCCTGATGTTTTTAAATGTTAGTAAAACAGGAGGAAACCACTCACCCTGTTATAGTTGTCTTTTACATAGTTAAGACACTGAATACACACAAAAAGAGGTTTGCTTTGGTGAGCACAACCCAGGATTGATCTTCTGCAGCAGGGCGAGGAATTCTCGAGACTGTTTTGTAATTCGTTCACTTTCAGAGCGGAAGAAAACTGTGTCATTAAAATCCTTTATTTCTATTCGGGTACAGATACAGCACTCTGAAAATTGATGAATGGTCACATTTTTGTATACCCTACGGCAAAGTCTTATGTATGTGGTAAAAGAATGATATTCTTTAAATATATAATAACATCTATAAACAAAAGAGCACCTAAAGAGGCTCAGCAAAGTGCTGGCCTATTTACGCTTACGAAGACTCATTCGTTCAATATGTCTCAAAGTAAATAAACTCCTCCATCCTACTCTATCTCTTGCTAAGTTCACTAAGTTGGTAAAATCATCTTCATTTTTCAAATAAATTTGTCTCTTAAATAGGTCCTTTTTCACAATAATATCATACAAATTAGTCCTGTGTCTACCCACTCGTCCCTTTAGTGTTTGACATCCTATTGAAGCAAATAACAGAGACTGGTAGGCAGGCGTGTCGTTGTCACTGCGTAGAACATGACCTAGCATTGTCCACCGTGCCTTTTCCACTCTCTCGGAAAGGGGCCTGGTCTGGGTACGAGCGTAGAGGGCCTTGTTAGATATTGAGCTAGGCCAATAGATGTGTAGGATGCGCTTGAGGTGCTTCCTCTGAACAACATGATCTACAGACTCTAGAACATGCTGAGGTACGGCCCAGCAGCAGCAGTTGTACAGGAGCACTGATACTACTAGTGAGTCGTAGAGTTTGATCTTTCTCTTCTCAGTTATCTGACTCCTCTCTGATCCCTGGCACCACAGCTTGTCAAATGACCAGAAGGCGGTGTTAGCTTTATTCTTTCTATTAGTAACATCCTGCTCTGATCCAAGCTTAGTACCAAGAAGCGTCTCGTTTCTCCACTCCTCTTTTCCTCTTAGTTCATTATCCCACTCGTCACATGCACCAACTTCTTCTAAATACACTCTGGTAAACTTTGTCTTTGTGTCATTGACAAAGAGACTCCATTCCTGTAACTCCTCCATATCTTCACCAATCTCCTCTACATCGTCTGAATAGCCGGACTCAAGAGGCATGTGGTTATCGGCTATCGGAGGGTTGGGTCTTGAGGGGAGGACTGCTCTTATGTGCACTACAGCTCCAGCTAGATTGAGGGTAAACAATTTACCAGCTGTGCTGTCTCCTTGGGAGGCTCCTATGTTGAAAGAGAACATCTCTGAGTCAGTAGAACACACTCTGACTACTAGAGTGGTGTTAGCCATGAGGTATTGTACAAGCCTCAGGTCGTCTCTGGAGCATCCTGCAGCTTCTAGTAGTCTGATTGTTGTACCTCTGCGGATGGTATTGAAGGCAGCTGACATGTCAATACTCACTTTGTTCCATTCAAACTCCTTCTTCATTACTACAGATATGAGCATGCTCTGTGCCCAAACTAGGTCGGCACAGCTCCTGCCAGCTTTGTAGGCAGCTTGGAACGGTCCGGTGAAGTTTTTTATTAAAGCCTAAACTTAACTTCTACCAATTCAAAATTGTTTACGTCGGTCTCCCCTCCTTGAGCCACTATTTCACATAGCTATTGAGTATAAATCACTCTAGCACAAGCGATTTCAAACCCCCTCCTCTAGGCTGGATTAGTTTATTATATGTGAACTGTGCTCTAGTGCATGACTGACTTTACATAATGCAGAGTATGCAAAGTTTTGATGTTTCATAAACTTATGAATAAAGTTTTAAAATCGTGACATAAAAAGCAGTGGTCGCCCGGTGCCCCCTGGCCAAAATCACAACCCCCAGCCAAAAATTGGCAATTCTCCGGGGGTAAACCCTGGCCCCGGCCAATTCTCAGTGGTCAGCCCCGGCCCCGGCTATATTGGGGCTCCCCGGCCCCGGTCAGAATCCTGCCCCCGGTCGACCACTGATAAAAAGTTAACTCACTGGATTTTTCCAAAAGCGAGAGAAAGTACTGAGAAAGCACTTATACGTCACCACCAGAGGGCCTAGAGAGGTTATCTTTGTCTGTTTAATTGAATATTGAGTATATAATATGAGATTTAAGATGAACATGATAGATATAACGTCCAAATTCTAAAGTTCCACCAAAATTGAGTCACATTAAACTTGGTAACACAACAATTTTAGTTCTTCATTATGGTAGGTGATTTGACATAATGAAGTGTAGACTAAATTATTATTTGTAATAATTACCTGTCGGAGGGATTTAAGTGTTCCTTTGAACAGTCCTTTTCTGGAAGGTTGAGAGCTTTCCATACATCCAGAGAGCCAAATTGGATTTGTCCTTCTTTCGGGCATATGCAATCTTAGATATGATGCCTTGTACATTTTGAAATCCTGCAGTTATCATTATTCAATACTTATAGAGCCTTAGATAAGGGGTTAGGGGTCGTTCACATAATATTGTGTCATTGCAATATAGTAAGGTTACTGTACATTTCCAACCCTTTGTCATGTATATCACAACAGATGATGTTAAAAGCATAATAATATTATGATACAGTTTTACAGTTTTTTTTACGTGTTGATAATCTAGCTCATATCTCTATTTTATCGCTACATTACAACTGCCATTTTGCTGGTACTGTGTTTTTACTTTATACAAGTACAAGTAATCGATGGAGGAAATGGATACTCTTCAAAGATTGTCAGTTTATTCTACCTAGCTACATTACTGAAGAGTATGAGGTCTATAACGGTTGGATCACTGAACTCGCGGAAGCTACGAACTGTGACAATAAATCTGAGTTTTCAGTTGAGACGTTCAAAAAGCCAGTGAAGTCAGTTTCAGTAAAACATTTATAATTTGTATTCTGCGTATCAGACTACCGATAATCATGTAAGTACGTTTCTGAATAACAAGAAAGATATGGAGGAGTTGAAGAGCGATCTTATCCGATCGCAAAGTACTGCAGGCTGAACTTCTGGAAACTAAATCGAAGCAGTTGGAATCCATGCACTCCACCGTCAAGACCGCCGTTCAAGACACTGTCCAAGCTGAGATGAAGTCATACAGTCAAGCTGTGACTAAAAATGCACCTGTGCTTGCAGAAGAGAATTTAAAAAAGGTTGTACAGAATGGTGTATCGGAAGAGGATCGCAGTAGGAATGTGCTCATCTTTGGTTTGAAGGAGACTGATGAAGAGGAACTGTGCAATAAAGTTACCGTGATTTTTCAGCAGATTGAAGAAAAACCACGTTTTGAAGCTATCTGGGTTGGGAGAAAATCAGCCAACAAGACTAGACCAGTCAAAGTTTCGCTAGATAATTCTAACTTACCGTTCATCAGATATTAGTAAATGCCAAAAAGCTGAGACTGTGTGAAGATCATAAGACTGTTTTCATCTCTCCAGATCGATCACCTGAAGATCGAGTTATCCATCAGCGGTTGGTCTTGGAAATGAAACAGATAGCCAAAGCAGGCATGGCTCCACCGTGTAGGTTCGGGTGGGTGCGCACCCACCCAAAGGGTGTTGCACCCACCCAAACGATTTGAAAATGTTCACACAAAAATTGTCAAATTTTGTATAAACTAAGGGTCAATTGACTTCTGTAATCAATTGAGACTGTTTTGGAAATATTAAAATATGTTTAGGAGAGTAAAATTCCAAAATTTTCCAGGGGGCTTCCCCCCCCCCCCCCCCCCACCGTGCGCCAAGCTGCACCCACCCAAATATTTTCAGCTGGAGCCATGCCTGAGCCAAAGAAGACACAAAAACACATTATTATGTCAGAAGTGGTAACATTTGTAGTGAGGACAAGATGTTAGAGAGTGATACATAATAATGAGTGATATACGTCCATAAGTTTTTAATTTTGATTGTTGATATAAGCGTGATAAAAATAATTTATTTCATTTGTATTGGACAGGACATACACAAAGATGCTACGTATGGTGCTGGGTATCTCATGGAAGGACAAGGTCAGCAATATAACTTTGTATGGTAGTCTACCAAGGCTGTCAAACAAGTTACGAAGCAGGAGACTAAAAATGGCGGGACACTGCATCAGACATCCTGAGCTACTTGCCAGTGATTTAGTCTTACGGAAACCTATGCATTGTAGAGCACAGCAAGGCCGACCAAGACAAAGCTACTTGTCTATGTTACTGAAGGAAATTGGGACAAACTCAAAAGAGGAACTGTGAACTCTGATGCGGGACAGGGATATATGGAGGGGGTTATCTGGCGTAGATCGGAGTTAGTTCCGACAAAGTAGTAGTATTTCATTTCATTTCATTAATAACCTGCATAGTTGAAAAGTTGATTGATGTAGTTTCGATAAACAGGCGTCGTTCAACTCCACTCATTTCGTTTCAAGCTGGAATGTATTATTGTTTAGTGTAGGTTTGTTCATGTACCTCTCATCATCAAAAGGTTTCAACTTATACAGCATCGATAACATCATCTAACAAAGCTTTTTGAACAGCTTAAGATTCAGTTAAAATTACATTATTCAGATTTTTTTTTTTTTTTAAATCTAGACACTTATTTTACTTCGGTGTATTCCAACAGCCACAATGTTACACAAGTGCAACCAGCCAATTACAGGAAGCCGAAGGATCTTTTTGGCCAGTGACGGTTAAGGTAGTGTGTACCATACTTTCTTCGTCCGAGACTTTGCTGCAATGTGCAGCTCCTCATTTAACCCTCACACCCGATTTCTCGAGTATTCGGCTGAGTAGACCGGGGGTTGCATAGACCACTCATGATCCTTAGCTGAACGTCGACGACGAAAAATACATTTTGTGAAATGAAACATTGTCAGCCTGTATTTAATTAATTATAATAATTATGGTAATTTAGCTAAAAATCAAACCATTTGAGTTTTCATTGTTATCAAAATAATGTCGATCTAAATTCGTCTTAATCTGCATGGCTGTGAGCGGATTGAAGTCTTTTAACAAACCACACAAGCTTCTTTCATCAAGAAGATTCTTGAAGTGATTCACATGTACACAGAGTCTTAGCTGTCTTAGCTAGTTCTGGGTCCATAAACATGTCACCTTCTTTCTAATGGTGATTGTCAAGTTTGTTCAGCAACATAATTCAGAATTGCAGAAATTATTTGAATCTACTAGAGATGAAATGGCTTAAATAACAAGCAATAGATGTAACTAAACAATACATATTGTAGTTTGACTACTTCTTTGAAACAATCAAAGAATGGGGGAGCTAAGGGAATGATTGCTCAAAACGAATGATATCTTCATGAATTCAATGCAGCATCTATACATTTATTCGAAATTAGTGATGGATGAGGGGGTTTAAGTCAGGCATTCCTGACATTTACTCTACTACTATTTATAAATTCAAAATCATGTTAAGAAGATAGCAGCAACTAATCTATATTATTTACAGTGCTCTATTTTATGTGTACTGAAGAGTGCCTTTACAATATTCCACTTTGTGGTGTAGATTTCCTCCATATCCAACAGGCAACACTGAATGAGTGATGGATGAGGGGGTTTAAGTCAGGTGTTCCTGACATGTATTCAAAATTGCATTGAGAAAATAGCAGTAACTAATCTATTTTATTTACAGTGCTCTATTTATGTACTGAAGGGTACCTTTACAATATTTCAGTTTGTGGTAGGGTTCCTCCAAATCCAACAGGTAACACGGAATGAGTGATGGATGAGGGGGTTTAAGTCAGGCATTCCTGTCAAAAGATCTATAATTAATCTTGTAAGGGTACCATACAGTAGACATTTTATTGTTGATTGTGAACCAAAAGTTAATTCATACCCACAATCGATCAATTATAAATCCAAATAGTCATATAAGCAATGCAGTACTAAATTGGTGAAATTGTATTAACAAAAGGTAATCAGCCAAGTAAAAGTATCTCAAGAATATAACATTGAAGTATTAGAAATGGCACTCTACTATTATAAAACACTTTAATGTGCTGTTTTAAACAATATTATATGAAATTAAGCCAGAGAAGGCATGAACTTCAGAAAAGGACAAAACACTACCGGTACAAAAACTTAAATGAGTTTCAGGGAAGGGTTACTAAAATTTTACGGTAGCGCTCGATTTTATTCAAAAAATTTCAAAGTGCTCAGCACCACGAAAAATATAATTTTTTCTTCCGCTTTCAAAACTTGTTTTTACGCTGAAAAACTATCAAATAGTATTATTGAACAGTATTAAAACACTTTGTGGGCAAAAATATTTCATTATGGGTGTGTAAAGAGCCGAAAAAATTTAGCGCGCAAAAAAACATTTTTTTGGGGAGGTTTTTTAAAATTTTGACCAGGTAAACTCTTGTGTATGCCTATTATATTGGTATTAACTAGTGCGGCAAATAAAAATGTACAAGAACCCAAAATATCTAAGCTTTTCGATTGATTTAACCTGTCGAAATTTCTAAAAAACCTCAAAAAATGGCCATTTTTGGGGCCAAAAATCGGTTTTTTCAAAATAAAACCAGGTAACCTCCATTTTAAACACTTCTAACCACTTTTAATCGATTCTACGGTCAAAAATACGTCTTCTAAGATGGGTCTGGTGATTTTAGTGTATCTAGCAGACAAAGCCCGTAAGAGCCTCAACTATTACACTGCTAAACCATAAACTGAACAGATTCGAACTGTTGCGCGGCTCCAGCCAGTTCACATGGGAGCCGTTCAGCCCAAAAATCAAATGTAAAACAACACTTATGTTAATGGACTCTGGTTTGAATGTTAACAAAAACAATAATGGCATTCAGCTTGTTGAGTAGTTAAATATGAAACATGAAAGTTCAACAGCAAACAGGTACAAAATTTAACAGGTCGAGCGTCGCCAGTTTTTTGTCATACGTTGTATGTGCGCAGCTCCCCCTGTGTCGTAGAAACGCTACAGTGTCGTTTCACTTAGTAAAACGACAGTTAAATGGGGGTCACGACACGATACAACTAAATAAGATAAAAAACGCATTAATAAATTTAGGCACACCAATGACCAACAAATTTATGCGCAAGAAATATTTTTAGCATTTAGGAGTTTTTTGTTTGAATTTTGTTTCGCCGTGGCTGTGATTTTAATTTAGTTTTTATTAAGTTTAGTTTAAATTTACTTAATTTTGTGAAAGAGTTTTAATTCAGTTAACGGGTGATACTTGTAAAATATTTGTTCCATATATTGGGACCGTCGACGAGTCCAACTCGGCGCGCGTCCTGGTAGGTTGTAAACCTACAAGAATTCAGCAATAGGAAATATTATAATATTATATTATATTATAAAAATCATAAATAGAAAATATGGATTTAATAATAAAAAATTATTCCAACACCAAACACTGATGATTGCGTTTGCATGAACAATGAAACTTTTATGTTTGTAGATCCGCCATTTTATTTGTAACATATAATATAACATATAATAATTAAATATAAACCAATGTTTTATTTTTTATTTCCTTAACTCGACTAATATTTGAAAAAATATTTTGTATGAGTAATATATCACTGCACCTTGCATTTGTTAATAATATAATGTATACCAAGTGCAACATGCAAGGTCAAAGTAAAAGGTTGAAGGTGCGCATCGCATATTTTATATTCCTATGTCATGCGCGGCGCTCTCTTGTGTTTTGCATATTTTTTACCTGGGGACGTCAGGCTATTATATTTATGTTCATAATCATATAGAGATTTGGCGGAATGACAGACTTACCGCGGCCCAGTAACATATTTTGTGCTTTATAGTTTTACGCTCCTACTAAATCGCTCGCCCAAATTTTAAGAATATTCTTGTGAAAAGGCCCTTTGGGTATGAAATAGATCTCAATCGGTGTATTTTTGGACGCTGATTCCGAATTACCCCCCATGACGTAGGGTAAAAATGCTACCCTGGAGAGTTATGGGCAAAAAACTGTTTTGGTCACGTGACAGGCTAGTAAAACATGAATTCGACTGTTTAGGGCTCGGGTAAGGGTTAGGGTTGTGATAAGGGTTTTGGATAGCTTCGGGGTTATGGTTAGGGTTGGGGTTGGGATTAGGGTTACGTTTATGTAGAACTTCATACTTGGGAGCAGCGAGCAATAAACTAACAAGCTAAGCTACTTGTATCACGTCGTGACCCCCGGCCCATTGTCGTTTCACTATAATTATAAGTGATACAGGCTATATGACAGCCTGTAGACAAGCCTGTTGACAAGACATAGCTACACGTTGCATGTCACATGTATGCCTCTCTCGCGCGAAAACAGAATAGGGGTTTATATATTAGGAATTACTTTATCCAGAGCCCTTGCGCTTGCCTTATTTGTTATTGAGTTTCATGAAATTGCTGACAATCCAGTGCTTGATTTCAGACATGACAGACATCTATCCATCCATCTGTAAGCTGGCCTGGAAGGATTGGGTAAAAATTAAAAAGAGTTTTTTAAATTCATGGGAGTAATCACCAAATTGTCGAATTAGTGATTAGGAGGTACAACTTTGGAATAAAATATGCCGTAAGAAAATGTGTTTGTGGAAATGACAACTCAATTAACCACTCATTGATATGCAAAAGTGGTAGATTAGTATGGCAACAATTCATTGAGAGATGGCTGTAAAGATGTGACCACTGAACCTCTCCTTCTTCGTGTCAACGGGACAAATCTTCCTGCAGGGGCCAACATAGCAGATGAAACTAGGTTAGCTGTCAGTGCTATGAGTATATAGACCCAGTGGCGTAACATTGCCTGTTGGCGCCCCCGCCGAAAATGCGCCCCCCTGTTAGCGCCCCCTCCCCTTTTGGTGCCCCTCCCTAAAATTGAACAAATTAGGTGATTTTAGAGGATACACCGGTAAAATTTCTAAAAAAGTATGTTTCCAGATCAAAACTGCACGTTTTGCTAGTACCTAAGTTAAGTTTTTCAAAATTGTCCCACATTCAAACGTCGATTTTGCGCCCCCCCCCCCTAAGATGGCTTTCACACAGCGGGGTCAGAGGGGCCCTTTGTTACGCCACTGTATATACCCCATTGGAGAGGGCCTTTTTAGATGTAAGAATAAGAGTATTTTATGCTCAAGCCAACAGTTAACCTTACGCCACTGTGATAAACTGTCCAGAAAATCAGATCAAAGATTTATTGAGGCAACGAATTTCATCAGGAAAAGATTTGATCTATTGAAGACAACAATCATTGCTCTCAGAGGAGTAGGAGGGTTTAAAGTAGTAGTGCAGTAGAAATAGCAGACTTAGATATAAATCTAAAGCCAGTACATTGAATTGTCATGTGGCTACTTTTACTACAAAAGGTTTTTATAAATAAGACTCAGATTTTTAAAGGTTATATTGGATTTTAAGGCGTTTTTACTCAGATTTCTATAATATCAATTTTAATTTATGAATTTATTAATTTATTAATAGAATTCTACGGTTGAGCAGAGTATTATGGCAAACAAAGATATTATCAGGGTTTTTTCTAAAGAGCGAATCTCAAATTTTACTGGCTTAAAACATATGTCTAATGAAGGTCTATAACATCCCAAACAGTTTGAAGCTCTATCATGCTTCGTTTAGATTTCCAAAGCCGAATGTCATACATGTTACACATACAATGTCACACATCCGCCTTATAATGTTTTAGATAAAGGGTTACATAAAAGGACCAACGTTAACCTTTAGGCCATCATCTCGAAAGCTTTTTAAACATCCGCCCTTAAGAAAAAACCACAACGATATGTAGTAGAAATGTTGTGATAAACCTTGTTTGTAAGAGGATGCAAAGCCAGCATCGTTTTCTAGGCTGCTTGGATTGAGAATAATGCAGTGCATTAAATCATTCCAATTAAAATTTAGTTTAAAAACCTCACTGCTGTACATCAGATACAGCAATGGTTATTGGTTTAAGTTGTTGAGTAGTGATGAGCAATGCCATTTGACTTTATTGTTGTTGTTGTTATCGACCAATTATTGAACAGGATGCCCGCCCGCGCCCTTGTTACCAATCACATGTCGTGTCGGACCTCGCTATAATCAAACACAATCTTTAAGAGCACTTTTGAAGCTCCAAAACAAAATTCGCTATTGATGCTATTTTTCTTTCCAAGGAGATTACGAATTTGAAGTTTTGCTCTTAATGTAAACTGAGAATATCGTTACATCTTTGATACTGAATATTTTTGTACCAGTTGAAACAAAACTGTGTGATACTTTAATATTGAATAATTAACCATATAATTTGCAATAAAGATTATTACTTCAGAAAAAGAATTAAAATTCCCCTTAAAACTCTAAAACAGATTGGAGCTATAATTCGTATTTTATTAACAATGAACATAATGTATTTATTTATTAGTGACAATGTAACAATTCAAGTCAGTACAAATATTTGGTACCCAATATTTTCTCTTGCTTTTGCCTATTTTTTGGGCCCCCTTAGACACTCTTATGAAAATCAATTATAAGAATCATCTACTGCACTTTAAGTAAATTTCGGTGAGCTTGCTGTCCAACTGGTTCAGCTTATATATCTGTTCATCCTGCTGATCTCTGAGTTGCTTTTCAAATACATCATTTGATGCCATTATAACCTTCTCCAGTTTGTCTATTTTGTTCTGAAGTTGATCCAGTCGTTCTATCTCTTCACTTGCTTCATCATCTACATTATTCTCAGCAAATTCGCAGAGAGGCGAGTAGTTATCTTCTAAATCCTTCAGGTAGCGGTCACGTGACTTTTTGGTTAGCTTACCCTCCAGTTCCGCAATTATTTCAGCTTTTTCCAGCGCTGCTACTCCAACTGCATTGTCATAAACTCTCTGGAAAGTGTCACTCATGAGAGCAATGAAGAGGTTGAGCAGAATAACACTTGACACCAGGATCCAATAAGCCACCAAAAATCGAGTCCACCAAAGTTCCACTTCAATAAGTTCACCGTCTTCACCTCCCGGTGCAACCGCTGTAAGAATTGTATAATTACTGTCAAATTTCCTACTTTCATTAATCAATATAATCAGAAGGACTGTAGATTTATAACTCTTCGTATTTAGCAGTAGATGTGGGTAATAGCACAGATGTTCATATAATATTATACTTGCTATAAAAACTAGAGCTACTCCTAAAATAAACATTTAAGATCATTGCATAATGCATATTATATATTATATAATATACAATAATATAGCTTGATAAGGTGTACAAATATTTAGCACTGTTCAACACCTCAAAGTTCGATTTTGTTGGTCAATATATGGATTACTGTCCCGCAATTAACCACATCTGTACTTTAAACGTTAAACATGTCACTTACAATTGGGGTCATAGTTCCCTTTCCTTTTTACTCTGCTCAATACTTCTCCATTGGTACAATTGTTGATTTCTTCAGCAATGCGGGCTACAGTTGGTTTTTTAGTGGTTTTTTCAATTAACATATTGTAATTGTAGTCATCCACCACTATCATTCGAAAGACAGTAAACATAACATCATCCACAGACGAATATCCAGCAATGCCCTGAGTTCCATAGAATTGATAGAATATGCAAACCATGGGAATATATAAGATCACATAAACAAGAGAGATCTTACCAATATCCCCAAAACTGTGAGTGATAATTACTACGAATGGACCCATCGATTTGAAGACTCTCAGGTATTTGAAGACCTTGAACCATGACAGTAAGATAGCAATGGCCATGAGTTGAGATCTTCTCCTGAATATTACCTTACCATCTTCAAGCTCCTCTTCAGTTAGATTCTCCATTTCTTCCTCAGTTCTTCCCCTTACTGCTGCTACTTCACAATAGAGATACACTACTATGCCTACGAATTGAAGTGAGTAAACTATCCAGTCAAAGACATTCCAATAATCTGCAAAATACTGAGATTTTTGTTTCACTGCCTTCTCCATCTCGCTGTTGAGAAATGCTCGGTCCATAGGCGAGAGTGGTCTTACTACCTTCAAATCAGACTCAACCTGACCTATACGCATGTTCGTCCATTTCCTCTGCTGAATTTGTCCTGACCTTGCTTCACCTATCTCATCCAACACAAAACCTATGTAGAAAATGTAAGCTACTGTCTCAGTGATTATTCTTCTAGAGCCTCTTTCATACGGCTCTCCTGTTGGTGGAACCAAAGGTGTAAGAATCATAAGTAGACTCCAGGAGATCAGGTATATCAAGTAAAGCCCTATTTCTTTTATCACTGCTCGCTGTCCAAACTGCCTCCACTTAGTTGAAATCAATGCCTTGATTGCAGGGTTTTGAGCCAGGTCAAGATCACCACTTTTTGCAATTTCATCAAGCACGGAAAAACCATACCTTGCATCCTTAGGGACCAGTAAATCTGGCTCCATGTAATTAATCCAAACCTTCAACTCTCTTGATTTGCTGTCTAGTGAAAAGCACTGGTCTAGGGCGTGAGTTGCTAGTTTTGGCATTTTGGCAATAAGTATAGAAAGTGCATGTAATCCCGTGTAGTCCACCACTTTTGTTGTTACTCCTAACTCTATTAGCTTTTGAGTTGCTGATCTCCTAGGAGAAACATAATTATTAGATTTAGAAAAACATTTGGTCAAACAAACAAAAAATATAAATTCTGCTCTGAATGGTTTTAACACTAAATTGTATTGTTTTCACCAACATTGAAGATCATTGGTATGGTCAAGCTTAATTTTGGTAGGAGAATTATAGTTATTATTATTAGTAGTAATTATAACTTTCTAAACCAACCTGTCATACTCTGCAGCTAAAAGAAGTGGGGTACGACCACGAAAATCTCTAGCTTCTTTGGCAGCATTAGAATTAATCAGAACATTTATCGCATCAGGTGCATCTCCCATAGCTGCACAATGCAATGGTGTAAAACATGAACCATTCGTTATCAGCTCTATTTTGGCACCACTTTCAATTAACAATTGCACCTGTTGCAATGGGATCATATTGTTTACTCATGATACACTATTTATGAAACTAGATAAAAATGAAGATAGATGAATGTAACTAGAGATGTAATATACTAGAGTTTCAGAATTTGCCTAGAAATTAAAGCAGCGAATAGTTTAATATGGTAATGATAGACAATCTAAAATGTCAAACCATTTCTTCGTAGTCTCGTTGAGCTGCGATATGAAGGGCTGTTCTACCATAGCTATCTTGTACATCTATGTCAATGCCAGATCTTATGAAATATTTAGCAGTTGTTCCCTTGTGTACTCTTGCTATGTCGTGCAATACTGTTTGTCCAATCTTGTCAGTTGCATTTACGTCTGCCCCTCGCTCAAATAAACTACAGAATTTTCTATATTAGCAACATTAATCTACAGGGTTTCTCTAAATATAGAACACATTATATGCTCAGTCTTACTCGAAATTTAAATTTCGTTATAGACTAAACTTTATGTATAAGGTATGATACTGATAGACGCAATTATAGTTGACAATATTAATATGTTTATTGATTATGTTTATTAATAATATGTTTAATGTTTATTGATTATATGCAACAAAAGGAACTTGGTCATAACTTACTCTGATATCGCTAAATTAAGGCCATCTGGTGACATATACTTTTATGCCACATTCCACAATATAATGCACAAGAGAGTTCTTAATTATGACATCATATGACATATCCTCTGACTAATCACTGCACTGCACGAGTAGAGCTACAACGGACTTACGCGTACTCTCGTTGAGTTATAATGGCTGTTTAAAGTTTTTGCAGTGCCTGTGCTGTGAACTGTGAGTGCAAAGTGATAACACTAAATGCTTTTTTTTTGCATCGATATGTGCAGAAAACTTTGCAAAAACGCCTGCAGAATGAAAAAAATTCAATCAAGTATGTCGTGTGGGTACTTATCGGAAAGGAAAATGTAACAAAACAAATTGGAAGGAAATGATTGTTAAACTCACGAGTTAAGATATGCTAAATCCACAGAGTTTTCATATCCCTCATACTCCGATATCTCCATAAAGAAAAAAAGAAGACCAAATGTTGGGTCTCCGTACCTGGTCAATAACATTAATTAATAGACGATTGAATGCTGAATAGTTGAATAAATAAAGGGCATTGCTGAATAGTTGAATAAAAAGGGCAATTTATAGACAGCAATAGACATTAGACATAGATTGATCATCCATATTTTCTCAACAAAAACTGAGATCAATCTTAAGAAGCATTTTTGATAAAGTTGGTTTTAAATCTTACATGGATGGGTCTAAGGCTAGGCAGCTGGGTTCATGGTGTGTTTCAGTGTTTGTGTCCTTGAGTTTCTTTAGAAGTCGCTTTATCTTGGCTATCTGCTTTATTGAGTTGTCTGCTCCTCGTTCAGGGGGCTTTTTGTTGGAGAAGTTGTAGGAGAATTGGTTTTGCTGGGGTTGTTAATTGATTGTTAATTGATTGTTAATTGATCATGACCTCTTTAATCGAATAATTTGATAATTAATGTTATTAAATCTATCACAACCATTGTCAGTGTTAGGACGAGAGTATGGGACTGTATTATTAATTGATCTTTGTTTTTCAACTTTTCACTAGACTACTCACAAATACCAGTCTCTCATTTGAATTATTTATTAAATTTGAATAATAAAGCAAATGTCACTTATTCTGGACTGTAGGGCTAGTGTGTATTAATTATATTAAATAAAAGCATTCCAGCCCCCACGTCTACAAACTTCTTAATTACTTGCTATTTTAATTTAGTACATTTTATTTTAAAAAACATTTTCCTACCTCCTGGCTTTCCACGTCCCCTCCTTCGCCCATGATGAAACAAACTTAACAAATAAACAAGTTATTTAATTACATTCGCAGAAATCAGAACAAAACTATCAAGTTTAGTAGGCAAATGCACTTGACAATGGATTAGAGAAAGCCAAATCACAAGAACACACAGTCGAGCAGGCGAGTGAGACACAGGGAGTGGTGGGTAGATCTTTTGTTTGGTTATTGAGTGTTTATTGCTGCCTTTTGTTGATAGAATAGGTCGGCTTCTGCTGCTCAATAATTATTCCAGTCTAGCGAATTCGGAGCGATCTCGCGGTGGTCACGTGACTGTTCCGAAGAAAGGATTTACTTATTCAACTTGTAACTCTACCATTCATTGAGAATTAGTACAATTTCCAGTTATTGTCCAAATTGGATTATATTGTAGAATTTGAATAAAATAGTAATATGCAAGTTAAATAAAATCTATTGATAATATTAAATAACGTTGCACAACGTTAAGTGAAGCTGTAAAGACTTAAGATGATGATGAGGGCATCAGGTTCTCTTTATAAGGTTAGATGAGGTTGGCTTTAAATTGAAGTCGAGTACCCAGAGCAATATAATAGTAGGTGTACCTACTTTTATAGGATTTAATGTGTTGAACTGTTTGCCATTTTGTTGCATACAGCTTGCAATTTGTACTTAATGAAAGGTCCTTTAAAACTGTCTGATAGGTATTTATGTGTGCCATCTGACAATGGATATGTCTTCCTTCCACCTTTTGATGTTTACCTTCAATAATCGTTTTATTATTACACTTATTTACCCAAAAAAAAGTAGTGTAAATTGTATAAGCAATATTTGTAACCATTACTTCTAACAAATAATATCTTACAGAAAGGTTCATGCAATGATCAATCTCCAGTGATCACAACTTGACAGAAACCTCAGCTCCAAATAAACAAGTCTCAATGATGGCTGCTGCTGACAGATCCTCCGAGTATCGGCATTGTTTTGTGCCTTACGGACAATACAGCAACACAAAAGCGCGACGGAATGGTACAATTCAGATAACTCCTCCATGTTACTAGTTGGTGGACTGTGCATGATAGCTGTCTGACCGTCTGACGTGAAGTCAGGAATGGTATGATGACTATGTTAAAGTCACGTGATTATGGGTTACAGAGATTGGTATTTTCTCATCACGTGGCCTGTGCCCTGGTTCGAACAAGACTAGAAGTGTGATGAGGACCATTATAAACCCATGATAAGCTCTACAGTGCATGTTGATATATAATACTGTACTATTAGTAACAGTATGGTCACTGATCGGATAAATCAAGCTGGGTTTTTATTTGAAAGCCTTATTAATATTGAACATCTTTACAGATTGTGTCGATGGGGCTTTCTTAATTGACATTTATAGACTTTAAGAAGGTTTTCGACAGTGTACATCGTGGGAAAATGCTAAAGATTCTAGAAGCTTACGGCATTCCAGTCAAAATCGTACAGCTTATACGGCTCATGTCCGAGAAGACAATGGCCAAAGTCCTAACTCCAGACGGAGAAACGGAATTGTTCGAGATACTTGTAGGTGTGTTACAGGGTGATACCTTAGCACCTTACCTCTTTGCAATAGTCATCGACTACTGTATGAGGCAAGCCATAGGCGATGATGCGGAGCGACTTAAACTCACTCTCGAGTCATTGTTTTAAGCAAGCAGAGTGATTATAAACTCTCAGTGTCTAAGATTCTTCCAGTGACATTGTGATATTGTACAGTACTTATTGTTGTTACAACAAGGAGCGGAGATACATATAATATATTCAATAACTTTGTGCAGCACTTATTCATTATTATTGATTGTTACGATGGGTCAGACGACTGTGAAGATGGATCTGATGAGTTTAATGACGGATCAGCTGATTTAGTTTGGAACATTGCCATTGTATACTACAAAGATATGATGATATGATACAGTACTTAATTAACAGGACTTAGATCCAGACAAATAGTACTGTTAATAGTGTGCTGGGAAGTGACAGATAAAGTAAGGGTTTGGAAAACACATCCGAGATACGTAATGATGGCGTAAACTTTTTCGTTAACGGATTCAGCAAAAACTTGGTGATATTGTACAGTACTTATTATTGATAGAACACGGTGCTGATATTAGATATAATGAATTCAACAACTTAGTACAGCACTTATTCATTATTATTGATTGTTACGATGGATCAGACGACTGTGAAGATGGATCTGATAAAAAATGAAAGATCTCCTGATATAGTACAGTACTTAACAGATAAAAAATATGTTGCCCTGCTGGAAAATGTCATTGGCAGTTTTATGAAGCAAGCATATACAATAAACTTCCAGGACTTTATCAGGGACATGGTGATATTGTACAGTGCTTATTTTAACTACAATTGCAGAGTAGTCTTGACTGTACTAATGGATCAGGAGACTGTAAAGATGGATCAGATGAGTTTAATGATGGATCAGATGATCAAGTTTGGAACATTGCTGTGGTATTCTACAAAGATATGATGATATGGTACAGTACTTAACAGTAACAATACTTAACTAATAAAGTGAGAGTTCGTAAAACAGTTTGTAAAAGACATTCAAGATAAGTCTAGCATAGATTTCTTTGTAAACGGAGGATTCAGCAGAAACACGGTGATATGATACAGTACTTAAAGAAACTAGGAATAAGTTGCCATTTTCTGTGCTATTCTTATTAATTGTTTTAAGCAAGCAGGGTGAATATAAACTCTCAGTGTCTAAGATTCTTCCGGTGACATTGTGATATTGTACAGTACTTATTGTTGTTACAACAAGGAGCGGAGATACATATAATATATTCAATAACTTAGTACAGCACTTATTCATTATTATTGATCGTACAGATGGGTCAGACGACTGTGAAGATGGATCTGATGAAAAATTAAAGATGTTCTGATATAGTACAGTACTTAACAGTGCCTATATTGAACAGATACTGTGAGAGTTTGTAAAAGACATCCAAAATCCTAAAGTTATGTGTAGATTTCTTCGTTAACGGAGTGTTCAGTAAAAACACGGTGATATGATACAGTACTTAAGAGTTAACATAGTGAGACTATGCTTACATAACTATTCGCCGTGTTTTAGACAATTTAGTTCGAACAGTTCGATATATCCACCCAGATTGTCCATGTAAGACTGTAGAGTATGGATTGCTGTTTGGGTGAAATCTAGGAGGCTCTAGTTAAAAGAGTTGACTATAGATATTACCTGATTAGTGTATGTGTGCACTTTGCAGCGTAAAGTTTTACAAAGAAGGGTTTTATGTAAAACTTACTGTGTTTTTACGATTTTTACTTTATCTCTGAAAATATAATACTCTAATATTTACATAAGAATAATATTAATATTTACTGTTGCACCTCATAGTTCATTATTGTTGGTTAACAGATACTCAAGTCTCAACTCTTGATAAGTAACTGTTAACTGTAAACATTTACTGTAAATACTCCCTATCTTACGCTGATGATGCGATAACTGATTAAAAAAAAGAAGAAGTGAATCGAATATTGATGGTATATATAAATAATACATGACAAGTTCAATTCTGGAAAACACCCTGAATTTTCATTGTATAAGTGTATACTTGTATATTGTATAAGTGTATATTGTATAAGTGTATACTTGTTTAACTGTACATAACACTGATACAAATTTTGTTTTAATTACTCCTCTATTAGGCTTTACTTCCGGGAACTTGCTTATATATAAGATAACAATGTGAACATTTACTTGCTTGTAGTTTAACCTTTTAACGTGTTTTACTATTTACCAACTAGCTACTAACTAGTTACCAATTAGTTACCAATTAGTTACCAACTAGTTACCAACTAGTTACAATCATTGTGCTATTTAAGTGTAATCAATGTTCTTATCCTCGCATAATTCCATAATTATAAGGAAAGCCCCGTATATTGAATGTATTCTAATCAATTAGTTCTTAACCAGTTAATTAGTAATTAAAATAACTTAACCAGTTAATTAGTTATTTAAATCACTCTCAGCGATCATGGTGGTGAACACAGTGCCGTACTACGAGCAGCTGGCTTGTTTTGACGACTATGCTACTGCACTGGTGGTGGATCCTATTCTAGGCTTTACCACCCACAAGATGTCATCACAGTGGAAGTACGTTACTTTTTGATTTTGGGTTTTTGATTTCTTATTTAATTGTAGAATTTTCTGATGAAAAATGGAATATGAGATTACTATTTACTGTACCTAGATTCTAACGAGTTTTGTTAATAAACATACACGTGGAAATAAGACTAATTTGTCGTATTTAGTGATCTTACTGTATTATTGCAGGTCGTTGCGGTCCAAGAAGTCCAACATTGAACCAATAATAAGCGAGTACAGGCTCACACAGGTTAGTTCCAGGAAATTAATGGGTACAGCAGTACAAATACAGTATGAAGGCGACAGACTTTATTGTGCTTGCACCAAAAGGTATTTTTAGGGGAAAATTTGATTGACAGCGCTTTAATTATTGCAGAACAGGAACCACAGCGCGGGTAATCTCAATAATGGGAATATTCCCCTTATTATGAATAATTCTCAGTACATGCGTACTTAATACACCCTGTAAGCAAATACAATGACATGCTCTGGAGCTACAATACACACACATGGCCCATATTAATAGTACCCTCATATTGTAGCCTATGATGTGTTAGCCAAGTCCATCCTTTGTGTAAAATACACGAGGTTATTGGATACAGTAATATTACAGTGGTCTGTCACGTGGTATGTCACGTGGGCTGTCACGGACATGTTATGTCAACCATCGCATCAGAACAATTTCTGTTATGCCTCAGTTAAAAACTCTTATTCGTTAGAACGCTCGACTGTGATAGTATTGTCTTAGAAAAGTGTACCCTGGTGTCAAATGTAAAAAGTAAAACTCATTATAAATCAAGAGGCTTGCATATAATGAACATATTGACATGGGTGCAGAGTTGAGTCCGTACGGAACCTAGTAGTTTGTTATTTCCGTAGTATCTTGTGTACGTGAGAAGCTGAATTTATTTAAATTTATCCGATGTATCCATTTTTATAAAAAAATTTACAAAACGCAGACAATAAATATTACAAATAATCCTCGTAGAAAGTACAGTGCGTTTAAAAATAACTTATCACATTTGCTGCTCCAAATACAGTATCCATTTTTGAACTCCCCAGAGAATTGCTTATTATACTGCCTTATCGTTTCATACCTTCCACGAATCTCCAATCCCTCGAACCTTTTATACTTAACTTGAATGTAAGCCCATGCATTATGATTGTACTTTTGATTTAGAGCTATTTAATAACTTGCCCTGAAGGTTCTTTCTTCAGGATGCAGAGTTAACATTTGAAAGGTTAATGGACTGCCATCCACATTGGTACAAGTATTTCACCAGTTTAAAGACCCCTCAGCAGTTTAAAGTATTCAAAGAACATGTGAGTACTTTGTGCGGTTATGTGCGGCCACGTAGTACACAATTCTCGTATTCCCATCGGTTAAATTGCAGGAAATGAAAGCTTCCGTCAATTGCGACCAATTGTTCAGTGTGCTGTGCGGAACGCGCGAAGTACACGTCTTTGGTACGGGATTGATCTCTTATTGATACTCACGTACGTGCGCGCTCTCGCTAGCTAGCCGCGCGCGCGGCATCGCAATATTGTTATTGCATGTCTGCAGTTCTATTCAGTATCAGGTCCTAAATTAGGGATCAAAACCGCTACTTTCGTTGCCTAATATATTATTAGCTCAACCTGAAGTAAATTTCCTACTCTCACGGACTACCTACTCATCCATACAGTGTCGAATTACCGACATTGTATCCTCATGGAACCCCGATCACTAAATAGTCGATTCCAAAAATAGATTTCTTCTAAAGGACAACTTCCTACAATATTGACTTACTGTAATATTTCAGGTTATCAAGTATATACATATCCAGCACCCTTTGAGTGGATTTATGGTATCCATTTGTCACAGATTCTCTACTGATGATCGCAAGGAATGTAAAATTAGGGTCACTAAGAAGTGGTAAGTAGTTGAAATATTCTGGAGAGTGAATATATGTCGTTACATGACAAATTGGCAATAGGAGGGGCCGTTCAAATTAATATTCTCAGCGTCTTTCAATGTTAAATCTGTGGCTCGCTTTTTCGTGTCTTAGAAACATACGATCTTCAATTTGAGCCAGCTAATCTGCAACTTACGCTAATTCAGGTGTGCTGGAGAGTTTATTCCCAAACTCTGCGGAGTGATTGCTGAAATGAGCCTTGAAGAAGAGTCGAAGTAAGTTGCATTCCAAGAAAATCTTCAGTTTCATATTTTACGTCCAATTTTTGAAAACTTTGTACAATTTCTAATTCTCATTCGCTATTCAAAATTTCCGACTAACAATTGTTCGTATTCACCGCCGATAACAATTTCAACTCTCGCAGCTTTATAACGCCAGGAGTCAATGATTTCTCTGTCATGTTTAGTACTCGCAAGAACATATCTCAGCTCTGGCTTGGTCCTGCTGCATACATCAATCACGACTGTAAACCTAATTGCAAGGTTAGTTTTGTATTTTAAATCTTTATTCAGGTTGTGTTTCAAGCTATAATATGAAATATCCCGCCAGAATTGATGGCCCTTGTCAAGGCCCTGATAATAGATACCAGGAGGTTTCGTTATTAACGCAGATGTTTTCAGTTCGTGTTTATGTCCCGTGATGTGGCCTGTGTTCAAGTTCAACGTGATATGGATGTGGGAGATGAAGTTCTGGTCTATTACGGGGACTTCTTCTTCGGAGAGAACAACGAACATTGTGGCTGTAAAACCTGTGAAAGGTGAATTTTATAGCGTTCTAGATACCCTGCACTAATTAAATTATTAAATAATTACACTTCATCAGCATAGTAATTATACCACTGCAACTGATAGTCTCTTGATATTTGATTGCAGTCTAAACCATAAAACCCCCAGATCTAGTAAGGGACTGTTCTCGACTGGGGGACCACAAGAAATAGGAGTACAGATAAAAGGAGAAGATAGAAGCTACAGTTTAAGAGCCACTATACAAAGAAGCAACCCCACACCTAAACGTTATCCCCATCTCTCACTATACCTTGCAGGTAATAGTTTAGTGGCAAAAAATAAAGTCGAACAAAATATTCCTATTTAACCCAAAAACCAAATACAAAGTTGGTTAAGTTCGCCGAGTGAAATAGCAGCTGAAGTTGCATTAAGATATTATGATTTAAAAGTAAGTATATAAGAGTATAAATCTGACTAACTGGGTGATTATTTCAGATGAAGACGAGGACAGCATATATGATCTAATCCCTCGCCCGGTCATTAAAACAGACGTGGTAATATTCTCCAAACCGCTCTCAGTGGACAGTGACGAAAGCAGCTCCGCCTCAAAGTCTCGGGAATGCAGATCTCTAAGTAAATCAAATCACACGAGATCTCGATATAACCGTGACAACAGTAGTGACTCAAAATCGGGAGAGTTGCGTGCAATCAGAGACTTAAAAAGTAGTGATAATCCGGAGGGTAACTCCCGAACTAGGAGCCAGGCAGTAAAAACTAAACGTGGAAGTTCATCTTCACGCAAACGATCCTCTGGACGATTCGACACGAATTATCGGGACGATATCAATCAGAAACACGATACCAATCGGAAAATCTCTGAAAAAATGGAAGCAGTGCGGAAGCGAAAGCTAACGCGTTCCTCATGTGTCCTAGAGCTGGTAGATAAGAGGAAATCAGGGAAGACACTCCCTGAAGTACGAGCAATAACCACCCGATCTACCAGTAAAAAATCTGCAAACACCAGATCCCCCAATAATAAGGACAGTGTTCGATTAGCAGGAACTATAAAGCCGAACTATAAAACCCCTAATAAACATGGTTCTCCTCGAGTATTGCGCTCTAGTGGATCATTTGACGGGGTGTCTTTGTCCGCCAAATCAAGTCCTGGCTCCGTCAGTTCCAATTCAGACCAGTTATTCAAAAAGGTGTCTGTCCCAATATCTGATAGGGTCCTAAGAGGACAACGACCTTAAAGCTAGTTAAATTATTCATTATTCATTCGAATCAGCTTTTGTCCTTAAAATTTGTTTACGGAGCGTTTCATGCTTTAGGTTTAGTTTCATAATAGGTCTAATTTCCTTGATTGACGCAATTAAAAACATTTACCTGGTCTCTTGTGTGTGAAAACATTTGGGCATCGAAATAGAAATTCAAATTATATTCTGTTTTGTTAATTCCAATGCTGAGATGTCACTTATTGGGCTCATATATGTCACTTATTGAAACGTGTTGCCATGCGTTTCGATGCAGCCTTTCTTCTTTGCAGCCTTACTTCTTGTCATTGCTTAAGTGTTGTCCGTTAATTGTTGTAGGTGAATCAGAAGAAAATCAAATATTTCGGTGTCCAGAAATTTGGAATAGTACTGCATTAGGTATGTGAGTTCTTGTTTGGAAATAGTATCTGACTTCTTGAGTGTTGAAACGGGTTATCATATTGACTGTGACATCTTAAATTGTTTCTTTTAGCTTTACGTTTAACCAAGATATTAAATTATTTTACAATTTACATTTACATTGAAGTTGATTTCTAAATTCCTGAGTCCTGACTAGATGACCACATGTTGCAACCTACTCAATGTACCTATGTTTTACCACCCTCGACCCTGCGTATATGTTTACCTAAAGATCGATGCGAATTTTTCACCAGCTCGTTTGTTAGAATGACCACTATTCTATCCTTGATATTCGCAAATCAGTGTTTAAATTTTTATTGAAGACCTGGAGAAAATATTTTCAACTTATGTCAGCCGCGTACATTCTGGGATACTCTACTTTAGTAAGTCCATGCTGGATTTATTAAACATTATTAATTCTCCTCCTTTTATCTCCTCGTCGTGCTTATTCTTCAATTTCCCTTTTTGAACTTCTCTTCTTCACCCCTCTAAGTCCTTTCCTCCTCTTCCTCCTCAGGGCATATGAAATCGTATCTTCATACGAACAGGATACGAAGTAATACATGATAAAATTGTGATTAGCTTACATGCTTCAGTATGAGAGTGTGTTGTGGGTTTAAGGTAGCATTTTTGCAGATGATGTACAATTCTCGAGCGATAAGCGCTTTGTATCTGTTTCCCTGTTTTGTGTTTGATGTCTTAATTTACATACGAAGACATAGTTAGGCTTTGAATTTTCTATTGAACTCAAGAAAATTCATCGAAGACGAAGCAGTCGCCCTCTGACTAATTCTCAAGACACAAGATGGTGATGCTGATCTTGCTGACAATTGGTTTTGTTTACGAAACATTTCCCGGCATCGCAGGTTAGAGTAAATGACAAGTAAAGCGTGAAATCATGTCGGCATAATAGACGAAAATCATGGGTAACTTCCTCCTCCCCACCCGGCCTTCGGACTAAATGACTTAGGTTCAGTGTGCACACGTCGTTAAACTTAACTGATACATAATAATTATCACTTCCAGATCAGAGAAACAATTTCAATCACTGAGGTGAGTGACACAAGTTACCATCTACCTCACTGATTGGTCAAAACTGTAAAATTTCGGCCAAGGAAACTGTTGCCCCAAGCTGTGTGTCCAATCTGTGGGTCTTTATCCTATACCGCGCACAAGTGCTCGAAAATATCGTGGCAAAAATCACGATATAGTTTTCTGTGCCTTCCTCAGTGACCTTGCTAGATGATCATTCAAAAGAATTCAGCTTCAAAACACGAAATTTGGGTCGCGGAAGGCTGAATTCGAATCTGTCATTGTTCTACCGCCACCGTTAGTACGTATTCAAAATTTTCATTGCTTCGCAAAGTTTTCTCCGGATATACTATTACTGGTTCCAGTACCTTGATGGCGATTTGTGTCACTTTCATCGACCTCACTAGCTTGATCACGAAATTTCGGTCAAGGGGACGGCAGAAAAGCTATAATTGAGTTAAATGTGAATACAGCTCTCTTATAGTTATTATGCAATTCGTTCGCTATAACTATAAGTATAATAATATAAAAATTTGTGAAACTCGCATTCGCAAACAATAAAACATTTAATCTGAATTATTCATTAATCAAAATTGAGATATTTCACCGTATTTTATATATTGTATATTTGGAGGTAAATGGTAATGGTCACTAAAGTGTCATGCTTAGGTGTCGTCTGCTATGCAGGATCAAAATCTTATAGAGTGTTATTAAAGTGTTATAGTTATTGTATAATGTCATGCAACCACGGCTCTTCGTTTTCATTATCTTGTTGAAGTATTTCGTCAAAAAACCTTCCTTTCAGTTAATTTTTTAATCGTCATCGTCGTTCTGCAGTTTCTTGTGTCCAGTCTCCGAGTGGAGTTGCAGCAGATCTTCTGGAGTTGATGGGATTGGTTTACCAGTGCTGTCTGAGTTGAAGAAAGCCAGGAAAGCCGGAAACGCTGCAATACCTCCGAAGATGGCCAGTACTATCCTGGGATCGATATGGTTGTAAAGGAGAGTCAAGTAGGGACCCACGAAAGCACCGATCCTGGCAGAGGCAGAGCCCATGCAGTATATCATTCCTCGGTGTGATGTGGGGGACAGTTCTTTGGTCAGTAGAGCCACAGATCCCCAAACACCCGACATAAATGGAGATGCGAATAGACATATCACGTGATCCAGCCTCCAAGTTCCAGTCAAGTGGACTCCGTAGCAAGGGATAGCGAGAAAGAAAACCGTTGCTGCCCCTGCAAAGTTGATCACCACAGCGTTCTTCCGGCCGAAGTGGTGGATTATAAAGTAAAGCATCCCAGATCCCTTGGTAATGAAGCTGCCCACAGTACCTAAGAGGATGGACGTGTAGATACCAGCCCCTATTTTACCCCAGCTAAAGAGTAGACCGTAAGATACGCATGATATCATCATCCAACATACCATCAAGATGACAGTGTTCTTTAGCATTATAGGATGTTTTATGAAGTCTTTAATTTGGCCCAAGTAGTTCTTATCGTAATCTTTGTAGGCCAACTCCGTGTTATCCGATATTTCAGTGGTATTGAAAATACCTGAGATTCTTTTAAACGTTGCTCGTGCCTCTTTCTCTTTACCTTTGATCAACTGAAATCTCGGTGACTCTGGGTATATGAAGACAGCTATGGCTGTGGTAGCCATAATACATCCAATCACCAAATAGATGTGATGCCAATCCTTCAAACCATAAGAAATACCAACGATGACAACAGATCCCAGATCCCAGCAACTAGAGCTGAGGATTTGACTAAGGTTTCTTAGTTTTGTTGGAGTGAACTCTATCGAGAGCAGATCAACTCCTGTCACTGCAATAAATCCTCCAATTCCGTGAACTACCCTCAGTGCAAGCATGACATTGTAGTTGTTCACAAAGAAAGCAGCAAGACTGGATATTGATGTTATCGCTATTCCAATCAGACAAGTTGTTTTCCTTCCAATCTTATCAAATAAAGCCGTCCCTACTATTAGACCTGCGAAAGCCCCGATGAAGAAGAAGCTCTTCAGATTTGATCCTTTGTCCTCATCCGAGCATATGAGGCCCCATTCCATTGCGAAACTCGTTCTTTCGATTGTCCACTTGAAGTCTTGGTTAGGTTTCAGGGAGTTTTCGCATATAGTTACACGACTGAAAAACGTCTCCGGCTCATTCGTATAATTTCCCATTAGCTCGTCGCATCTATCTGAGATACATTCCCAATCTTTGTAGTTCAGGAAACCTGGATGAATTATAATACTCATACTAATACTCATACATCTATTAAATTAATATCTAGTATTTATTCAAATATCAAAAGCTACGTTTTAAGCATTCGTGGTGCGATAAAAAGATTTTACGCTATAGGAACTCAGGAAAGTGAACAGATTTCACTTGGATATTGATTAACCCCATGCATTAGACTTATGTCCATTTTAATTGGATGACCTAATTCTAAATTGGTGCAATTTTATCAATATCATCTGATAGTAATATCTCAAAACAGCACTGATTCATAATTTTAAGTATAGTTATACCTGTAAAGATGGGAGCGTAAGCTAACATAGGACCAGCCATCTTTGCCAACATTCCAGCGATGAAGAGTGCTATAAATTTAAATAGGGCGGTTTTGGAGTTCGCAGCTCCGATGGTCCTGTCATTAAAAGGTATTTAAGTATTGAGTTAAGAATGCCGGTTAAAATACAATGAGAATAAATATCATATAAGGGTAATAATGTCAGCGTCAAATTTTGTCTGCTCGAATTATTTCCGATACTTTATTTCTAATATTTTCTGATTTCCCTTGAATATAGAATGGGTCGAGCTTCTTGGATACTGCTTCTTCAATGCTACCTATGATTAATCGGTATCAAGGATATTTTAGCAAGTTAAAGAACTTACTTGTTAACCACATCTTCCACGGTAAGGTTATCGGAGTCACACTGCTCATCTGATTTCCCTATCTCAGACATCTCCTCTTCTCCTTCGAGCGGCTTGTACTGGTCACCCGGCTCTGGGCTCATTATATTTATAGCTGGTATTGATAGTAGTGTAAGCAGAGACCTCATATTTATTCAGTAGAGCACCCATCAAGAAGTGAAAACATTGCAAACGTCATCAAAGTGTCAATAAGTCAATATCATAAATCGATTCGAACTAATATCGAAGCAAAAACTGAGTTCAGAACAAATTAAATATATGATGATTAATCACTCTACACTCAACTGTCACGTGAATTTTTCAACCTGTTCTCTAGCTGGCCCTGAACATCTATTCGAAACCCTGACCCTCTAATCTGATCCCAACCCTAACCCAATTCTTAACAAAAGCACATGCTGAAACCCTAGATTGATTCGGAATCAGCGTTTGAAAATACATCGCTTCGAGTCGGTTTCATTTTCAACTATCGGGGCCCTTTTAGAAAAATCTCGAAGATCGACTGTAGAGTGATTTAGCACGCTCGAAATTGAATAGTGGTAAATGTTGTACTGATTTTGTTATCACCAAACTGATTCATGTACTAAATTAGAATATTTTAAATTTGAGCATATTATGAATTGACACAACGGTTAATACTTAATATTGTGACCGTTAAGTATACCAACCGTTAAAAATATGGTAGGATGGGCGATGGCTCAAAAACCGCCACTTTTTAACAACGACAATAATAATGACTATGACTATGAGTAAGGTATGCATGTCTTAGAGATTCACGTACTCTAGTTCGTCACGTACTATAGGCATAGCTCGAAGTCGACAACTCAAGATATCACAACTCAAGGTATCACTCCTGTCGTACTTCGGTACGTGTTGAACTATAGAGTCCATGGGTAGCGTACTTTAGCTCGACAAATAGTTTATGCTTGTAAATGTAATCCAACGGCTATTGCCGGGTCCTCATCATAGGATCACAGGGTTCAATGGCAGATAAAACAATTTTCTGACATCTAGCAAGTAGCAACCAGCGGTAAGAAATTCCAGAACCTTTCAGTATAGTTTTAATTTTCCTGTTTGCCGCACTTGGTTCTGGTCTATTAGTTCTCTTGTCGAACTTTACGTCTTCAGTACGTGTCAAACTTGAGTCCAGGTAGCGCACTTTAGTTCGACAGAGTCGAACCTTAGTGTTTGTCGAACTACAGTACCTACGTGTCGAACTAGAGTGCGTGACGAACTTGAGTACGTGTACCTATAATCTATATTAGACATAGAGCTGCAAAATGGTAACTAAAACTACGAGTACGACTTTTACAAATACAATCACAATGAACAACGGAATTATTTGCACTATACCGGATTCATCGGTAAACGAATATCCTCATTCAACTTCATGATGGGAAAATGTAATTATTATGATCAGCTCAGCCTTTTATTACAAAGCTCGCACGTTAAAGGAGGAGAAATATGATCACATATTCAATTCCTTTCCTAATAACCGCAAATATTTCAATTAAGATGAATGGATGTTTGGTATTCCATGAAATTTTCCGGCATCGTAGGTTAAGAGTAAATAACAAGTAAAGCGTGAATTTATGTCTGCATAATAAACGAAAATCACTAAAGTTTAACTTCTTCCTCCCCACCCTCGGCTTGATCTGAAACTTTGCAGGGCGTCTAGACGTTGACCAAATCGACTGTTAAAAAAATTTCATGTTTCAGGAGTATCGGGAAGTGTGTTTTCTGGAACCCCTGTTTTACAACAGATTGTCGTGATACAATTACATGCATATTCAGGGATAAACGCTTTGCCAGTCAAATGTAGTCAATTGTAGCCTGAATTTAAGTGTCCGTAGATTCAAAAGTATAAAAGATACAGCCATTTCCGACCACAGGTCTTAAAGATAATTGTTTACACAGTAGTTTACATTATATGCAAAAAAATAATTGACGTCATTATTACCCTTTGATGAAATTAGAAATTAGAAATTAGAAATTAGAAATTAGAAATTAGAAAGATCATTACAAAATTACATGTGTCAGATCCCAATCAGTTAAATGAAAGTTATACAACCAAACAATAAAAAGAACATAATATCTTAAATAAATAATTAAAAGGTTTGAAAGTGTGCACGAAATAAGGATACTAAGACTAAGTCATAGCTTACTTTTAGGAAATCTTTCACGAAATAGATTATAAACAAAATTTCTGGTCTCCAAAATGTAATCATCATTAAATAATTTACTGAATTGACTATTTGTGAGTATGTTGTGAAGGTCTGTGCTGTTTCTTTGTCTGATCTCCTTGTAGACAAGACATTCTTTAAGCAAATGGACTTCGTCTTCTTTAATGATGTCACTAAACGGGAGCTCGTCCAGGAGGTCTATGGTGATTCTGTCTGAGCTGCAGCAGAAGTGGCAAGCTCTGTAGAAGATGCTTGAGTTTTTCCAGCCATATCGACCCGTCTCGATATTAAGTTTGTGGGAGCTTGTCCTCAGCCATGTGGTACATCGGGTTTTCTTGTGATTGAGTAGAGACAGGTATGTGTCTAATCCAAAGCTGCTTTTGACTTCGTTGTAGAATGTAAGCTTTTTGTTTTCAAGTCGAGCTTTTTCCCACTTTTCTTGGAACCAATTTCTCATTCTACTCCGAACGAGTTGGCTGTTCGGCATGGGAACATTCTTCGAGACAATTGTTCGTTTAATTGCTCCTGGGTCAAATGCGTCGGTCAGCGCTCTCGATGTTCGGAACCAGGTCAGCTCTAGGTTTCTTTGCTCTACAAAAGCATGGCGAACAATCTGTGGTGAGTTTTTTCTGTCAAGGAGGACGAGCCTGTTGTGGAAGTCAAGAAAGAGCTTACTCAGTTGTATTCCAAGGGGATATCTTCCTGTGTCACCCCATATCGGGATATTTGAAGTTCTCTTGTTGACCCCAGTCGTCCATTTTAGCAGCGAGAGATGCAGGCGCTCGAATTTACATATTTTTCAATACAGGTGTTAAGTGTGAAAATATGATCAGAGGTTTGTGCCCCCTTGCAAAATCCTCTCTGGTTCTGTGATTCGGGGCAATGTACAGCTCTGAATTCGAGAAGTCGACTGAGCAAAATATTTGAAAATAACTCACCCAAATTGCTGCCCACGGCGATTGCTCGATAGTTATCCGGGTCATGTGGACAACCTTTTTTGTGGAGAGGGGTAACGATAGTGGTAGTGATGACGTCATCAATTTAAGCGTTTTTAAAACTTGATTTTTGACAAAATAACAACTTTTCAAGTCGATTTTACAGCATAAAGGAGTTATTTTATTCAAAATTTGAGGTCACATTGAAGTAAGATAATTGTTTAAGCATTCTGAAAATCTACCGGAAAGTTTGCCTAGCTTGCTCCTTCATGAAGATATTTGTCATTGAAGTTAGTGCTTTTTTGAAGAATTATTTTATAAAAACGTCAATTTTGCGATTTAGTATTCTCCGGTGTTGGGCCATACCTTGTGTTGTGGAGCTCAGTTCTGCTATAAGTACATATTATGCATTAGGCTAGTTTTAAAGTTTAAAATCGAAAATTTGCACACGTGGGGACACGCCCAAATTGATAGAAAATTACTAAAATCACTGAAAATTGTTGTTTTCACCATTTTCTGTCAACTTTGGAGTGCCTTTGTTATTACAATTCTTCTTGAAACACTTTGAAACTTTGCATGCTTATTAAACCATACATAAATTACGAATATGCAAAAATTTACGGTGATTCAATCTTGGATGCGCACGCAACGTCCGCTCAAAGTTTGCAGGTGCGAAAGGTGAAAATTTCGAAATCGTTGAAGCTTCCTCCTTATCAATGAAGATATCAGTTTATATTTCGACTTTATAAAGTACCCTGACATTATAATAAAAAAAGAAATGATATTTGACCAAAACCCATAATCATGGTTAGGGTGGACCGCTGCCAGTGTCTCTCTTTCCCAAACAAAAAAAAATTATATTAAATTGATTGACCGTCTGCAAATGCAAAATGATACCGAGAATGAAATCGGTCGCTCGCTTTTCCCATTCATTTACAATTGTACTATTATACTGGTTCCAGTACGTTGATGGCGACTTGTGTCACTCTTGCCGACCTCACTGATTGGTCACGAAATTTCGGTCATGACCGGTCAATTTCGGTCATGACCGGTCAAGGGGACGGCAGAAAAGCTATAATTGAGTCAAATGTGAATACAGCTCTTATTAATATTATGCAATTCGTTCGCTTTAAAAGGATAAGAATTGATTAAACTCGCATTCTCAAACAATAAAAAATCTAATCTGAATTATTCATAATAATTAAAAAAAAATCAAGACACTTATTTTACTTCGGTGTATTCCAACAGCCACATTGTTAGTGTTACACAAGTGCAACCAGCCAATTACAGGAAGCCAAAGGATTTATTTGGCCAGTATGTGTACCATACTTTCTTCGCCTGAGACTTTGCTGCAATATGCAGCTCCTCATTTAACCCTCACACCCGATTTCTTAAGTATTCGGCTGAGTAGACCGGGGGGCTGCATAGACCACTCAAGATCCTTAGCTGAACGTCAATGACGTTCACCCCACGACCAGGCAGACAGTGTACTCCAGTAGCAGGGAGGTGTTGAGTGTGCACTTCGATGTATAGAGTTTTTTGCTATTGAATCGGGTTAAATAGGTCATTGGTAACTCAAATCACCGAGGGGGGAATTTTGTGTCGCTAGCCCCAACCCTGTGGAGCCACGCCCATATTTCATATCAGGTGCGTATATGGGAAATATGTATCTCAGCTTCTGAAGGTCTTAGAGACTCAAACTTGAGTTTAAAATGACCGCAATGACCATGTTTATATTAGTACTATGAAGGTCATGAAAGCCCAAAATGCTTATTTTTGGAAAAAATTCAGAAAAACTGATTTTCACAAGCAACAAATCTACTCTAGAAGTTAAGTGAAATCGAGTGTAAAGTTCAGTGTCTACAACGTTTCTAAACATAGGATCCTTTGTAAGATCATTCTGAATCAGAATTGATTAGGTATGCAAATTCTATTAGTAGTTTTAACCCTAGGGTGCAAAACTCCTAAATTACCC